AGGCGAAGCCTATCTAAGCATAACCATAGCGGCGGGCGGAACCCACTTGCTTCCAGGTGGGTTTCTGCTATGGCCCCAATTCCAATAATGTCACGCGGTCTATCAGAACCCACGGCGGGGCTAGATGGATCCACGGCAGCAATTTCCGTTGGAAGTGGCACGGAGTGAGGCTGCCCAATGCTCTAAAGTTGAAGCCCCTGCGCATCTTGATTCTGAAGCCTTAACAAATTTTACACTGCATTAGAATTCACTGCTACCGATCATTTAGCTCGCCTTCTGCTTCCAGCAGTGAAGGCCTCTAGGAGGGCGCGGGTGAGCACGAGTGTCAGGATCCCTTTTTTGGATCACTGTCGCCAAAGGCAGCAGAAGCTGCTAGCTCTTTGGTGTGCAACACGCTGACACTTCAATAATCATTGTTCCCATCTAAGCTACCTGCCTATGGGCATGCTCACGGTGAGACCATGGGTTAAGGAAGCAGTCATTTACTTGCGTTGCTTTTTCGTGGGTGGTTGATTATCACATGGTGGCGCTGGAAGAGGGGTAGGCTGTGTGTCCTTTCGGGTATCGGGACCGGAGTCCGTAACCTCCGGTAGCAGTGCGTTCTGGTTGAGGGTTTTAAGTACAACTGTCCAGCTTGGTTGTCGTACTTCGATGACTTCGGCCAATAAGTGGCGGAAGGAGGCGCAATCCTCTCTCGAGAAGATGTCCGCTATGTTGAAGTGGGTACTGACATAGCGGTAGAAGGTGCGCTGCTCGGCAGAGGCGGCGTGCAAGGTGGATTCGGTGATGATGTTTAGCAAGTGTGATGATTTTGCAGTCATCTTCGCGTGCGCGTAGAGTTGAGTGACGTTGTCGCGGGAGATGTGCACGAGGTCGTTCGCGGTTGCCCAGGTGGTGAGGGCGAGGTAGGTAGCCATTGCTTCGAGGACTTCGATGCGGATGGTGTTACCGATGACGTTTTCGATGTGCTGGCGGTCGATTAATACAGTGAATGCTTGGCGCTTTCCTTGTGCAGCGTTAATGTGAAAGGCACCTAGGACGGGTTGCCCATCGGGTCCACCGTCGGACGATGCATCCGCGGCGAGGTAGGACTGCGCAATTCGTGAGGCTGTCTTGCCGTGGATGATTCGCGGTAGGGTCGGCAAGAGGTGCTGCAGCGCCACAACGTGGATGCGGAGCATGCTGCGGCGCTTCTTGCATTTCTTGAGGGTGTGAAAGAGTGACTCGCCGAGCCATTTGTATAGCGGGCGGAGCAGCTCGGTGCCGATCTTCGATCGGGTGTGTTGCGTGCCGAAGGTCGCCAGTCCGGCCAGTTTCTGTAGGTCTTTGAGGACGAGTGACTTGCTTTTTATTTGCGTGAGGGTGGTGTCGAGCGCTTTCGTGAGCTTGATGTAGTAGTTGGTTGGCAGCATAAGCGTGAGAAGGGTGGCGCCAACTGATCTAGTGTCGTGGCAGATGAGGCCTAAGGCCTTCAGGGTGTCTGCTCTGGCTGAAGACTGATCCGCAGCCAGTTTTTTGGAAAGCGGCAGGCCGAGGCATGCTGCCAGCTGGTGGATGAAAGTCTTCGCAGCAAAGATTTGCTGCGTTGTTGCGGCGAAGTAGTTCTGGTCGTCGATGTAGGCCAACATTGGGACTTTGAAGTAGATGCAGATGGCCATTAGTAACTCCGAGAGGCGGCAGAATGCCGGGACGGAGGGTTCGGCGCCCATATTGAGCGTATAGCTGACCCAGAAGCGGCATGCCCGCTGCCTTGGGTCATGCCCCGTTATGGGGCAGCTTTTGGGGTCGTCGATGCCAAAGAGGTAGTAGGCCTCGGATATATCATCGGACGCCATTTCTGGCGGTGGTGTCTGCGGATGTGCCACATCCTGGCTGAGGGAGGTGAGGGTAGCAGACAAGCGGCCCGCGAGGGCCGTGAGGGATTCTTGCGGTTCTGGCAGGGTGGCCGTTGCCGCCGCCGTTGCCAGTTCTTGTTGCAAATGTGCATGGGTTTCCTTGCGCGTCTGGCCAAGAGGTGAGGAGGTGTAAGCGTGCTCCTTTCCGGTTGGTGTCGTGTAGATGCCGATGAGATCTTGAATCTTCCGGGTGCCATGTAGTTCTAGTTTTTCTTGTGTGCGGCAGTAGTTATTCTTGGCGCGGTTGTCGATGAGAAGCCGGATTTTGCGGCGTTCCTCAGTGGGTTCATCCTTGGGGAAGGCAGTGGCCGGCTGGCATTGGAGCAGGTCGCGGGTGATCTCCTTATCCCGTCCCTTTTGGACATCCTGTTCTATGATATCGATGATTGCCTGGAGAAGGTCATCGTCGAACTCTGGTGGTGTGGCGCGGAGACGGATGGCCTTCGTGCTTCTTGTAGAAGTCGGCCACTTCTGATTCCGGGATAAACGGGGTGTGGTCGGCTTTCCAGACTCCCGCGGTATCACCATTGGCGATAGCGTTAAGCCCTTTGATGACTCGCGTGGTGAAGGTGGTGTCAGGGTGGTCGATTAGGGTGGCCAATGTTTCGATGGCGTCCACATTGCGCGGTGGCTCCGAAAGGAGGAGGCCCCGCAGGTGCGCCGGGCTCTCTTTTTTGATGCGGGCCTTGCTGGTCTCCGCAGTGTCCTGCTGGAGCTCGAGGAGGTAGCGGGTGGCTTGTGCCACCGTGTTGGTCCATTCTTGTGTGTTGTCATCTCGGTCACGTTTTTGATCAAATATAGCTTTAGCGTATTGTTGGTAGAGGCGTAGGTCGACAGGTGGTGACCAGACCGCTTCAGTTAACTGGTCGGCCGTTTTAATCAATGCAAGCTTTAGCTTTTTCGACGTCGTCTTGGACTATTTTTTGTTTCCTGGTGTGGGTGGGTGGGTTTTTTCATTTTCGTTATCCAGAAGACTATCTGAGATCTCCGGAGCGTGAAGCTCTTACTTAGTCACCTATGATCTCCGATAGTATACACACCGACTAGAGAGAACCCGAGCAGATCAGCAGGAATTCGTATCTACATTCATTTCACATTTCGCGGCCTCCGGCCAGACAAATGTTACAGCGCATTAGAATTCACTGCTACCGATCATTTGGCTCGCCTCCTGCTTCCAGCAGTGAAGGCCTCTAGGAGGGTGTGGGTGAGCACGAGTGTCAGGATCCCTTTTTTGGATCACTGTCGCCAAAGGCAGCAGAAGCTGCTAGCTTTTTGGTGTGCAACACGCTGACGCTTCAATAGTCATTGTTCCCATCTAAGCTACCTGCCTATGGGCATGCTCACGGTGAGGCCATGGGTTAAGGAAGCAGTCACTTACTTGCCATTTGTCCAGGCGCGGCTTTCGCCAAGCGTCTTATTTCGACTTCACTTTCTTGCGAAGTGGAGCGGCCTGCGATTGTTTCCGTGCCTGGTCTTTAATACTGGTGGAGGTGGTTTTCTTCTTGGTGACTTTTTTCATCGCCGATTTGCTATTAGGGGGGGCACTTCGAGATCGGCCCCATTCATCTCATAGTAATTGCTTCACTGTTTTGCATTGGTGAGTGGTGCCGAGGGTCGCAGACTTAGGCGCATGGGTGATGAGTGGTCGACTTGTTTCCACTAGATACGTCTGATCTTCACACGTTGCGCAGGTTTTTAAGTGCAGGCATCAGTCTGGGTTTTCCGGTAGAGAGAACACAGCCTGATAGTAGTAGTTCTAGCCGAAGCTTCACAGGTTGGCTTTTTCTACTTCATCTCAGCTACAAAATGGTGGGGCTCATGACATCATAGCGGTTTCAACGAACAAGCTCATCTGAGAAATGTTGTCTCAGCGCCTTGCTGCATGATCGAGAGTCTCAGTTGCGGACTCTCGGGATCCACGCCTCCTCTTGCTTATTTAGACTGGGCTACAACCGCCTCACTCCACTTGCGTTTAACGATCATACTTGCACCCTCTGCGGGCCACTGGTGGATCAAGGGGCAGGTAAGATTATTCTCATCGAAGGCGCATTTGTGGAAGATGTGGCAACAGGCACAGGCGTCCTTAGCCAACTGGTATTTGTCGTGTTTGGGCGCAGATTGAACCACTGGGGGCTCAAGGATCCCGTCTTTAGACACCGGCAGCCGCCCACAAGGAGTAGCATTAATTGTTTTTGCCCATGCGCGACCTGTTTTAGGATCAGACGCGTTCGTCGTGGCCACAGGGGTCCACCCGTCCGCCACCAGCTCCGTCCAGGAGCGCCACACCGGTAAAGTGCCACGGTGGATTAGCTCAGCACTCAGTTGCTTACACTTTGCAGCCGTGGGCTGACCCGGTGGGTTGGCCGGTGCGTCGGTGTTTGAAGGAGGAGCTGGCGGCTGATCCTGGTGAGGTGTTTCAGTGGTCTTGCGACCGCGCGGTAAGTCGACGGCCCATCCGGTGATTAGAGCTGACAGAGGTGCGTGACAGATGGATGGTTCAACAGAGGTCACAAATTATAGTTATGCGGACTGAGTAGTTTTAGCCGTAACTTGGGGCTCTTGAGTGCGGCCGTCTGTTTCCAGTTGGTGCCATGCCACCAGACATTGTTCTTGGAATCCCAGGACTTGTAGCACTGTTTTTCCGGTGCCCACACCCAATGGCAGGCGTCGGCCTTGTTGGGAGCAGCAGTTGGCGCCGCAGCCGCAGGAGGTTGGCCTTTTTTGCCTTTTCCTTTAGCCGGCGGCGCCTGCCAGTTCCACCAGGATTGGTATTCTCCGGCGTTGGTCTCGTCCTTCTTGGGAGTGGTAGAGGAGGTGGCCGCGTGGTTCTTCCTCGTATTCTTCTTGCGGCGCTTAGTTCCAGCAGCATGCGGTGGACCTTGGTCTTCATCCTCTTCAGTAGCTCGCTTTTCAGCAGCAGCGGGAGAGGGAGACGCTGTGGTGTTGTTTTGTTTGTCCTTTCCCCACTGCGCAGAGCGAACTTTAGAGGATTGCTGTAGTTCTTGCTGATGTCGTGCTAAGAACTGCATGGAGGACATGTTGTTCTTGCGAAGTTCGTCATGCGCGTGCGCATACAGCGTCATTGGTATGAAGTGCAACACGAACGCGCTCTTCGCCACTCCGGACAATGAAAAATGAAAAGGGGAGACCAATTTAGTGCCTTCGTCAATGTTAGTGGCCTCCCCTATATACAGCACAAATTTCTGCGCCATGCTCATCGTCGTCGCCATGGCAAATTGTGCATCTGTAATCAATTTTTCACTCTCTCCCCACGTTGCTCCCAGCAAGGCACCTCGCAAGTCCTCTTGACTTCGGCGTTCGAGGGCGTGCAAGTAGCTGAGGTTCCATCCATTCCAGAAAACACGAGGAATAGTTGGGCGGGCCTGTGGGTGAATGTTGGTTGGTGGGGAGGGTAAGTCTGCCCGTACATGTAGGCAAGGTGTGCTGAGTGTAAGTGTGGCGGTATACGTAAGAGACAACATATGGCGCAATTCCTGGCTGATTGTATCATGTAGGTATAAGAGTTCGCTAAGGGTATATAGTTGCACTTTAGCCGAACCAAGCGACAGCAGGCGTTGCGCAGTGGACGCGAGGTCTTGGCACAACGGTCCTCCAATATTCTTAAACAGAGTAAAGGTTTTGGGCGAGGTCTCAAGTTCCTTTGTGGTCAGGAATTTTGTGAGAAACGACCGCTCGGAGCCGATACCCTGCAAGATTAACCAGGCCGCCAGCGCTTTGGCGCTGGCCTTCTGCGTGGGCGTATGTGTTGCAACCCAGTGCAAGAGCGTGGTCGGCGCGAGGTGGACGGTCGGGGCGAGGCGGTGGTAAGCCTGCAAGTTAGCTTGGCAGTTCGGGTAGACCACGGCCGAAAGCAGTCCGCCTTGACTCTGGGTGTCGAGGACAGCTCCCTTGTACGAGGCGACATGTCCTGGCGTGGCCATCCAGGTGAAGGCGAGGTGGTTGCTGAGGTCGAGGCCCGTGAGGTGGAGGATACTAGCACCATCCTTTCCGTCCCTGTGTGTTTTTGTATAGTGTGTTATGAGGTATGTGATTCATCGGTGGTGTGGTATATCGTGCATAGGCTATCTTTAACCGCCCACCAGGCCGAGGCTAAGTTCCTATACGCCGAAGGTTGCACGGCTAAGCTCGGCCATCATCTGGGTCCGGGCTAGTGGTCTTGTTGTGTGGCATCGGCTGGAATGCCTTTGCTCAAACGGTTGCCTCATCCTAGCCCGGGTTGTCCGCCCGCCGTTGGCGCTTACCCATGAGTGGGGTAAGTCCGTTGGCAGGCGGGACAAAACAAGCAATAGCACTCGGTAGAGATGCCATGTGATCTGGAAAGAGATGTCCTGATCTTGTTCATCACCATGCGGGAGGCGAAGAGACCGGAGCGCATTGACCGCGATGGGGCCCGGCTCGTCAGGGTCCTTGAAGCCCGGAACGTCCGAGGCTTCTTTCTTGGTACAGTAGCCAGTCGCCGCCGCATCTGGGTAGATGCCGCGTTCGTCTGGTTTAGCGACGTTATAGTTCGGGGCGGTCTGCTCCTCTTCTTTGAACTTGGCGACGACCTCCTTGATGTTGACCAACCCGCATGGTAGTGAGGGCGGCCATGACTCCATCCGAGTCCTCCTTCAGTTGCGGGTGAGGGTCCAAGATGAGCGCCATGCTCTTGTTGAGGACATAGACCGCGGCCAATTCTGGCTCAGTCAAGTCCCGCACCAACGTGGCCTGGTTTTGCCCGAAGGCAATGGTAGGGCGTTGCTGTGCCTCCATTTTGTAGCTTTGGTTCTTGAGGGTGAAGTAGATTTTTTAAGAGTTTCCTCTTGTATTTTCCCTGGGTTTTGGTGAAAGTAAGCGCTATCGTTGTTTCAAGTGGTGGAGTGGTAGCTTATGTATGTTGTGTTTGCTTAGTCAGTTATTCGCATAATGCCACTTGTAGCCGTCAGTATTCAGGCTTGCTTCGAGTTTCGGCGCGCCGTACGGTGGGCCTAAGTGGCGTAATTTTGTCTAGGTTAGATCACAATAGGCCCAGATCGCTGAACGAGAAAAACAGAGCACGGGACCCGCAAATTTGTAGATCGTCTCTTTCATTCCTGAGACGGTGACTAGGATGCGTCGGCCAGTAAGAGGGTTTCATGGTCCACCCCTGTCGTGGTTCTCTCTCCCCGTTAGGGTTTGAGAGTAGGCCATAGCATGTTTGCGGAGCCGAGCGAGGGCGGGCCTTTTCGCCCTTAGTTCACTTCTCGACAGATTTTTGGATCTCGTACATCTGACCTCTCGTATGCAAAAAACAACAGAACTTTGCTTCATAAGAGCAGTTAGTGGGAACAAAAAGTCTTTCCCCCCCGCACACGGGTACGCTGTGGCTGGTGGTTCGCTCGTTCTCTCGCGGAGATCAGAGCCCTTAAGTCGGTTAAAAGACAAAGGATATACTGAGCATGGATCTACTTCACTACTTCGGCCCTGTTGCGGGTGTCAGGTTGGCTTCAGGTATCAGCCTCTTAGAAGGGTAGCCGCTCCCCACAGGGGGACGGCAGTACCGCAGGACATGTTTTCTGGATCTTCTTTCAGTACCTGTTCGCACATAGTTAGTTGTGTGTTTTCGTCGGCTGTGCATGTTGTTGCCGCGGGTCCATAAGGGGACAAGCGGCATTTTAACGTGCTTCAGCAGTAGAAGCCTGCTCCCGCCAGCAGCCTATACGAGGCTGTAGCCGGGGAAGGGCCGCTATTGGTAGTGGTGGCGGTGGTGGTGGGCGTGAGTTTGGTAGTCAGACGGTGCTTGGTGGCGCCGTTGGTATTCGTAGGCGTGATTTGGTAATCACGCCGTGCTTGGTGGCACCGTTGGTATTCATAGCCGTGATTTGGTAATCGCGCGGTGCTTGGTGACGCCGTTGGCTTGGTTGAGGTGAGAGAGTGGACTCGCGGGGAGTTCCCCAGCCCTCTCCGAAGACCATCCAGAAGACTATCTGAGATCTCCGGAGCGTGCAATTCTTGTTTAGTCACCTATGGTCTCCGATAGTACACACACCGACTAGAGAGAACCCGAGCAGATCAGCAAGAGTTCGCATTTACATTCGTTTCACATTTCGCGGCCTCCGGCCAGACTTTGGCGCACATTTCTCCCAGTTTTCAGCTTTGAAAAAGTTCACTTTTCACTTTTGTTCCTCGCAGGCCTCCCTCTCAAGTTTTTGCTTTTTCTGTCTTTTTTTTCCTGTGCTTTCTTCTCAGGTTTTTACTTTTTCCCTATGTTGGTCCCCCTCTCAAGTTTTTGCTTTTTCTCTCTTTTTTTCTTATGCTCTTTCTTCTATACTTTTCACGTTTTACTAGTGCAAGCCTCTCCCCCAAGCTTCCGCCTTTTCTGTGTTTTTTCGCATGCTCTTTTCTGTGAGCTTTTCCACTTTTTCCCCTGCAGATGAGGCCGCTCGCTCAGGCTTTTGCTTTTTCTCTCTGTCCCTTCTATGTCTTAGCTTGTCAGGCTTTCACCTCTCCCTCCGGCAAGCCTCTCCCAGGTTTTTGCTCTTTCTGTCTGGCTCTGGTCTTCTTAAGCTGGACACCCCTTACGGACATGCTGCTCCTCTTTGTCAGCTTTTCGCTTTCTTGAGTAGCCTAACAACGAATTTGAAAAATGCACATAGATGCGACGGCGTAACATTGCAGCGCAAGGCCCCTCGAGATACAAGCCCAGCCCGGTGGATGTAGCAGCGGACAGGGAACGCAAGGAAGCAAAGGCTGAAGCGGAGTCTTAGCCAAGAAATGGCAGCGGGTTCACGATTCAGGCCAAGCGTGGACTCTGGTTCAGTTTGTAGCCTGGTGCAGTTTAAATGGTTCAGCTTGCTTAAAGAGCGGGCGCGCAAGCTCTGGAAATAGTAGCTAAGAGTTTAAAGAGCAGCAAGCCCAAAAACGGTAGCAGGCTCGCACAGAAATACCAAGGAAGTGAAAGACCCAAAAAGCCCCAAACCCCTGGCGTGTGTGTATATCTTGAGCAAGAAAGAAAAGCGCTAAGAAAGAGAACGCTGGCGCCTGTGCCTGTACTGCTAATTTTCGTGCCAGTATGAAACGAAAGCGACCCCTTCTACTTAAAAGGGTTACGCTATCGCCGTCCAGCCATCTCCCTATTAGAAGCGAGCCGACGTAAGGCGGCAGACTGGCTAGCTGGTAGCCACAAGACTCAAGCTCTGCAGCCCCAGGCGATCTGGTCACCTTCGGGGACTCCTTCGGCCCTCCCTCTCCTTTTTCCTCAGCCTTTCGGCGAGTCCCCTTATCCGTTCCCAAGTCGCCCATTGGTTTGTAGCGGTGACCAAGCCTCGCAAGCAAGGAGGCTCGATTTGAAGTGCTTACTTAACGAAACGTCTCGGGAACCCTCTCGCGAGAGGGGTCGCCGAGCCCTCGTCTTGTAAGTCGTGCCCATATGCTAGCGTGTGTAAGCTAAGTCGCGTCTTCGAAAGAAACACGAACACCCACTAGGTCCCGCGGTTTGAGAGATGGCCTAACGAGTTCAAACCCCTTGACCTTATGGCGATTTAAAGTTTAAGCTGTTGCCTTTTCTTTTTTGGAGGGTCCCTAGAAGGGGCCTGCGGACCCCCTTCCGAGGCTCAGATCTGGCGTCTCGATCTGAGGGAAATCCCCAAGGGCCACGGCCTCTTTCGGCTGCGGGCCTCCGCTGCAATGCCCAACATGAGCGGGCACTCTCTCACCCCGTCTGCCGCACTTCTTGGCTTTGCATGGCCGGGGCCGAAAAGATTGCCTGACGCTTCTGGGCCAGGCCTCTTTGGCTAAGCTCGTTACTATGTCTTGTTACCTCCTTGGCAAAAGTGTTCGCGCTAAAATGGACCCAAAGCGGCAAAGAGAGGCTTTTTAAGTAAGGAGAAACGCACCCACTTCATCGCCAGCGTGTTGCCTGCTGCCCTCCTGTAACGTTAGAGCCCCCACACCAAGGCAGCGGGTGCGCTTTAAGCTTTAGCCCCTACCCCAAGAGAACTCGGGTTCAATTCGTGGCGCATCCTCAAGCTCGTCTTTGTTGTTAAGGGGCCTCCGGGGTCAGCTACTATTATTAAGCCCGGGAAGAAACTGGCCCGAGGGTATTCCTGGACCACTGAAAACGCAGAAAAAAAGAGGCGCCCTGCGGTCACTGTTTTCGTTTCATGCGACCGCGGGAACATGACCGAAAACCTCCAAAACCTGGGCACACTCTTCCAAATAAGAGACGGCGAAACCCAAGCACCGCCGCGGCGGTGGTCTTTTGCTTGCTTTTGGGTCCAGCCTTTCACCTTTTCCCCTTGCTCTGTTTGGCAGACAAGTACACTGATCGCCAGTAGGGAAAGCGAAAGCAGTCAGTGACCCCTAAAAAAAAACAGCATAAGAAGATAGCCAGTTGCTTTGTTTTGGGACTTTTTGGCTCTATTTTATTTCGCAGTACTGTTACTTTGTATTTTTAGGAGAGTGCCATCGTGGAAGTCGTTGGAGAAAAGTAGACGGAGTCATTACTTTTGCGTTGTAATTTTAGTCAAACAATCAGTTAGGCACAAGACCAGAATCGCTAGAACTCAATATTTTTTTATATGTCTTATAAGTAGCTGATGGAAGTGATCACATGCTTAAGACTAGGTCTATCTTTTTGTCTACTTCAATTTCAAGATGAAGGAAAAAGGATACGAAAAAAAACATATGAAAATCAGTTGAGTTATGCAGGAGAAGAAAGTGATCGCTCCACTCGATCGTCATGGTGAGCATTCCATGAGAACTACCAACTGCAATTTCCTCGTCAATGAGAGTCAAACTCTCTCGAGGAGGACACCACACTGAATCTGCACAGTGTTCAAGATGTTTGAAGAGCAGCTCACGATTCTAAGAACACAGGGCTGAATCTTGAGAGGATACCTGCGCACACCCTTCCGGTGGCAGGAGGCGCGTATTCATGGACTTGCTTGGCCTACTAGTGAGTTGTCGATACAGTCATACTTTATCGAGCGAGAGAAAGAGAGATAGAAAAAAAGCTCCACCACCAGCGTACGATTTCTATTTCAGCGAGATACGCAGGGAATTTTAGTTGTGTTAATGATAACGCTTCAGATCTTAGTCCGCAGCTTCATCACGGTCATCAGAGACTCAAAAAGCTAAGCCCAAACAAGGTTGCCAAGTCGATCGTGAGAAGCATCAAGGAAACTGCTGGAAGTGCGATGGAGCGCGAGAGGAATGAGAGAGACCCGTGCAGAAAAAACAGCACCGAGTCGATGAGGCATTTTTTATTTGTTGACTGTGAAGATCGGCGGCTCCACTGGCCTTCGCGACATGATCTTTTGTTTGGACCTTTTTTGCGCGACATGGTTCTAAATTTCATGTTTGACGAGCTTGGATCACGATTGCGATGGGGATTAGCATTAGTCAACTTTTTTGAACGGCTAGCTTGCTCATTTAGAACGACGGCTTTCATCCTCGTCGAAACTGCTCTACAAAATCTTGCTCCTAGCATGAAAGATACTAGATCAAAGATTTGCGAACATTGGAAAAGGGGCGCTCTTATCTATCGACTTACGTGAGTGAATTTTGAAGATCGGACTTTGCAGGTCACATCGCAACCAATTTGCAGACAAAGCCTATCGTAATGATTTAGTACAGGTTCGGGCAAGCCCTCAATGTTTCGACTTCACTCACAGCACTGCCAGGTGCCAGAGGCTTCGATTATATTTTCAAGACAAAGACAAAAAGTAGGTAGCAGTCAGGAGGAAGAAGGGGGCATGAGATTGCTGTTGGCTTGGGAGAAAGAAGATATAGAAGGTTTGAACGTAAGGGAAAGCTCTGCAGATAAATCAGTCTCGTTTAGTGGTCTCTCACTTCATCTTGCTCTCGTCCCGGTCCTTCTTCTTCACACGACAGAGACAGTCCTTTTATTGCTGCCGCACACGACACAGAGCACAAATCACACTGGCTCACAAATCAGCAACATCCAGAACAAACGAAACTCGACCGAGGGTAATGCGCAACTGCACTCATCTTCAGCTTCATCAAGAGCCTATACTGGAAACTTACACAGTCAACGCCTGATCCTGAGGCTATTGATGGCTGCGCGGCTGCAGGGGAGAGTCTAACTCTGATGACTCGCATCCTGTGCTTTTTAGTCCCAGCTGTAGGCCCATTTTTATGCTATACGCTGGAGCTTCTTGTTATACGTTCTCTGGCATCAGAGAGATCTACATCTACAGATATCTTATTTTTTCCTCCTTGCCTTGAGGTGCCACGGCTTGCCGTATTGAACGTCCATGCATGATTCAAGGTGTGGGCGGCATTGCTCGAGGACGAAGAGAGACGTCGAGCAGCAACGGCTTGATACTGATGAGAGGTCTCGAAGTGCCACCATTATTCTGCAGATATCAAAAGATCTTGAAGAAATAAATTAAATAATATGGCTCCATGCCGCGTCCACGACACTGCCACCATCTATATAGTAGAGGGGACGAAAAGCATTACACTGCTCTTAGTGCACGGTAGTGGATGAAAAGTAATAAGAAAAGACCTTCGCCCAATAGTCAACAAAAGCGTATAGGCTTAATATTAACCATTTTGGACGAGAAGGCAATGAGTACCAGGTTACTCCTGTTGGATCAGCGATGCTTCTACTGTGGTAGAGAGAAGATCTAGAAACAGCGTTTCGGTATCTTATTCTGAGAGTCACGAACATCCAATAGTAGCAGTTGAATAAGAAGCGAGTAATTCTTTATCACTATCAATCAGGGCAATGCTTCAATTGAACAGAGGATGAGGACATATCACAAGAAACGATCAAAGAAGCCGAGCACTAAATACGATGAAAATGAATACGAATAAACTACTCAAGAACGAAATAAAATCAACGAAGTGCTACTGCGGAAGAGGTCCAAGTAATTAAGGTTATCACGCTTGTAAAAAGCAGCGAGATAGACGACTAAGAACGAAAAGACGAAGAACTACAAGAACAATATGCTACGTCTACGTGGGTGAATGTCAGAAGTCCTTTTTTTTGATGGTGAATTCGTAAACTGAGAAAGGACATCATGACCGAAACACGTGAGGAAATGGGTTGAAATCAATTCAATATTGGCCAGCTGCTTACCGAGTCAGGCATGCATGAGAAGTGATTTCTGAAGAAGACGAGTTTCCGCGTTTTACAACTCACATGATCGACAGCTACAACATACAACGGGAATAAACACAATAAGAAAAAATAAGACTTATGGGAGTGCAACTAGCTGTAGTAGGATAAGAGCACTGGGAAGAGGAAAGTCAGAAAGTCAGTTGCTCTATCAATTTTCATCTTTTTGTCTGCAACACAGAGAGGACTACACCGAGCAGGAGCGTGAGCACCACCAATTAGACAGAGAGAAGCACACTTCTCGAGAATATAGCGAAAATGCGACACAATCCACGGCCTCAACGAACGACTCAACAATTTCAATTCAGACGCGTGTGCACCTTAGTCATCTCATGCGCCCGTTAGTGGTTCTCTAAAGCTTCGACTTCGACTTGCACGTGCTACATTCTGATGAAGTAACAGATATAGAAACGAATGAACAACAGAAACCCTAGTGGTATTTCGAACTCATACTCGACGCCAATCACGCAACGCTCTGACCTTGCCTTCATACCTCAATAATTTTCCTCATCCTCAACCGCTCCGCTGTCGATAGACATAGAGGCCTCATGGTAAGATAGGAGGAAACACCACCGGGCTCATGCTCATCGCAAAAACCTCGCGAAAGTACAAGCATCCCGTGAAACGAGCCACCTCCTCAAAGCACTACGCTCGCCTCGCGCGCTCGTATCTGGATGAAAAGGTGATTGCTCGAAAAGATGATCGAGGTGTTTCGCGTGCAGGGGGTCTTAGTCTCTTGTTGAATCACAAACACAACACGAGGACAATTCATATTCAGCGGGGAATTTCATCACTCGGCGGTAGTTGTTGAAGTTCAAGCCGTCTGTATTCTGTTTCACAAGGACGAGGGAACCTAAGATGCTGGTCAAGATACGGCATAACCATAAGGATGAACGTAGGTAAGATTCAGACTCAGACTCAAGGGTCACGATCAGGCCAGGACGCTATGCACAACGGCTTCACGATGGAACGACAGTTACATATCAAATCAGGGTAAGGCATGCTGTAGGAAGGCATGCTAGTTTTTTCCTTCGAAGTATCTATATAAGCGTGTAGATGAAAAATCTGCACTGCTGCAGTCCGGTCGTAGTGAGGGTCCATAGTCTGACTTAACTAGAAGAGAAGCCAAACCAATGCATTAGGTTAGACCCAGGTCTGCTATGAACCTATTTGGTGCTCGATGTGAGACGAGTCTCTATTTCTAACTCTACCACTGATACACACACGAGCATAAAATCGCTTACGGAAAGAAAGCAAAACAAGTCTACAGTAGTTATGTCAACGAAGAGCGAGCCGCATCAGATAGCTTCGCCCTACGACGTCCCTATCCTACCGATGTTAAGCAACGACGCCAAGATATGCAATCTGAAAAACTATCGACAATCAGGCACATCAATCGAAGACCAATAATTGAAACGATCACGATGCATCTAGATCTAGTAATTTGCGGTGCTTCTTTCTACTCGTATAGGTATCCTTAGGGCGATTAGTAGATAATCCAGATCAGAGTCAGAGCTTGATGAAGCGACAACGGAAACGCGACTGATATTGAAATAGCTTACACCTACAGACCCTCTGAGAATAGTGCTGGGAAGTAGGGTCTGGGCACAACTACAATTGCACAGAAAAGAACGAGGACAATGTTACTGCTAACTCGTGTAGCTGTACGTAGTTAGGAGAGTAAGAGATGCCAGAGCCTGGCCCTATCGTAGCCAACCATCTACTTCGACGTCAAGCACCGGAACCGATTTCGAAGGTAGACAGCGTGCTGGCCCGGAGATAGTACAATCCCAAGGCTTGCAGATGAGTCTAGACTCGCAACCACTAAACCAATCCCAAGGGTCTCAGGGTCAGCAATAGTCTCTACTTGAACATCAAGCAAGATATAGGTAGTAGAATTGATTTACAATATGGATATAAATTCATTAGAAGAACAAGAAGCGCTACTATAACTATCTATAGTCGTGAAACCTAGCAGACGACAGAGAACGACATAGACATACATTTGCTCCAAATCCAACAACAATGATAATTGACTCTACGTAAAAGAACCCGGCATCGAATCGTGAACCGATCTTCAGGCCCAGGCAGTTCTATACTTCATTTCCTTTACTAACTCAGTCAGATTAGCAGACGACGTAGTAGTTCGCTGCTCATATTCAAAAACGCTAATGCCTGCTACACGACTTCTAGGTTGATTTATGAGAGCATAAGATATGGATACCACGCTCGAAATTCAATAAATTGCGCCTACATGGTGACAGACAGCGCGCACGTGGCAACATCTAGTCCTGGTAGTAACATAGACAAGAACAATAAGAGTAAGAACTAGTTTTATTCTATGATGGAAGTGCAAGTACGTCTTAGGGTGTGAAGAGAAGACCCCTACTTCGGTTTTTATGTTCCACCTAGTCCTAGTGCGATCCTTTCTAGTTGCCTGCAAATCCTGATGCTGATGGCACATCTCGGAAGGCGTTAGACTTAGAAATAGAATCGCAGAGACCAATGCCAGTGACACAGCAAGAGTGACACAAGAACACAAGGAGGTCTAGGGCTAGATAGAAATAGAGCGAGGCTAAGGGTGATACTACAGTTAAGAAGAAGAGGCCTCTTACCAATTTCGATAGACGAGTGATTTGTTCTTCATACTGGTCTAGTTCTAGTTCTAGAAGAAAAGACTGTAGCTGAGTGTGACGGAATGTGAGAAAAGTGGGACGCCTAGTTGTGCTACGATCTCCAACACAGTCGCGCCAGTGGTGTTGAATCATACAGATGACATTGTAGTAATTTCCGCAGCACTAGGCTAGGGGTAGAGAGTCTGGCTGTGAGTGGGTCCTCGATGGGTTGAAGAAACAGAAGCACAAGTAGTTCTCTTTCGTGAGTCAGAAATTCGAGAAGTATAAAATCAAAAATATCTGTACGCTTTCGAAGTGCCAGAAGCACTTCATCTCCCGAGTCTGGCAAATTACCAGAGGCCGTCCGCATACAGCGGTACGTTGTGCGCTGACGTGATATCCAAATCATTGCCATCCTCCTGGTCATCCTGCTGTGTGGCTTGCTTGTTTTTCTTACTAGACTTCTGGCCATCCTCGAGGGCCTCGTCACCAAAGACATCAACATCACTATCAGTCTCCTCCACTTCATCTTCTTCTTCTATCTCACCACGCGCGTATTCCTCCAGATGCTGTCGCAAGCCGGGGCACACGGGGTACACGGAGCGCAAGGCGCATCGATCCAAGCACGCGAGTTTTTCAGCTAGGGTATGCTTCGAGTCGATAGTCTTCTTAGCATCGTTTCGATCCTTGGCGCGAATCAACATGTCCGCGACAGCCTTGCCAATTTTCGAATGCTGAAAATTATAAGTGGAAGGAAGTGTTACGACTTGATGGTGAGACTGAGAAAATCTTGTAGGAGAATGAGCACGAGGCTGAGGCCACGGAAAGATGTTGACTCTGATCTAATAAACACTCAGACACTTGTAGTACTACTGTGCCATACGCATCAGACAAGAAGATATGAGTCAATACCATCAGCTTGACGAGCATCAGCCCAGTCTTGTTCGATTTCGGATTAGCCGCGGCCAAAATCTGACACTTCTGCTCTGCATCTTGCCACTCGGTCGGAAAATGAAACTTCTGGAGGTCGTGCTCCTTTTCGTTAGAGTTCTGCTTCTTGGATTTCGTCGTAGTTGACTTTTTCGGCACAGTGCTGACTTCTGCCAAGATCTTCAAGTTTGCATGTAGCTGCTGGAGGCCACGCGCAAGGAACATTAAGGCCTCCAGACCCAGTGCCATACCAGCGCGAGCTGTAGGCTGAGAATTTGGATAGGGAAGCACGGTGCTGAGAGTCTTCGGGCGTAAGATTCGTCAACTGTATTCCTACTGCTCCAAGATACAACTTGTCCAAAAATTCAAGGTATGTCAAATGCATCTACAGGTCAATAAAGTAAGAATCAACAAGAAGAGTGCTGAATACTTCACTTTCTTGGTCTTGTTCCTTATCTGCTCCGGGAAGAAGCTGACTCTTTTTCCCCATCCTCTTCATCTTCAGCTGTTGCTTCTTCTGGTCCTTCTTCAAAGAATTTAAATCGATTGCACTGGCGCCATCGTTCAAATTGGCAGCCGGATCGTCTTGAATCAATGCGTTTGTGGTGCTTTCCGTCACCTCTTTTTTGAGGAATCCAGGGATCTGGTTTCGCGCCTTAGCGGCGCACAATCCCATATCCGAAAGCAAGCTTTCTGGCGTTGCCGCGACCTGTGAGTGGATGAGAGGCAAAATGACATAAATCCATATGGTTTCGAAAGAGTTTGAATTTCATTGAAAAACATGTTGATGAAAAGAAATTTATAAAAAGCAGATGGCGACTACAGAAAAGCTGACTCAGATAAAAACAAAGTGAAAGAGAAAACGTAACTACAAACTCACCCAGCTGGATTTTGTCGTTGTGTTTTTCCGTACTGAACTGCTCAGCCAACTCGAGATATTTCTTGGGGATCAGCAAAACATCCACGACCTGCTTTTTCGTGACGTTGAACATCGTGGTCTGAAAACCGTAACTGATCGTTTGGGCAGTTTCCTGCGCGCCACCCTGTAACCCGCAGACAGCAGTCTGCCAAAGGGCAGTGTCCAGCGGCATTGGCAAATCATGCCACTTCTGGATTCCCGCTCGAAAAACTCGCGTGTAAATCGATCCATATTCCTTGAAGCGCAACAGCGCCGGCAATGTCGCTTTCATAATCTGCGAGGAGTAAAAAGAGCATATGAGAATACATAAACAAGAGATGCGGAATAACCTAGAGTCGATCTGCAGCCGCAATCACTGAATTTTACTGAGAAAAAAAACTCATACAGAAGCACACCACGACAATCACGATCGAAGAAGTTCACTAGTAGCCAGGTAAGAAGTGGGTAGATAAAGGTATAAGCACCACGCCGTTGTAAGGTTGCTTAGCTGGCAGGAGTCTCTTCACATCGACAGGCAGGCCACCATACACGTAGACTTTCTGCTGCCAGAGGGACATACTCAGATACGCATCGGCCAAACATTGACCCCGCTGCACGGTCGCAATTGTCTTCAGGAAATTCTCGATGTTGTCTAGCTTCTTGAAGATGTTCATTCTGTGATCAATCGAGTCGCACTTGAAGGCCTTCTCCTCTCCGTCCTCGGTGGTCATAAAAGTTCCTCCAACACCCATGGACGCATCCTCCGGCTGGATATTGTGACAAAACAGCGCAGTCGCCAGCCCTTCGTCATCCAGCAAGGACACGTTGAAACCAGCCGGCCAAATTGGTACACGGAGATAGACACGAGAATCGTCATCGATCATAGCGAAGTCACGAAATTGGTTGAGAAGGTCCTTCCTGTCCTTGACGAACGTTTTCTGCTTGTTCGCATTCATTAGAACAGGTGAAGAATTCAAAGACGAGAAGGTCTAGCCAGCTTGTGACATTCAGGAGTGGGGCAGGCAGGTATAGCGTGACTCTCATAACAATGCAATTGCACATCAGAAAAACAAAGCCTCCAGCTGCGTAAGCAACTGCAAGTGCCAGTTTCTTAGACCAAAGGTGCATAGTGAATTTTTGAAAAAAATACAGCTAGAAGGATCAGCATCAACATCAAGGTAGTTGGAGTCGAGTCGGATACTATAGGGATAGCGAATGTCTACTACCGTAGCTCCATCTGAAAACAAGTAGACCAACTCAACATAAAATGCGTTCTCGCAGAACTCCGCTCGTTGTCGTAGTCGTTGGTTCCTCTTTCATCTCTTCCTTAGCGCCCTGCTTGCTGTTGGTTGTCTTACCATTGCAGGGGGCCTCGTTTTCCTTGTCGGCTTGTTGCTGGTTGTTGTTCTTCCTGGGACGACCTGTGAAGATTTTTCATGTACAGTATCTGTTTCCCGGCGCCACGGCGTGTCTATTGGATAGAGCGAAAAACAGAACAACACCTCGCTCAGTTCACTAGCTGCTGCTACACCTACACGAGAAGTTGAGAAATAAATGGCCTACACGAACAAGTTGACTCAGCAAGAAAAAATGAATAGGAAGCTTTACCTCGCGGCTTTGCAGCAGGTGGCTTCATTGCTGACTTGGCCTTCGCCTCTTGCTCCATGATTTTCTGGAACTCCGCGCGATCCGCAGCATCTTTTTCCGCCTGCGTTTTGCCACGTCGTGGCTTCTTCGCCGACGGGCCAGCAGATTCTTGGTCACTCGCCATATCGCTTGGCAGAATGCCGCTGTGGATGTCGTGGTTGTAGAGTGAGCTGTTAGCGCAGAGACCTTGCTCATCGACGACTTGCCCAGGCAACCCAAACATATTCTTGGAGTTCATTCGAGAACCGGGAATTAATGGGGTCTCCATTCCAGAACCAGAGTGAAACCCATATCCACCGGGACCTGCTGGCGTATTGATACCGGATGGATATTGGCTAAACCCAAAACCTCTGCTGCCGCCACCAAAATTGCCATAGACTGAGTTGTGACCGGATGGGCCTGCTTGCCCAGGACCGGGCATCGTGAAGTGGTGCTGATGGAGAGAGAGTGGAGCAATGAAGAATCATGATTGGAATGAAAATATTAAACATAAAAAGTACAAGAAGAGCAAGACTTTTCTCAAAAGACTCTGACGTAGGAGCTTGCTCACAATCAATATTAAATCCCTACGATGATGGACAGACCCTGCACTTTTACTTTATTAGCTTATTACCGCAGGAAAGTATTCGGATCGGCTGGTGGTTGGGCCACTGAACATTGCACCTGGCGCCCGGGTGCTGTTTGGTGATCCACCAATAGGACTGGGCGCAAGACTCGTGCTCCACCCTTCCTGCAAAGCTGCCGTTACTTCAAATCTCGCCCACCACGGCCAATAGCCAAAGTCCACGTCTAGAATTGCCACTTTGAACAATTCCTTAGCGCATGCCGCCAAAGCCTTCATGTCCTGTGATTTCTGCGCCTCCAGCGCCTGTTTGATCATACCACGCAAAATGCGTCGCCGTGCTTCCGGAATATCCGCGCTTGAATCTGTGGAGGTTGAAAAAGAATACCAAAGAAACGAGCACAAGAAATAGGATAAGATATTGAATTCTTATAGAAGAGAAAGACTCTCCAACCTAAACTACATCTGTTACGGAAGAAGAGAGGACGAATAGTTGAGGTTGATCTTGATGCATAGTACTCCTGGATCGTCTGAAACAAAGGATAAATAATACTAGTACCTTCCAACATATTTCGCAGTCCTGTAGCTCTTGCTGGGTTTCGGGCCAGGAGGAGAGTCTGCCCTTCCAAGTAAGACCCCAACTTAACAGCGACAAACGGCTCCGGGACACCACTGACGAGACTCATGTTGGTTGGTGGTGTGTGCAGATCCTTCGCCGGCGGGCTCTCCAGTGTCTGGCCCATTGTTTTGTAGTGCATGAATTGGCTCTTGCTGTTTCCGTTCTTCGAGATACTCGCATCCGAGTCTTGGATCGCTTTGCGCAATTGGTTCTGCTTGCTGGTTCTCACTGCTTCCTTGAATTTTGCATGTTTCTCCTTCGTTTCCAACCACTTGAACGCATTAAAAAGCTTCTTGTTTTCCCGGATCCTAAGTGGTAATTATATAGGGAAAGATCATTTTTCAAAAGTGAGATGGTCTAAAGTTCAATGTCAAACTAAAGCCATTCTAAGCAAAGATCACGAACGGAGAGAGAGTTACAACCAGAGACCTGCTTCTGCTTGTAGATCACGTAAAGTCTGTACCTGCTATTAGATTTCTAGTTCGAGTACTAGTTTTACACAGAAAACAAAAGCAATAGCTCCACTGGTATCAAAATCCAATACACTTTCAGCATCGCTTTGTAATTCCCGCAGTGCTTGAGCAAATTGCTCAAGCTCGGCGCAGCCAGTGAGAGCATCGTAGGAAAAAAGGTCTTGAAATCCCTTTTGCACTCTGTCGTTTTGCATGCTCGCTGGATCAGCGTAAAAAGAGCACCCACAATCTGCATTGAGCGATACCATTGGCGCTGTCCGGCGTGCGTTGTACACACTTCCAGAGCCCGATACTCGTTGAGTGTGCCATCCTTTTTTCCTTTCGCCACCAATTTTTCTCTGGAATAAACAGTAGATGCATTGATACTGAAGAGTTTGAAACTCATAGTAAGTTCTTTCATACAAGTTGCATCAATGTCGAAGAAGACTAGAAACAAAGAACGAAAACTGAAGCAGAGATTTACATTTAGAATTTCGCTGGTACTGGTTAGCCTTAAATGAACAGCAGCAAGAAAATCCAACTAGTACTCGCATGCTTCCCACTGTAACGGGGACAAGGGCAGACACTCGCTGATAACCGCTAAAATCGTTGCCCACTGGTGCTTGTCCTTTGGGTCCAGCACTTGTTTGATCTTGTCATCTGTTTGGGAGAGAGAGCGAGAGATATCAAAAACCAAACATAAAATGGCACTCGAATCATAGGCAAGAGGAAGCCTGCGATCTCTATCGTAGTCAGCCCGCAGGTCACAAGCACATCATCCAAGATTAGATAGTCCAGCAATAGAAATCTCAAAAACAGCCTAGACTACGGGTAGGGAAACTTAGTAGCACCTTTATGCAGAGCGTGCCAGGGCGACTTGTAGATTTGGAGATGCTCTGGCAATACTTTCAGCACCTCTGTGATGTTGTATCCCAGAGGCATAGCCAGCGACAGAATTTCATCTCTATGCTCCAACTGGATCTGAAAACGAAGGACGCGGCTAAGCTTCTGCACGAAGTCGTCCTCTTTTTTCATTTCGTTCGCCTCACGGATAGCTGGGTATTAGAAGAGTGAGGCATACAACTATGCCGGGGGGATGGGGAAGTGGATCAATAAACATCCTCTGCATTAGTCGATCCCGATGCTTTATATTTTCACTCTGAACCTAGCAGGTCCATGTCGATGTCACAACCTAAAATATGGATCTGGACCGTTGAAAGGCGACTGATCTATCCATCCTGTACAACGTAGTACGAATAAAGCTAGCCCACAAAACAACGAACCCTTCAGACAGATAAATAAAACCAATCCTGCAAAGTGAAAAGCTACTTTTCAAGATACAAATGCAGCAGCTTTTTTTTATGCAACTACAACTACTATCCATCATAATCTAAATCCGGCCCCAGACTCATCTGCTTGTCATTTGCTCCGAGCAGGAGCCCTTCGACTCCCGCCTGCCAATTGTCCATGTTTTTACTCTTGCCCGTAGTTCTGTATTTGTTGACTGGTATATAACTAATCAATTTGTAGTCTCAATTTGTGAAAATTTACTCTCGCAGGTTTTCCTATGGTGAGCAGATTGGTGAAAATGTTTTTTGTTGAAGACAACAGCTACAGTGTCGAGTCCGCGAGTATTCGTTTTGACAGCAGTAAGGACTTATTCATATGTTCACGAATCCCAATGAGATATGCACTCTACGTCATATTATCGAACGAAGTTGGTCGTTTCTCACAGTTGAAAAGCGTCCCTGCCCTACTCCTCTTTCATCACTGGAGAAAAACGCAGAAGATCAAGACTGGCCACCACTTATTTGGTCGCCAAAATAGATAGACAGTTTCCAATGGGGTCAACGTCTGGTAGATGCACGAACGTTGCTGATATCAAGTTCAAGAAGAAAGGTGACACTGAGGAAGTGAGAGCTTAGAATTGCAACAACGACTATAGCACATTCGTCCTTGGAGGGACTTCAGAACCAGAACAACGAGTAGAACACATCTTGAAGTTTAACTGAGGTGGTCGCGGTCGCACTTGCGGGGTTTGTAGCCTTCACGCCTGAAGGGGCTGCTACTCCGGGAGAAGAGAAATTCTGCGTTCATGAAATGAGATATAAGGCACCCCCTAAGCATCGTTCTGAGTGCTATTATCTGAAAAGACGCCTCATCTATGCGCGACGAAAAATAAGCTCATTCTGGCAAGCATCTGGGGAGAATGACAACAAGGCGAGATCGTCTGTATCTGAGGGGAATAGAAATAAGGAGTATAATCAGCTTGCTCGTATCTACCAAGGCGAGGACCAATTGGAGCGAGTTGTAGGCGTATCCATTTGCGGGCAAATAATTACGGACAAATAAACTGCTTAGTGCGTATGTCAAATAAAACGAAACGGCGATGCGGTTGTCGTTATATGTAAATTTGGTTTATTTCTGAATCAATCTACGAAACGGCACTGGGTGGGGCAACTTGTGCCCTTGATATGTGACAGAATCAATGGCGAATAACAAGAAGGAGCGGAATCGAATGAAGAATATGAATATCTATGACACACGACTAACCTTAACATGATACGAACCAAATGCCACTACCATGGGTGAGAAACCACATCAACAGTTGCAATGCGAATAATGACCACAGAGAAAGCGATTTATAAGCAGAACTACACAAGGAAACTGAAGCAATTAGCAAAAACAGACTGGGAGTCGCGTGCTACAGCTACTGTTATGCGTGAGAAAATAGATCTTGAAGATATCAGATAATTGCGGTTGCTTAATGCGGTGGCATTACAGAAAAAGCTAGCCAATGCACATGGAAAACAAACACAGCTCGGCCTACAGCTAATAAACAAGATAGCTAGTAAGTAGACATAGATACAGCTACAGCGAAATTAATGGAAGATAAAAACAATCAATATGAGGATGAGAAAGGTTCATTGATACACATTCATAACAATTAACTTTGACACATAGAGCTGCTTATCTCCTCTGGCAACACTTTTACTAGCGCCTGCGGCAGTGATCGCTATCGTCATGCAGTGCATGTCACCAAGTGTTGCAAACCAAAGGCGAACGCAGATCCACATCCAGCAAAACGTGTCGCATAAAGTGCACGATGTACAAGATGCGCCTGCTGCTCTGGGTGCTCGTTGCGCGTATGCTTGTCGTACTCAGAAGCTGATGAGCGTGGGATGGTGTAACACCACGCGGAAGTTGTAACGAACATTCTTGATGTGTGAAGGTCTTATTAACAACCTTCTAGAAGGTCGTCGCCTTCATCGTGTAGTACTAGTTTTTGAGATTTCTCCTTCTTGCGCTTTTTCGCGACCCTATCCTTATCATTTGTTCGCACTCGTTTTTTATCCTTCCTACCGTCTAGAGTGCCAGCACAACCCCGCACAGTAGAGCCTCCGTTCTTAGCTTTGTTCTGTGACTGAGACTTGCTCTGCTGCTGCTGCTGCTGCAAATCCAGCTCCGCTGATGCTCTTGCCATCGAGTTGTCCGCTGGCTGTTTAGCAGAGACATCATTGCACGACGATGAAGAAGACGACGAAGGAGTCGGAGCAGTCGCAGAATCACTAGTAGTAGTAGAAGCGGCAAGAAAAATGCCGTCACGACTGAGCTGCTTCTGCAGTCTCTTGCAGCCTGTCAGCGCACGCTGCTTACCAAGTTTCACGTTTTGAATAGCTTCCTCCATGTTGTCATCTGCTGTCTTCGACAAGCCACTGGCCCGTTTGCGGATGTACTTCAATCGTGCTAAAACCGTTGACGAGAAGCTCCATAACAGTTGGAGCTCCTGCACACTGTGCGACGAAGATGTAATTCTAGCTACGTAGTTCCTGGCTGAATTTAGAAGCTCCAGCTCCCGTTCTGTTTTAACAGTGCTCCATGATGGAATCTTGTCGTTTTTTGATTTTCTGACTGGGTCGTCCAGCGCAGGGTCTGGCGGAAGCGTAGGGAGTTTCAGCTTGCTTGATTCTGGCATGGAATTGGAGAAAGGTACTGAATCGACCACACCCGCTGCCGCAGTAGATGTAGATGTAGTTGCTGGAAGAACTTGTAGGGGAGAAGCGTTGCCAAGGTCGACCCCAGACACAACACCACCACCAAAATCGGGACTGATATCCGCCGCATCAAGAGCAGGTAGAGCCCCGATGTCCTCCGCTGCTGGAGCATCTTCAAAACCAGCATCATCAAAAGTAAACTCTTCCAGAGTCAGAGCATGCCTCAAAACAGAAGGAGACCCTGACCCAAGGAGACAACGGCCAGGGCTCACCCACGTGAGAGACTTCGTTGCTGACTGTGCTCGGCAGTCCCCGTTGAAGATGAGACGATGAGGATCTACTTCTACATCGGTGCTAGCTCGCGTTACTGCGGTGTCATTCAAAGACGAAAGAGAGGGCCTCGCCTCTTGCTGTTCCTGCTTCTTCTCGAGGAGCTTGCGTTTGCTGTCCGTGCGTGCTGCCATCGGGCTAGCCGACGCCGAGGTCTTACTGTAGCCAGAGACAGCAGTAGTTGCACAAGTATCCACACGGGCAGGAGTTGACTTTGAAACAGAACTACTAGTAACATTCCTAGAGCAAGCAGCTGAGTTGCGTTTGTTGGCCACTGTTTTTTTCGCATCAAGCCGAATCGCTGTAGCAAATGCAGATCCCGGAGCAGCAGGAGCAGCCACTGCTGCTGAGGTGCTAGCGCTGTTCTTGCTTTTCATCCACATGCTGCTGCTACTGCTGCTGCTGCAGTGATGGCGATCCTGTTGATGTTGCTGCTCGCTGGGATCTCTGCCTGACGCTGCCTCACAAGACGCGACAGTCTTAGTCTCTAAACCACTAGGAGTAGGACCTTCTGAAACCGTAGCAAGCCTGCAGCGCATACGCGGTCGTGAGTCACAATCTGCCTCAGAATTTATGACTATGGACGAAAGGCATTTGGTATTCTGCAGCGAACCTGGAAGATCTAGAAACTCAGGCGGTTCTGCAGCAGCAGGAGGAAGAGGATGTCGCATCTTGACACGGTTGCCGCTAGAACTAGGAGTACTGGGTCCTTGAAAAAGATGAAAAGAGGAGCAGCTGTTTTTAGTGCCCAGCAGAGAGGGCGCGACTTCCTCTGTTGCATTTGCGGCCACATCTGTCGAGGTTGTAGTAGGCGCAGATCCTGCATTGTCGTTTGCCTTAGTGGTTTTGATCAGACCAGCTAGCGGGGGACTGCGATTGCCGGAAGTCCCATCAAATTCACAGCCGCAATTATCAGACACTTTCCTACTAGATGAAGAAGCGCGCAAAGCTACTTGCGGCGGCCTGCTTGAGCATCGGTCTTGAGCATGTTGGTAGAAGTATCGCTGGCTGTTATTGATCCTACGATTGCGCCCACGGTTAGGCAGTGCCACTTCGACCTTTTTCTTGGATGCGTTGGATCGGAGGGTGGAGTGGTATTCTAGCGGAGAAGCAGGCACTTTATTCGAAACAGCGTCGACGCCTTCACATTCGCATGATGTTCTGTTGATTGGCGGCCGCTACTCGGTTGGACCCTATTGACAGGAACGCCCGAGCAAGAGGGAGTAGAAGTAGAACTAGAACTCGCATTCTGCGGCATTTCCGCAACCTGGACTGATACAGCGTTAGGACGATTAAGAGTCGCGACACATGTCGAACCATGACGCGACGGGGGAGAATGCTTCGCTACTGCGCCTGTGCAAGTGCCTGCGGGACATGCGCTGCTTTCATGGTGAGCCATTTCTACGCAGCGTGCCCTCCTGTTGTTGGTTGCGTTGGATTCTGCGGAGAAGTGGTCTTGCTCTAGTGATCGCGAAGAAGCAACCGTTTCCGGAGTGAAAATGGGCGAGCCAGACACGATCTTCGAAAAAGGTCTCGGAAGTGGTGTGCTGTCACTCCCCGCAGGTCTCCACTGCTTCACGGCTTGGCTCTGCTTCTGCATGTGAAGCTGCGTAGTTGGTAATAAAAAGATGTAGACCATTCACAACTACCCTCCTGATGAGACTCGTCCATCAAGAATAAGACCAATATCACTGAAAAACAAGCTGCCCATCACAAAGAAGAGCATAGGCTCTCCTATCACATTCATGCCATTCAGTCGCGCTATCAGCTGCAAGGCAGACTAGATTTATAGAAGATGGGAAAAATACTGGGTCACACGCTTGCCGCCGAGCTTGAAAACCCCACAAGCCTTCCCTTTGCCGAACGCCGCCAAGCTTTGGCCGTGGCACAGCATTGACGTCCTGCCTTTGTGCCTCTGGTTCCGGTTTCTTGGCTCGACTTCCATCTGACGCACTAACACCAAAGTGGTTCTTCTCTAAGCGACTAACGATGTTTCCTATTCGCTTGCTGGCTGCTTCTTTTGAAAGAAACAGCGACGAAGCGGGCGGCATGCTGCCGGTTCTACTGGGACAAAGAGATGCTTGCGCAGCTACAGGCATAGCTGCAGCACCATCAGGGCCCACCCTCGAAGACTTCCGAAACTGCTCACTCAGAGATGTCGGCAGCAGAGGCGAACCAGCCTTACGAGGGTCTGCAGCTGGTCGCATCTGGACACGCGCATTCATTTTAGTCCTCTTGTATACTCATACTCATCCCACAAGGTGAACCGTCTCTCTTAAAGAGAAGCTTGCTCATTTGTGACTGCTATCCTTTGCATATCTTTTACTTATCTTTTGCCACGCTTTTCATCTATCTTTCTACCTATCTTTTAGCTGTGAAAAATTAAGCATTCAGAGGGGATTCACTTATTTTTTTCCACCAAGAAAGTGCTTCGATGGACATGTATTTTTCTGGGAAAAAGATAGAGGTAAAAGATAGAGGTAAAAGATAGGTTTTTTCCACCTCTCCCAAAAGACGAGCGAAACACCGCAATACGAGACCAGACTTATGCTCGAAGAACATGACAGACGCCGACGCCGTGCTGCTGCAGCTGCCAGATTCGTTGCTATTCCGCGACGACGTCACCTCGATTTATTAAAGACGACGCTCCGTAGTACGTAGTTGTTGATAGTACGTAGTTGAGCAGTCCAATGAGTCCAGGAATTGGATCTGCCACACAAGTCTATGCGTGCGCTGCTGTTAGGTAGTGCCTCTACTTGAAACACATCGATGGCCCCTATCCAAGCCACATGAGTCTAGCAATAGGACTGCGTCGCCGACGCTCACGCTGTTGCCCATTGCGTCGACCAGCTTGCTGTCTTGATTCTATCAAGAAAAAACGAGACTGAATTTGAGAAGCAAAATCCATGAAGATAAAGTATAGTCCTGCAGAACCTGATAAGAAAAAACAAAACTGGAGTTGCTAAATTGATATCAAACTACACTGAGTTCTAGAATTCGGGCTGCCTGCTAGTTTATTACTGAGGAGTAGACTTCGTTCTAATGCAACAAGATCGAGTTTGAGTATTCATTGAAAAGGAGTCATATCGCTATCGTGTCACAGAATAGCTACAGAAACAAGTCTGCGTAGTCGCAAAGAAGTGCCTCATTGGAATGTCACAGCTCTCGCGGTAGCAAGTGCTCGCTTTCAGAATCACTGCCGGCTTCGCTTGGAGTGTAGTCAAGCAGCTCTCCAGCCTCATGCGCAGCAGCCTCGGCTGCAACCTCAGAATCCGGAACACGATTGTGATCATCCATGGCAATACGAGCTTCATCCGCCTCATCGTCGGACTCTCCATGATTGAGACCAGACAGCACCTGCGCCTGTAGATCCGTGACGCGCGCAGCAGGACGACCGATGCCAGCCGCGTCAACAACTACACTCGGAGGCGCTCGCCGAGGTGGCGCAAGCGAATCAGCACTGAAATCCACAAGGTTGCCCTCTAGCCCTAGACTCAGATCTTCAGCACCGCACGGCTTTGCTGCATTCGTTGATGATTTGGAGGCTGAAGAATTTGCGGACTGTTTCAGAGATGAGGAGGACTTACTCCTTGGCTGTCTCTGTGCTCCACTTTTACGCCCATTGGCCGAGTTTCTACGGCTACTACTGCTACTACCAGAAGACGCCTTGATCAATGCTGGGGGCTTGACTACTGGCATTGACCGTTTAGCAGCTGCGTTGCAGCTACTGCGAGAGGAGCTAGAAGCGGAGGATGGCTTCACCTTTGCTTTGCCTGTTTGCTGTTGCTGGCGTTCTTGTTGTTGGCGCTGCTTTCGGTAACGCTGAGCGACACCAGGAAGCACCGGCCGCAGCCGCTCCTGCGATCGTTCTCGTTCCGCCCAAGCTCGTGCTGCGCCGCGACGTGCGGGCACTTGCAGATACTTGTAGTCACCCTTCTCCAGCTTGGTCCACCATTTGATATCGCCTGCCTGTCGCAATGCGGCAAAATCTTGCACCGGCCGCATCCAGTTGGCGAATTCCATGGCAAAGATGAGAGGATAAAAGCATAAACAGTTCTACTCTGATCACAAGCATGAGCCTGAGTCTGAAACACCTACTACCATTTAACACAATCCAATCTGCTACCGACAAAGCCCCCAGCCTTACAGTCGGCCCTGCTACTAAAAAAGGTGAACCAGTGAAAACCACCCCACGAACACAAGGCACACACGCCCAGCGTCACAGTGAACCACATTAAAGAACCGACACCAAGAAGCCCAGCCACTCAGTGGGCCACCTGCTGAAACTTAGCCCGGCACTGCGGGGCAGCGCCTGGCGTCTGCTGCTGAACTTCAACGAGCTGCCCCATCATGCCAGTCAAAGAAGCAGCAAGCCCCTCGCGCCTTGTCTTGACCTGTTTCCCTTCTTCTGTGGTCTGAGGATGCAAGTTTCAGAAATTCCAACGCTTAGAAATTCTAACAGATCAACCTGGACACAGCTGCCAGCCACTTGACCACACTCACGCCAGCGCGCTGCCATCGCTGTGCTTCTTGCTGCTTCGAAGGAAGTTTCAGAAATTCCCGATCCGGCGGAACTCTACCAAGCTCCAGGCGCTGCACGCTTTTCCCTATGGGGGTCGCCACTCCATGCAAGTTTAAGAAATTCCCGAGCCGTTAGCACTCAGCCCCCCCCCTTGCTGCCTCTTCATGCACGTTTAAGAAGTTCCCAAGCACTGCCCCCGGTCTCCCTGCAAGTTTCAGGAATTCCCAAGCTAAGAGGCGACAGCCTCTGCCTTATGCACATTTACAGAATTCCGCTCCCTTGCACTTTGGGCCACGATTCCCCGCGCCTCTTGCTCCCCCGCTCCTGCTGCTAGAAGAGGCGAGCGCAAAGCATACCCAGGCTTCTCCTGTTCACGTATGCACGTTTAAGATATTCCCACTCCCTGCCCTCTGCCTTCTTATGCACGTTTAAGCAATTCCCAAACTGAGAGCCACAGCCCTATCCTTGCGCACGTTCACAGAATTCCCAGCCCCTGCGCGTATTTAAATGCTGAAGCGTCCACCGCGACACCCAGGCCACCTTGCAGCTCCCCCTGCAGCTAAAAGACGCAGGCACAAGGCTGCCGAGGTTTTCCCGGGTATTGGCAAATGCATGGGCTTCACCTTCAGAGTTTCCAGCACTGCCAGCCCCCCCAGAATGTTAGCCCCGTGGCGACGCTCTCTCCTTACTCCCCACGCGTGCTGGAGACGCTGCTCCTGGAGCTGGGCGCGCGCCTGGTCTCCCACTCACTGAGAGAGGCCGGCAAGCTTGCTCCGCAGATCCTAAACGCGCCTGCTTTGGTCCCTACAATACAGATAAACAATGACGAAAGAGTCCGAAACGGCCCGACCACATGCAGCAACACGGACTGGCATGACACGGGCCGAGCCGTACTGAAGCCCCTACGACTAGGCCGAGGCCCAGCAGATCTCACAACCAGACACGCAAACACCCGCAACGCCACATGCTCCGAACACCCTCAGCCCACATTGCCAACGGCGCAATAGATACCCGGCACCCTTGGGCCCTCATGCCCTCCCCGGCTAAAAACAAGACTGACACCGAAGGGGCCGAGTAAGACCAGAACACGGGCGACACGCTAAACATGCAAACGGAAGCCTTCACGCATCAAGCACCAAGAACGCGGACCCAAATTGCAACGCCCGCAAATCTCTCCAGCTGACAAAAACGAACAACACAACCAGCAGCGGGCGAAGTGGGCGCCTACGCTCTGACGTCTCAACCTATGCAAAGGACAAGACAAGACTAACCGCGCGGCACTTCGAAGCGAACACACTAACGCGGAACCTGGTACGCCATACCTCACCCGAGGCACCACTGCCCAATCTGAGATCTTCCAGAGCGTCTACAGCTGTCTGAGCAAACACTCGACCCCCGACAACTCCAGACGACCCGGCACCCCCGCCCAAGATGCCAGCACCAGCCGGCGCCTCGATCTCGAACTGTTGCAAGCTTTCCAAGCTTCGACAACGGCACAAGCAAGCCATCAGGCTGGGCGCGCTGCCATGCCTTCGCCTAACTCACCATGCTTGCGGCTAATGTTTCTCAGCTCTTGGGGCGATCTGCCAAGAGTTGAGGCCTCGCCACTGTCAAAGAGGTACACAGCACACAGCCGCAACAAGAAAGACACTAGCATAAAGAAGTAGAAGGGGCCCCCTGTCCAGTAATGAGCATCAGTGAACATCTCTGCCCGTCTACCTAGTCAAGCCCCGCTATTGTATTCCTGCTGTGCAGGTACGTGATGCATATAAATACTCGACCAACTAGTAGCAACGCTAGCTACACCATAACAATTTGACGCATTTCCTCCATGGTCTTGTCTCTTGCCGTCCTGTCCCACCACTTGGTGAGAAACCGGACTCGCGAAACCCAACCGTATAGGCACGCCTCAGCATGCGGAACACCCTGCGAGACCGTCCGACTCGTTCCACCTCTAGCATCTGAGCGGAAGACTTCACGCGACCCAGGGACTCGAAGAAGCTCGTCATACAGGCGGCCCTCCCGCGTGTCTCTTCTCCATTCGCACTTTATCAGAGTCTCCGTCTTCTTTGTCACAATCCAGGTCTCTCCAAGGATATCACCTCGGTTTTCGATGCCCGCCTGGATGTCTTCTATTTGCCGTCTTCGTGTAGCTTCGTCCTCGACGATGCGTCTTGGTGGGGACGCGGCGCGTGCTGCTTGCTTTGTCTTCGGCTCTGCACCTCCGAGGCCCGCTGGTGCTGTAAGTCCTGGCGATGCTCCAGCCCTGCCTGGACTGCGACCCCCTCGAGGAAGACGCAAACGAGCCGGCGACCCTGACTGCTGCCCCGCGGCTGCCTTGCTTTTTGCTTTGCTTCTCTGTCGGCCTCGCAGTTGAAAATCGAGCCCAGCAGTAGACGACGCATTTCTTTCGGCGTCTTTCTTTTCTGCCCGCCTCGCGTGGTCAGCTGTTAGATGGAACGACCAATTGCGAGCAGATCTCTTGTTGCGCGTCTTCGACGCTCTGTCTTCCTCGTCAGCTCCACCAGCAGCGCTGGGGCTAAGGTCTTCCTCGTTGTCTGCGCCTAGCTGCTCTCCCTGTCCGTGGTCAGACTCGTCGCCGTTTTTCTTGCGCGCCTTTTTCTGCGCGTCTCGAACGACCTTGTCGACACTCTTCCCAGTAGGTGCTGTCCATCGTTGCTGGATTTGAAACCGGAAAGCAGGAGAAGCATTCTCGACGGTGCAGGAGGCGGAGTACAAATCGAAACTGTGCACGGCGAAGGACTCGTCGATTATTGCTGACGACATGACTTCGACGTCTTCTGCGAGCTCTACGCGAAAAACTCGGACTGGTGAGAGCGTAGCAGCGGAGCTGGCTGCCTGGGCGTTTGAGGCCTCCGCCTCAGCACCTCCGTCATCACAACGCAAAAGCCTCCCTGCTTCATTGCTTGGAGTTTGGTCCTGCTCCTGTTCCGCGTCTTCTCGCGCTTCTACCATTTTCGCAGAGGCGGCCCCATGCAAAGGCTTCTGCCTCAAAGGCGCCGAGTCCTGCGATACTTCATGTAGGCACAATCCTGAAAACCGTACGTGCGGCATGAGGTTCCTATAATTGACCACAACCCATTTCTCGACGATGTTAGAGTCTGCAGCTGCACCAGATTCCACCACGTGAAAAGAGGAGGACGAGGAGTTTCTCCTACCACCACCAGCCTGGGCATCTACATACTGAAATAAGCCAGTAGCAGCACCATCCGCAGCAGAGCCGCCGGACTCGAGGAGCCTCTCCAAAGCCACGTATGGGTCTAACTGCTGCTCCCCTCCAAGTTCTGAAGCGGGTAGCGGCTTCAACGCGATGCGAACCACCAGAAACCCTCCCGAGACATAAGCCCGCTCGTCGCCATCTTCCGCGACTGCGATCCATTCGTCGCGTACTACACCAAGCTTTTTTGCTGTGCCCACGGTCTCATCAGCGTCATCGGCCATGTCCTCACCGAAGAGCGCCTGCTGTCCTGCCTCCGCTATCCTTTGGTCAATCTGCTCAATCAAAGACACACACACGCGATCACTCTCCAACTGCGCACCACCATCTGACGACTGCCCTCCTCCTGACGTGCCACCAGTACCAGTCTCGCCTTCTCGATCATCGAACAAGCTGCCAACTTCGTTCAAAACTAGGCCGCCACTGCTAAGTCCTCCTCGTTCGGAAGCCTTTGCTGTCGCAACCTTAGCCTTCTTCTTTGCTTTTCCTTTGCCTCTCTTCCGCCTATGGGCAGTCGACTTCGCCGCCGCCTTTGCTAGCTGCCTTCTCACGTTCGCCAGAATCGCCACCATCCGCGCTTCTTCTTGTCTTTTCTTTTGCTCCAGCTTCGTGCCCTGTTCTAGCTCATAGTAGGCGCCTACTGCTTTCTCCAGTGCACGGTCTGGCGCACTCCTCACCACATGCATCGGGAATTGGTTGGCGTATCCAAGTAAGCGCGAAGGCTGGTCCATCGGGCTGCAGCACTTGTTCTCCTGTCGTGTAAAACATGCCTCCCGAGTGAACGCGCGACTCTTTTCGCGATCGTTTGGATCTCCGCTGGCTTTCCCTGCACGACTAGCCTGAGCAAGGTCACGCGCAAAGAACGACGCACAGTCGCGCTTTATGGCGTTCCACGTTTCAGCTTCGGACTCAAATGAAGCACAGTCTTTGCCAAGGTCCTCGACCGTTGCAATTGCGTGTGCATTCTCCTGCGTTGCAAGCTCACGGCGGACGCCTGTACGTAGCTGCGCGCTGTCGTTGAGGACTATGCCACGCAACAAATCTCGCGAGACTGTCTTATTAGCAGCGGAGCAGGTTTTTGCTTCCTTTCTTCTTTGGTCTTCTGCTGTATATTTCCGACGATGATCCGCCCCCACTAGATTCAGCAGCTTGGTCTGGTGGCGCTTGTATCTTTTCAGCTTTCTCCAGCGCCCAGTAATTGCAGAAGAGTTGGTTGCGCAGCTCAGTGATGCCATGGAGAAGATGTGGTAGACTATCTGCTGCGCGCGACGTTTTGCCACCGCGTGCCGACCTTCTACTCGCCAGGTAGATTGCGGAAGCTGCTCCACGAGCGCCACTAGCCTGCGCATCACGTTTTGTCGTGCAAAAATGCACCGCTTACTCCGTAACAACATCCAGAGGCTGCGCATAGTCGCAGAGCCGACGTTGTTCATTGTTCGGACAGGTTTTGGACCCATGTAAAAAAACTCAACCAGCAAAATCTTCTGACGGATTGTCCCAGCCTTCCAACATGCAAAAAACAAATCATGGTCAGGAAGCTTTGTGAACCTCTCGGTTATTTCACAGAGCCAAGCTGCACACCCCCACAACGCTCCAGCACGTCCTATCTTGAGAAGACGCTGGAGGCAGCCGAGGTCATCTAGCTGGGTCTCAGCCTCAGGCTGGTCTGAACCTGGAGGCACTGCTTCTCCGCCTTCTTTCGGCCTATCAGCAGTCGCTGTCACTGCGCTGCGCCCCTGGCCGAGCTGTCTTTGCTGTTGTTGTGGTTGTTGGCTTGCTGTTCCTAGGGCTCTACCCCTCATCCCAGCGCGATCCACTGCGCTGAGACCACTAGCGCTAACGCTACTGCTACCCCCAACGCCGACGCCTGTACCCGGTTGCTGAAAAACTGCCACGAAGTTCCCGCTTGATGAGGAGCTACGACCAGGATTGGCTTCGACATCGTTACCAAGACCTGCCAGCGCAGACTGCGCCTGACCATGACCGAACAAAAAAGCCTGGCCACTCTCTGGCTCTTCTAGAATTGTACTCAAGCCACCAAGCGGCTGACTTCCATCCGCATCGCCGTCAGCTCCTGGAACAAATCCAGGGGACCCTACTGCGCCAGCCTCTGGGTGCGCAAAACTGCACACGGCATCTACCGCGACTGCGAAATGCTTTCGCGCATCTCTCCGCACAGTCTGAAACGTCATCGCACCTCGCCGGTCATCGTCCATTGCCGTTGTAATCGCAAAATCACAAGGCGACTGACTGACGCCAAGATACAAGCAAAGCCATCGGAAAGAACCTGCGTGAGAGATTAAAGAATACAAGGAACGAGCCAAGGTTAGAGACTAAGTCAAAAACTCTTGCAGAATAAAGAAGGCCACACCTTTCCAGAATAGGGAGTAATTGGTAGAAAAATCGGCTACGGCCTTCGCTACGAGTGCAGCTGCCTAGAACTAGAGAGGCTGACAACGATGGGGCCCGGAATTCATGCCAATAGAAAAGACATCGCTAGAGGAATGGCTCCGAGAATTTTCTAACTCTAAGGAATCAGCTTGCTGCAGCTGCACAGAGTGCCTGTCCTCTCAGGGAATAAATAGCGATCACCCCCACAATAGAGGTGCTTATAATGCGCCAACAGAGCACGCATGTGGCAGCTGTGAGCTACGGAATTTGCTCGAGCTGATTCGCCAACGCTCTTCCATCTTGTGTAGCACGCTAAGACAGCGCTGCTGTACCCGTCGTCCGTACTCGTATTCGGGAAAACGTTGGGGCACTTTTTTGCGCCCATCAGAGTCGCCGCTTTCTTGTTGTTGACTTTTTCCAGCGTTTCCAAAACCGCGCAATCCGTAGCGTCAAGCGTATCCAAACCAAGCAAGCCAGCGTCAGTTAAGAACCTCCCGATCTCCACCCGTCCGCGATTGATTGCTGCGCACTCTTTTCGGAGCCTCGACCTGAAGAAACCTTCGTCCCAGCCTGACCCGCGCCAAAATATCCACGACTGGCGAAAGCTATTGCTCGCTGACGTTTGAACCGGATGGATAGAGCAGGTGTTCGTTACATGCACCATCCCATTTGCGCTGTATGCATGTGGAGAGAAAGCACTATCTTCAGAGCTTGGATGACTATCCTCCTCCTCGGTCTTCTCGCTCTCCTGTGGATCCAGGAGCCTCTCCTCCCCGGATTGTTGACGAGATGGAGTCTGCTGCTGTTGTTCTTGTTCTGCTTCTGCCTGCATCTCCGTCGCCCCATCTCCTCGCCGTGGCTCTCTACTACCGCTGCTGCCGTCTACAGTCTGAGACTCCGCAAGCTGCAGCCTGTGTAGCAATGCTCGGAGCTCAGCCTTTGCTTTGTTTTCATCGACGTCCAAAACAGGAAAAATTTCCCAATATGGGTCGTTCTTACTCAAGAACTCCTCAAAATAAGCATGCAACAACGGCGCAGACGCTCCAGAGTCAGTACTAGTTGCCAAGACCCGCAGCCCCTGGATATCGATGTACTTTTTCACGTCATGGCCAAAATCCATGTACTTATCCTCGGTGAAACTACAAACACCATCGGCGTCCTCAATGTCCGCAATTCTCTTACTACCAGGCTCGAGGATAAAGTTCTCCAACACGCTAAAAAATGCGAAACTGTGTGCAAAGGACTCGGTAAAAGCGTCCTTGTCGTAGCTGTCACGCGGCCACATTGTCATATTGCACGGCATGCCGACCCAAGGTAGAGACTTCTCCCCAAGTGCCTTCAGCTTTGCTGTCATAGCATCCCGCCTGATGATTCGATTCTGCGCTTCTGCATACAATTCCAAACAGTACTGGTCTCCTGTCTGCGTGATAGCTTGCTCGCAAATCTTCCCGGTGCCGCTAGCCAGTGCTTCTTCAAATTTCTGCGCACTCTGAAGAACTCCAATCTCCATTGGTTTGCGTGCAGCGTGGCCAAGACCATCATCGAAAAGGAGGGGCAGCCCCTTATTTTTCTGACGACGCCTTCGCATCTCCTCTGCTTTTGTAGTGAAGCTCTTCTGGTTCTTGTTCTTCGAGAGCACTTCGGAGCTGATATGGAGACTACTACTATTTTTGGAGATATGATTCCGATCCACCAAGCTGCCCTGCTCGCCAACTTGTGGCCCTAAGTTGGATGATGAGTTCTGATCTTGTGCAGCTGCACGCTGATATGTAGATGTCGTACTAGTTGCTAGATCCTTCCTCAGCCTCAAGTCTGACGATTTCGCACCATAAGCATGCGTCACACAGCCTCCATCTCCACCTCCACCCACCGACTCATTCGCAAATGCTAACATAGCCGCGGACGTGTCATCTGCACCCGCACAAAAAGTGCCTGCTCGCGGTTTGCTGAAATTGCAAGAACCTTTCATATAACTAGAAGATGACGACGATGCAGAACTGCTACTAGAAAAACCCGGACCACCTCCTAGTCCTACCAGTTTGGTTTTGGAACCTGCAGAGCGGGGGCCGCGACTGCTAACTGCTTCTGAAGAAGAAGATGAGGAAGTAGAGTGAGGGGCCGACGATGTAGCACTAGCTCCTTTCTTCTGCTGCAGCTGAAATGTCGTCGTTGAAGTTGAAGTGCCACGCTGCCTAGACCTAGAGATGTCAGCGTCATCGGTCAAGGCAGAACCGCGAATGGTGGTAGACTTGCGCGAGCCATCCGATTTCCGCACAAAGTCCTTGCCAGAAGAAAGCTGGCTGGACTCATCGTTTTGCATTTTCTGACTCAGCGACCGCAGAAACTGCACTGCGTTTTGCTCACTAGCTACTTCTGGCTGACCTTCGAAGTCTTGCCCCATATCTAACCACGCCACGAACGGCACCAACCATTTCGCCTCAACGCGTGCACGATGAAACCCTTTCTCTGCAAACGCTTTCCTATGCAAGATACTCTTGCGTGATTCTTGGATAGTGCCGCTGGTGCAGTCGCTCTCCGCTAACAAGATACTACTTCCCGCCGACTGATGAAAACGCCGCTGCGATGCCATTTGGGCCACTGTTTCCACCTGCCTCATCTTATCATAATCCTGCCGCCCGTACTTGTAATCGAAGTACAGATCTACCTCATCTAGAAATTGACGCACTTGGCCGACTTCAGCGGTAGACAACTGGATGGTCTTGTTTGTAACGCTGCACCAAAACTTCTGCTTCGCTTTTTTCTCTACTACTGGAGCACCGGCATGATCTAACCGGCGAGGGGCCACGGCCCGAATAGGTTGTGCTAGTGGTTCTGCAGCGGCACGCCCTGTCCTTCGCAAGCGCATCTGACTGCTTCCGATACCAAAGTCACTCTCCCGCAGGAGGCGCTCCGCGGTAAAGTCGTCGATGTCGTCCGTCAACATCGTCACCCCAGGTGGAAGACGGTAGCCAGAGCTTATACTTATCAGACGGAAGACGGAAAAGTAATTAAGACAGCGAACCATGTTGATGGCGATGTTCTCCTTGCAGAGCAATCGCACTCATCACGTCACGTCATGCCATGGCGCCTTTTGCGTTTGAATAAACAACGATATAGATACGCAACGGCCTCAATTTTCCATCGGTATAAAGATACTCAGGCAATAACTCATCACTTTCTTAATCGTGTACATATCTTTGCATGCATGCCTCTATGGATTCCGTCAAATAGATACTATCTCAGATTTCTTCTCAGACTTCAAGGAGTGGACGTGGAGATGGTTCGCCTTTGCGAGCAGTAAAAAGAAGAGAGCCCGCTTTGCTGCGTACACGCCAGGCGCGAGCAAGACAGACTTTTTCCTTCGTCTTCCTTTTTTATTAAGCACCGAATGGACTCCATTTGCAATCGGCAGTGATATCATCAACTGGCCACTCTCAGCCTGTATGTCCATCTCGTTGAAGTCTAAGTCTCTGGCTCCTGGATCTTCTAAGCCAAGATTTTTTGTTGGCGTGTCACAGTGGAATCCCTAATTTTTGGACTGAAGAAGAAATCACATGCCTGTAAACATGCAAGAGAACAAGCACAGGCCTCACGCATGAGAGATGCCACGAAAAGAAATCGCGATGAGCAAGCCCTGCTTCTCCAGCTCCAAGCTGAGTTTTTTCTTTCAACAGCAATGATTTACTAAAGACCGGCGGCATGGAAGTCGTGGATGAGCTCTAACTTTGACAGCGACAGCCAGTTTGTGAAAGTCCCAGGCGGATACACACGTCACGATAGACTTTGCAACTGATAGTCATGCATGTCAGTCTACTAGGGCCTAAGCCGTGTATCGCATATCTACCCTGATATAACAAGTTATAGCATCAATCCGCAAATCCCAACCTACGTACGCTTATTTCAATCATGTACGTCTTTCATTCTACGAGATGGAGAAGATTCTATTGTCTATACCTATACGCATACGGTCTAAAGATAAATTTAAATTCTAATTTGACTTCACAACAGAACGATCGCTACGCCTACAAACAAACCTCTCAAGATCTGCTACCGAGCACATGCTACGACCAGATCCTCCACTTTGTTTCTAGTCCTGGACTCTAGAAAAACAAAAGCGGTTAGCAAATCAGATGGGCTTATCGCGTGAAAACCTAAATGCGTAGTCCTACACTAGTACTAGGCGAAGACGCTCCTGCAATGCTCGTGGATGACTCCAGGATGATGAACAACAAGAACGAAATAAGCTCGCGACATCGACATGATTAGCATGAAAGATCAGGCCCAAGTCTTGCACTCAGTCCATGAAGATCAAGAGCTACCAAATATTATCACTATCGACATTCTAACTCCTTGAATTTGTTCCACATGTTGACAATTTTGCTGCCTCGAAATCATGAATCTGAAGAAATCTAAATAAATCTAAATAAATCGAAATTGTTCTAAATAAATCTAAATAAATCTAAATAGATCTAAATAGATCTAAATAGATCTAAATAAATCTAAATAAATCCAAATAAATCTAAATAAATCTAAATAAATCCAAAAGAGCAGCTGCAGCATCATTTGAAGCACATCCATACACAGAAACTCAATACAACTCATTTTAATCATTGTTCACACTCAAAAACCTAGCGCATTCGAGTTTATACTTTCTAATACTAATTCGCGTTTTGTAAATCACAGAAGTGGCGCCAGGGTCGTCCTAGTTGTAGTTCTAAACATTCCAAATGAAATGAGTGATTTTTCACGTAAAGCGCTCCTACTCGTCGCTAAGATCGATGGACATCGGTGCCAAACAATGCATATGGAAATGGAAGTAAATCTAAATTTTTCAACGACTATCATAATTGTTACTGTGAAGAACAACAACCCCCTACATAAAAGATAGAAGAACAATAGCATCGAGACTGAAAAGAACGAAGATCGCGAGTGTAGTTCTAGATCTAGTTGTCATCGTCGACGAAAACCCTTGAGGTTGGCATCCATATGAAGAGAACCAGAAAGATACAACTCATACTCACTTAGACATCATAAATCAGTAGGATTGAGGGCACTTTTACTAGATGCATCTTAATTGAAATCGAAGAGACCGCCTATAGCTATATCTACTACCATGAAATTCAAGAACATCAAGTACATAAATAAGAACAAGACTCAATAACGATAACCATATGTTTAAGAACACTTTTCATATCCGTACCTTAACCAGCATAATACATAGCCCACCATTATTACTCAACATAAAAATAGCACATCATCCACATCCACCACAAAGGCAAAAAACCCCTCGACCTCGCAGTCGCAACATAGCAAGCCGGCAGCTGAAGTATTCAGTGTGGATGAGGATAGAGATGTTTACGAAGCAGCTTCATACTCATTGGATGGAGGAAGGAGTTGTAGATCTGCAACGACGTAGTGTTGGACCTCTTGGTAACTAACTGCACAGCGATAGATAGGCTGCACTTAGATACCTGCTCCCACCCTATTTCTCTTTGCCTGTGATTCATCATACGCAATGAGAATTATTCACTCCGTGCGGGATCGCTTGCGCTGTTGCTCCATATCGACTCCTGTATGGGGATGAGTTGTAGTTCGTTGTGAGATTGATTGAGGGTTTTTATTTGGTTATGAGATTGATTGAGTTGCTGTGAAATTGATCAGTTCAGAGTCCTCAGAATGTGAAGCAAAATCATAAGACCCCTGATCTTGTTACTCCCCAACCCCTGCATGCTCTCTGAGTCATAATTATAAATGGAAACATAAAGAAATTGGAAAAGAGTTGCAGGCACCATCATCAGAGTGATCAGACGGCTCTTCCTTGACCTGGGTAGACAACAACGTACCCAGCTGCTCCTCTTTGACCACGCCCTCTGCTGGCTGTTGGTTGCGCTTGCTGCTGTCCTTGGAGGACGAGGAGGAGGAAGAGGAGGAGGAGGAGGCCACGCAGTTCTTGTCTGAGGCTGAGACCAACGTCGAGACCACCTCAGCATCGTTCTCCTTGTCCTTCTCCACGATCGGAGTGTGCGGCCCCATGAGCTGAGCCTGTTGCTGTCGCTGTTGGAGGATACTCACGAGAGGGCGAGGACGTGGTGTCCCGTTGTTGCACAGGTTGATGTCCAAACCACCGAAGCTCTCAGATCCCAAAGGCGACATCATTTGCATGTGCTGTGCTGGTTGCTCCACCGACGGGGCTGCTGACGGTGCTGGCGACTGCGCAGCCGCAGCCTGCTTAGCCTTAGCACGCGGCTGGCGGGGTCGCTTTTCGCGTGATTAGAGGTGGGGCTGGGTGAATGAAGGCTGGGTAAGGTCTAGCGCCGTCTTTCCTTAGCCACGTCTCATAATCTTAATCATAAACGGAAGAATACTTCATCACCATCTACTTCTACCTTCAAGATTGGTAAAAAATCGAAACCAAATCAATTATAAAAATCTAAATACTTGCTTCATAGCGGGTAGCTGTGAGCGCGGCTTGGAGAGCACCTCGGATAATCGTACCTAGATGCGACGGAGAAGGTGGATCAGATGAAAGATTTTACTCAGCACAGCGCTAACAATGACCATGGATTAGCATGCCACTTTTTGAAAAGTTGGCGCTGATACTTGTTTTTGGCTTTAGTAGTGCTGCTAAATCATATTCATACTTACTTCATGCGCTTATGCGTATCAATACTGATACTCAGTCACACAGACACGCTATAACTTTAGACTTAGTACGGCAATTCTTCGAACATTCGTCGACTTTGTTCGAGAAAGAATCCTCGATACGCTGCACAGCTTCATAAAGATCCTGCTTAGTCAACTGGTTCGCGTCATTGGCACCCTCCTCAGAGATATTATCGAGATTGTTGTTATTGTTGTTTGCGTTTACCGCGTTGTTTGCACTAGATTCTAGATTCTCAGCTGGGGGCGGCGGCGGCGGCACTCCATTCACGGATCCCGGATCTGTGAGAGATGACATTTGGATCCCGAGCTCCGACACGTACTTTAGATTTAGAGGGTGAAGGTGCTGCTTTTTCATTCTTAAGTCAAAGGTGGTGCGAAGAACAAGAAAGAATACAACTCCTGAAAAAAGATGAAGAATTTCTACAAGACCATTAAAACTAGGAGGTAGAATTGTAGTACGAATGCTGACGCGGGTGTAGGCGCAATGGGCTCCCTGTCCTACGGACAACGCCGCGAACGCGGCATTGAGGTCGCTGCTCATGCGGCTGGCGTTGTTGTCAGACATTTTCTGTGTGGAACCAGTGGGATTTAACTCTGATTATGATAAGTCTTCTACTTCACGAACACGAGGACCAAGGGGCGAGAACAAGAACTACAAGGAGCTTCTACCTGCTTTGCTTATTAACTCATAAAACAAAAGACCCTACGCACGGCGCTGGTGTTTGTTGAAGTACAAGAAAGTCAATGAGGGAGTGTGGCTGATTGACTAGATCAAGCACAAAGCTATCATATTTCTTGCTGTCGTGAACGTGAAGATACTGAGAGGCACCTAGTGTAATCGTAAGAATCAGCTACATAGTCAAATGCTATCCAACAGGAGTTGTTCTCGAAGAGATGGAAAGGTCGGCCTCCTGCACCTGCTCGACTGTCAACTACTTTGATTCAAGCCGTTGAGCGTGAGGTTGCGTATATTTTCACGCATGAAAGCAGACAGAGAAATCTGTAAGAATTTGCTTCAGCAGCCAGCAGCATCTGCCACATTCAATTCTCAAAGCTGTATGCTCTCAGTTGCTTCACAGCCTTCTTGGAAAAACAAGATTGATCAGACTCAGAAAAAAAAGACTGCTGGGCCGACAATTTTTGCATCACCAATTTGTCAAGTTCTTCGCTGTATTCGGCTTCCAGTTACATCTACATGGTCACGAAGATAGAGCTTCTCAATCTTAAACGCCACGAACGCCATGTCTTTGTGTCCTTCAGGAGCAGAATACCAGCAAACCACCTCAATAACAACACCTGGATAAGAGAACCAGTGCTGCTCTTAAAGCGTTGAAATTCGAAACACTTACGGACACGTCTTTCTGATCGATTCATATTTCCTTTTTTTCACTTCAGAATCTGAGTGAGCGTGTATTTGACGCACTGAGAATGATGATGGAAACAGAGCCAAATGAAGAATGAAACAATGCCCAATGTTAATTCGCATGAGAATCCGAGCCAATGGTTAATAATCTAGCATATGCGTGCGCAATTACACTGATCTATGCGCAAGCCCAATTGAGATTGAGTCCTTCACCGTCTGCCCATTCCGTCGCCACCTCCTCACCCACCCACCGCAAAATCTTCTACAACCACCTGCCTGTCCAAAACAGCCGCCAGTAGTCCCTACCATTTTGTATTAGACTGACTAATGCAGGACGCTACCATCTGTTCCACCTTCCCATCTGCTTGGCTAGACCAATACTGTGAGACTTGTAGCAAATGCAACTGCGGCACCGTCGTCGATAACCCACGTGCTGCGCATCCCAAAGAACACTGTGGCCCGATACTAAACTAGGGGCCGGCCCACTTTTTCTGCCCCTGAATACAGACCAGAAATCTGATAAGCATTAAATAGACACATCCGAAAGGGAATAGAAACACGACTTTCCTTCAGTAACGCTCTCAGCAGTCAATTCATAACGAAACGACTCAGCTGCAGCCTGAGTCTACTTTTCTCATCGTGCCGAGCGACTGCTCCTTTGCTTTTGTTCTTCTTCTCAACAGCTTTTCATCTCTTAAAATAACCTGAACTTCTTTTCAAGAAATTCAAGAGCACTCCCAAACCATAGTAAAACGGGCGTAAAACCGGCTCCACACCATCGCAAATTACCATCAGCGTCGGCTACTATGAGTGTCTTGTAGAAAGGTTCAGAAATCAGTAGATTTTTTAATACTATCCCTTCAACCTGAAAATGATGGATCCTAGTGCAGCAGACACAAAAGGATAGACAAAAAGATAGACCAAAAGATGGCATGTGTTCATTTTGCATAGATAAGTAGTGACGTCAACAGTTTCAATTTTCTTGATACTCTTCAAACTCTCCAGGCCTGTGCAAGTCGTAATAAATTGAGCTAAAAATATGCCTACTTGATAGGAAAGAGGGGGAAGTAAATAAAAACGCATTAAGTCATCCTGTGAGTGCCGCGTCATTCCTTGTTATTGTCTCTCGCATCTCGTTGCTGAAGGGATGGAGGTGAGCTCGTTGCGCGTCATTGGTTATTCGAGTTCCCTTTTCTATCTGAAAACGATGTGACGACTGTTAAAAAGCAAGGGAGTTAGAGCTACTTCTAGAAGGAGTCCATCTCTGTTGTGCCATGTGCTTGCAGCTGTTCCCTTCTACGTGCTCGTGGGAACCCTCAAGAAGAGACCAGTTAGAGGTACTAGACGACAATACCGCGCGCTTTTCTCGAAGAGTTGTACGTTCAGATTCATACTCGCTCATGCATGGTCACCAACAACCACCAGCACCATAGGGGCCGTCCACCAGTTACCTATTTGTCATTACACGCTACAATAAACAGTCCAGCAGCCGTGAGTTGATGGGAATCCTCAAACTTACACGAATTCCGTTACAACAAACCACCGCGACCCCGACCAATATCTCCTAGACCCGACTCGACCGAGCCCTCCTCGTCCCACCGTAGACAGCCCCCATAGCCCCCTCCCGTTCCCTCGACCAAACTCAACCTACCTCCCGACACCCTCCCGGACACACATCGACCCAACTTAGAACCACCCTCGGAGCCTCATCAACGTTAACCCGACCCCCGCACAACTGAACCCTTAGTAAGTGAGAAGTTGAGGTAAGACTTAGCAGTGGCACTCAGCATAATCGTGATTAGATGATGATGGACTCACTCCTGCACCGGCAGACCGCGAGACAAGAATACGAAACAGGAGGCAAGGAGCAGTGCGATTCGTGAGTCGATCAGGAAGTCAAGAGACACGCGAGTCATCAAGACCCAATTGGCCCTTAACATCCTTCCTGATACTCCGCTGTATCACGCTTCAGAAGACTAAAGTCACACAGCCACGTGCTACACACAGTCACGTGCTACGAAGCTGAGCCACGTAGTCCGCACTCACCTACTCCTGAACAGAGACAGTAGACGCATAAATAATGGACGGTTCTCAATTCGGTTTACTTCGCTTCCCCCTATACAGCCTACGCTATGGCCTAGTATGATGCACATTCAGGTCATGTCTTTAGCGAAAATTTTTTAGCGAGTCACGGGATTGCGCACGACCGTTATATTGGTTGCACATTTATTCAATTTGAAACTCAATACGGGTTCAACAAGCATTTTGGAGTTGGCGGCAATAAAACGAAACGACGCGTCGCCTCAAGAAACGGGGAGCAGCAGCATTTCCTTAACAGAATGCCTCTAATTGTATTGTCGTTGGAGCCAGGATGATTTCTTTTCAATCAGTTGTCCACTCAGTCAGTTCTTGCTGGAATTTACATACTTACATCCACTACATCGCATTCGCACTTCATTCTACCTGACGAAACGGCGTCCTTGGAGGTCCTGATAGTACGCTTACTGCAACACGACTACATACAATGTCGCGACGCGAAATTTCAACCTACTTACTTCCTGGAAGAAAAATGAGATCTGAAGATTGCTATGCTGATGAAGACGTTTGAAAAAAGTGTCACGAAAATAAATGCTACAGCAAACTAGACGCATTCATTTTCAACATTCACCTCCGGTACTTTGTGTTTGTGTCAAAATTGTTCTATAATATTCCTTACCATGTTCAGGTTGATTCTCATGAAAAGAAGATGGCATAGGCAAACTTTCCCTCCTCTTACATCAGCCCACCTGAGTGTCATATAATCCTAGAAGAATCGGCACCCACATTTAGAGTTTATTCCGAGTCACACATACGCCAAATCCTCGGAGAGAATGAGACGCATGCTCGCCTGTTGAATGCAGAGGTTGCGTCGAAGAGTATGGAGATGCCGACTGAACAATAAGATGGATGCTCCTCTTTCTCCTGTCATAAACGACAAGATGGTAGAGAAAACATGTCCGCAACCTCTGAATCAACGATCGTCGTAGCTAACGACCGCTACACATGTTCGTCACACTATCTTCACCACCAACAACAAAATTTACAAAAAGAAAAAAAACTCAATGCCAATTCACAAGCACGTAGCACCCCTACTACAGGCAGCCCAGGGTAAGCACTGAGTCGGCCTTGGCGACCGGACTAAGCCCGACCTCGACGAAGTCTGCCCGCGTAGCAGGTGCCAAAGTACAAGTAATTATCAAGAGTGTGGTGCAAGGGGTTGAACCAGCCGACTCTCCCTGTTCCACCTACTTATATCAAAAGTGACCTGATATCTTATTCACCCTGATTTGGCACGGCGTCAGGCGCCTTCCTGCTTCTAAGAGTGGTACGAGCTGCAGCTACAGCGCCTACAGCTGCGTTTTTAATTCTACTAAAGCCAGCAGCAGTAGACCATACCGAAGCCCTCCCACTCTTGGTGCTGGTCTCATCCCCAAGACTGCTTAGCTCGCTCTCGCTTTGAACAAAAAATATGCACTCGCATTGACGGCTCGCCCCTCCCTTGCACTCTTCGTCTTCCTCATAAACACCAAGAAGATACTGCATACCCGACAAGTCCTGCTGAGTGGTCCCCCCGGTCAGTCTGGCGGAATACACAACGCTCGTTTTTGGGTCTATTTTATCTACCTCCTCAGAAATGTGATGCAACTCGAAAATCGAAAGAGGCCCCCTGGCCGGCGGCCCTCTCCCATCGCCCTTGGGCGAATCCCGGACAGAAACAAAACTGTATGGGGCCACTTTTCAACCTTATCGAAGTGCTACTGTTGGAACCATGCCAAGACGCTAAGTGTGCTAAACAATGCACAAAAGCGACCAGCCACACTGCCCCCCCCTAGTCGCGGAAGTGCTCCGCTCAACGATTCCCGTCGCTTGGTCCCTGTTGGTTTTTGTGTGTTTTGCCTTTCTTTCGTGTGTTTCCCCGCGCCCCTCCAGTCCAAGGCGGTGAAAAAGTGGGAAGTGCGTGCTGTGAGATTCTGGAGGGGCGCGGGGATTTTCAACGCGCCCGAGGTTCTACTTCGCTCGCAACTGCGGGAAAGTTTTCCTATCAGGATCTCCATGGCCGGCGAGTGTTCTCCAGAGTCTCTCTTACCATGTCCAGAGCGGCTGAACATTGTCCAGGCCTTTGCCGTCCTTGTTTGTATATTCTCCACCCAGGGCCCACTTGTCTACGGATCCCGCCTTTCGTCGTAATCAGACGGCTTCGAAGTACTCCGCCCCTGGTTCTTTGCTCTTGGGCTCTTTCGTGTAAATCTTGCCCAGTGTAGGGCCTCTGATCATCCGGCGCCCCGAGGCTTCCGCGCTAGGTGACCCCTTGAATTGAGTTGACCTCTCTACCGAACCGTGTACCGGACCCCCCGCCGCAGCCCTATCGCTTGCGAAAAGAGTACGCGTGGGGCCTTGTCCTGCTTTCCTCTCAAGCGAAACACCGCGACGGGGAGTCCTATAGCATACACGACAGGGGCACTCGCTTCGGTTATTTTCGCACACATTTCGAGGGGGGCCAGGCTAATGCCTGAAAGCATTGCCAAGAGGAGGAGCCCGCGAGAGATACAGAAAAGGGGCCCGCGACTTTGTTTTTCTTGCCAAGTTTCGACGGTGCGCCGTGTGTCACCTGCCCACCGACCGGGCGGGGCGGGATGCCATCCCATCCCTGCGGCTGCCCCTACTCAGCCCCGCAGATGGGAGCCGGACCAGCGTCCGCCGCCTCTCCTTCAGGCGGACACACACCCAGGCAACAGGCCCGGTTAAAATTTGGCTAAAGTTTTCGGGTTTGAGAAATCCCCGAGCCCAACACACCGCCACACGCCTGCGCCAGCTGATCCGGATGCAAGGAAGCCAGCAGCAGAACCCACGCAAAAGACCCTCGAAAGACCACCCCAGCCCGCAGTAACCACCAACATGCATGAGCAAGCGCCCGTAAGTCCAGGCCGAAGCGCATACACCTGGGCCGACCTCAGACAAACGGCCATACTTCGAGTACGAGACGCCTCGGAGGAGCGCCAGACGCTAAGCGCCGACACCATGCCAGCCCGCGAGGCTGCGCCGAAGTGGACGCTAAGGCCACACTTCGAGCAACCAATGCTCAGCCTGTGGCGCTAACGTCCACCCCAGAACCACGCGGCCCGGCCCGCGCGGCCTCAGCCTCACTGGCGTGGTCATAACGACGCCACTTCTCCGAGCAGGCGTTGCCCGATGCGGGGCCTCAGCGTCCACATGCGCCCCAGCCAGCCAACCTCCCGGAGCTCGGAGCACCCAGCCGCACTCCGAGGCCTGCCCGCGGAATATACCTGGATGCTCTGAGTGCGCTCAAGCCTGCGACGCGGTTGCCCGGACCGAAGGCTTCGAAGACCCCGCAAGAGTCGGCTAACAACCAGCCAAAAAATGCCGACTAAAAAAAATGTCTAAAGTTGAACCTCCCTGAGATAAACGGCGAAAAAGCCGCCAATTTTCGACACGGCTAAAAAAGTCAGCGGCGCGCTCCTCCAAGCTTTCCTCCAAACCTGGAAAAACACGCCACAAACCGACACCAAAAACGGAAACAAGCGACCCCCAGGCGAAATCACACGAGAAAAAGCGCCAACCCTTAGCCGCTTTTCCCCGTTTTTTTAGACAGAAAAAAACCAAAAAATTTTCGACACATTTTCAGCCGTCATCTGAGAAAAGTAACCAGCCCAAACCCTACGTACCCCCCACAACCCGCGCCCCCCTCCTACACGGCTCCGCACTCATTCGAACTCGAAGCCAGGCACCGCCACGCTAGCCGCTGCGACAGTCGTCGCGCCACGCTCGCTGTCGCGGCATAGTGTGGGCACCCCACGGCGTCGAAAACGCTCCACCAAATGGCGAGGGAGCAACGCCGCGCCTCCCTCAGGTACGCAGTGGAGTGACCGCCCAGACAGAGACTCTGGAAGGCTGGCGAAGTCTTTGCACCTGTATGGACTTCGAATCACACCCCCCAGGTGGTCCGATTGTTATCGAAAGCGCCGAAAAGAACCTGGCGAGGAGATGAGGCGTGTCCCCGTGAACTGCACCCAGCCCACTTCGAAAAGGCGCCCAAGGTAATGCCCTCACATCAAGCGCCTACGCCGATGCATGGCAGCGCAGTCAGATTGGTGGGGGCGGCGCGTCTGTTGAAATAGTGAGAAGCGAGATGGGCAAAGAAGACTCCCGCCAGCTACCTAACCCCGGTAAAATGATTAGCCCCGAAAGTCATGGCGACGGCACTACAGTCTGAGACACGCTGGGCATAGTATTAAAGTACAACGCGGCCCGGCGGTGGCGAGAAATTCACACGCGTGACGCCGTCGATCGTCTATCGCGAGGCTTCAACATGGCCGAGCGTCAGGCTGTGCCCTCGCCCGTGTTCTACAGTCCAGAAACGGACACCCCAACGGCTGGCAGCTTCCCGCTGCGTAGTCTTGTCGGAGGCTTGACGCGTATAGCCTCGGTAGAGTGGGCAAAATATTCACAGCACAACGCGTGGCGCGTGAAGAAGTAGCAAACCCAACAGAAAACACGAAGGAGCGCGACAGGCATGCTCCGTCCGCAATACTTGAAAGGCACAAAAGGCACAAGCCAATAATAATACCCCCCCCGCGGTCGAAGCCGCTGGTTTTAGAAAAAAGCCCACAGCGACATAGCTAGCGTCTGAAGCTGGTAACGAAGGAAGTAAGTCAGCAGCGTCCAGCGATTCTGACTGCGCTGGTTGCACGGACACCCCGAACCCAACGAGCGGCAGCATCCTAGACTTTCGCGGAGTTCCCGCGGCGTGGTCGGTCAAACCAACAGAAACCGCCAGAGCACATAGCACACGCGAGGCGGAGCGTGTCGCAGTGATCGACAGCATCAAGCTGCGCACAGCCCACGGCTGCTTTCTTGATTGGTTTCCAGAGACAAAAAGCTCCGGCGGCGTTCGTTCCGCTTGTTTTCGTGGGCGGCCGGTCTGCCCTCGGTCTCAGTGAGTCAGAAGCTACTGCGAAAAGACCGAAGCGCGCCGGTCTTCCTTCGGCGTCACGCAGTCCGCGACCACGTCGAGTGCCTGCGCTAATGTCCAGCGCGCGCTAATGTCCAACGGGCTCGAACCGCGCAGACCCGCCGACAAGGACGCCCTGAGTAATGTCAAACGCCTTCAGCCATGTGACCTCGTGCACAAGACGGCGAAAAGCTGGCAGAATTGCCGGCGTTACTTGGTGCGTGGTGTTTCGTTTGGTGGTCTTTGCTTTGGGGGGGGTGTAGGCATAAGACCACAAAGGCCAGCCACCGCTCTGCGACGAATCAGCACGAGGACAGGACCCCGATCCAGTTCGGCCCCGATCCATGGTTCTGGTCTCAATCAACTCGCCCCGCCTCATTCCTCATCCCTCCCATGCATAGAGACCCCCGCAACGTTCCACCAAGATCAGCCACAAACACTAGCAAAGCCACCAGCCCCCTGCTCGTTCTCCTCATGTCATCACCATCACCAGCCTAGTCGCAGGCACCGCCTGACCTGCATCCGCATCCCCGTGGTAATCACGTCACCTCTCTCACCCGCGGGCCGGTAATAGTGGCCGCAATGATTTCCCTGGCATGCGTGCGCGTGGTGGTGGTTTCAGTGTGTTCACCCTAGTGGCGTAGCCAGTTGGTCGATGTCTCAGTCGGTGGACACTGCTACCAATTAAAGGCTTACTAACTTAACTCCCACCCTTTTGTTATTGGCTCACCAGCTAACTAGCTGCCATTCACTGTCTACGCGCGAGCTTCCTTTTGCTGGGGAATAATCTCCCGCCATCTTCTACGAAGTTCCCAAGCCTCTTCCGCTCTTTGAAAAAGAGAAAAACCCCCCACCCCCTTCCGCCCTGCTTCCGACATCAGGTGAGAAACCAAGTGAGAAACCAGGTGGAAAACCCGGCGGGACGGGGTGCCCCGACTAGTTTCCAAGGGCGCAGCGCTTCTGAGGTGGGAAACCAGGCGGGAAATCAGGCGAGGGCCCCCCGCCTGATTTCCCACCTGTCAGCAGATACGGAGGCACTCAGAAACTTTCCATTTTTTGCGCAAAGAAAAAGAAATCAGGCGAGACTTCAGCTTTTTACTCATTCAGGCGGACACACACCCAACCAACGAACCCAGTCAGCATTTGGCTAAAATTTTCGGCATTCGAGAAAATCCCAACCGACAAGCACCGCCGCGCGCCTGCGTCAGCTGATTTGATTGCCGGGGAGCCAGCAGCCGAACCCACGCAAAAGACCCACGAAAGACCACGCCAAGCCCGAGCCACCACCAACATGCACGAGCAGGCGCCCGCGAGTCCAGGCCGAAGCGTATGCGCCGGAGCCGATCTGAGGCAAAAGGCCAGCCTTCGAGACGCGTCGGAAAAAGGTCAGGCGCAAAGAGTCGACACCACGCCAACCCGGCCGCGAGGCTGCACCGGCGTGGACGTTAAGGCCACACTTCGAGCAACCGGCGAACGAATTGCAACCCCAGAGCCCAGACCAGAGCCAAGCCGCCGCACCCGCGCGACCTCACTGGCATGGGCGCCGCGGCCTCACTTGGTCAAAGTTTTCAGCTTTTGAGAAAATCCCGACCGGCAGACACCACAACACACCCGCGCCAGCTGATCTGGCTGCCGGGGGGCAACAACCGACCCGACACAAAAGACCCACGAAAGACCCCACCACGCGAACCCGTGCCACCACAATGCAATAGCAGGCGCCCGCGAGTCTACCTAGCGCATGCACCTGGGCCGGCCTCCAGCAAGCGGCCCCACACACTTCGAGCAAGACACCCAAAGGGAGAGCCCGACACAAAGAGCCGACACCACACCAGCCCGCGAGGCCCACCGGCGCAGACGTTATAAGGCCACACCTCGAGGGGCCAGCGAACCGCGACCCCGGCGCCCACTCCAGAACCACGCGACCCGACCCGCACAACCTGACTGGCGTGGACGTTACAGCCCTACTCCGGGTAAGCACTGCTCGACGCGGGGCCTCAACGTCCACAGGCGCACCACCCGGCCAACCCCGCGGAGCTTGCACGAGCGCCAAGCAATTCTGCGAGGCCTGCCAGCGGAATGCGGCGGCTGCGTCGGGTGCGATCCAGTCTACGTCACGGCTACGCGGCCCGGGGGCAGGCGTCCCAAGACCCCGCGGGAACCGGTTAAGAAACCAGCTGAAGGCGACAGCTGAAAAAACGGCTAAAGTCCGCGGCTAACAATCAGGCCAAAGCTGACGCGTTAAATGGCGCCAATCTTGGGAACGGTTAAAAAAGTCGGCGGCACGTCCTTCCAAAACTCGGCGGGAGTGCTCTAAACCGACCCCAAAAGTAAAAACGAACGATCCCGAGCCGAAATCACACGAGAAAGAGACCAAAGGTCTTAGCCTGTTTTTAGCCGTTTTTTTAAGTCATTTTTTCCAACCCTTGAAAGGTTGGGAAAATTTTAGCCGTTTTATAACCGTTGACCGAGACCCGGGACCCCATCCCCCAAGCCCAGACACGACCCCTACCAAGTCCCCCCATCCCTTCGAGTGCGAGGCCCAGCACTTCCGCGCGAGCTGTTGCGCCAATCGTCAAGCCCCGCGGCCGTGGCTCAGTGTGGGCACCCAACGGCAGAGGCCCTTCCAAATGCCCCCGGCCCCTCCTCCCCAGGGGGCGGGGCAAGGCGACCAAGTAACAGAAGACAAACACAAGCAAGCCCAACCCACTGAAAAGCAGCACGAAAACGCCCGAGAGACCAGGAGCACCACACCCGAAGACCGACGGCCCATCGTCACCCTAACCGCCTTCAGCAGTGCACCCCCTTCAACCGAGACCCCTAAGACACGCACCCCCGAGCCGAGCCACTCGCCCAAAGCATCCAGAGCCGGAACCGATCGAAAAAAACGACCGAAAAAGCCAAACTTTCTCGGTCGTCTTTTTTGGTCCGCTGCCGCAGATTTCAGGATCGGCGACCCCTCTTTAGAGTACCAGAAAAGAGCCACACCCAGAAGGAGAAGCACCTCCCTCACCGCTCGCAAATATACCAACAAAACAACAAGAGAAAGGCAGAAAAACCCCAGGAACGAAACAGACACACAACGGCCCAAGGCTGGCATGCGCTCCGCGATCCCGAATGGCCGACCTGTTTAGCCAGATTTTTACCTGAATGCTGGCCGGGCGCGCGTCCGCCTGACACAAAGACCCACTGCGCGCAGACCTGCAAAGCCTGCCCGAGGGCATCCGGCACCCCCCCACGCTGCCAGACTTAAAGCAAAGGCGGGCGGATGCAGTGCCGGCGCTGCGTGCTGCCAGTGTCGAAGCGTCTGCCTCAGCGGATGCCGTCGCCAAGTCAAGGCACCGGCCGCCGTGTTGGTGTCAAGGTCTGGCGTCTTATTCTTGTGCTGTCCTGCACTTGCTTCTGTCGGGCTTTCTTGTACTTCTGTCGGCTTCATTGTATGCCTACTCTGTGCCCCTGTCGTTTTCGTTCTATGCTTCTAGTGGTTTCATCTTCTGCGCCTACCTTTCGGCTTTTGGCCATTGCTACTGCCGAACGTGGTGCCTTTTTGGCAGGTGGCCACTCTTCGACAGCAGCACCGGAAGCCGCTCACAAAGTGGCAAGGGCTGGCCGTGGATGGTCGGTGCTTGATTGTTAAGCCCGCTAAGTAGATTCGCGCGCGGGGCTTCTGGGCTGGGTTGCCTGTCCGTCGTTTCCGCTTGTACGGAGGTAGCGAGCCGGGCTACATCATGCCGCAGCTTGTTGCTGCTCATCGCTGGCCTGTGGGCGTGGTGTTTCGTTTTCGTTCCTTCTTCCCGAGTCGCGTCTTCGATCTGATCACGCCCAGCTTGCCAAGCAGTAATAACTATATACTACGCCCCGGCATCCTCAAGATTCACTTACTGGCCCCAACAGCAGCAAAAGTTAGGGGTTGAAAAGTGCCCACATACCAAAACGGAACTCGACCACGATCCTGTCAGCGAAACGAATCTTTTCAACATATTCAAACAATTTCTGTTTCTCGCTATCATTAGAAAAGCGAAGTTGCCTACGATCACCATTGGACAATGTGACGCGCCACGCCGTCCTTTCTAGCAGTGGCTCCCCCTTGAGGGAGCGCACCTCAAAGCCGAGGGTCGCGGCTCTATGTTCGCCTTTGGGCCACAATGGTAGGAAAGCTCTGGCCGCGCTATTCCACTCTGTTTTCGACTTCTGCGGTGTCCTCTTCTTCATTAACCTGACAAGGCTCGCTGCCTCATCAGCGTAAGCAAAGCGGTAGCGCTTATGCGTTTTTGGGGCTGGGTGCTTTCTTGTGCATCCCTGAAAACTCTGGAAATATGGATAAACAAGAAATCTCCCACCTAAGCCATCAAGACGCAGCCCCAAGCTATCTTGAGGAGCAGAAGACCCGGCAGCGGTCCCTGTTGGACTCATGTGTGAAGGATCAACTTTAACACTCTCACTCATACGGCGGACGTGACGCAATGCGAAAACCAGGTAGCTCAAATTGTCCCCAGGTGATTCTGGACCACTAGAAACCTGCTGCCCCTCGCCCACTGCGACCCCCCTAAACTCAAACTCTAGGCCTGATATCACTCTGCTAGCCCTATCGCTATCCCTATTCCTATTCCTATCCCTATCACTATCACTATCACTATCACTATCCCTATCACCATCCCTATCACCATCCCTATCACCATCCCTATCACTATCCCTGTCGCTCGGCTTTGAGTGTAGCTGAGCATTGTAGTCATGTACCCCCCTACCGCTCGAAAGGGCCTGCAGCTCATCCATATTTAAAGAGTTGATAAAATCAAAATTGGCGGGAACTAGAGTGCTCGCACTTCCACTGACTGACTGATCACTTGGTTCCCCTTTCACCCAGTTAAGCACTAGTGGTGGATGCTCTGCGATTTTCTCAGGTATGGGGAGCCACGACCATCCCAAGGAGCTATCCCCTATGCGTATGTGCCCTCCCTCCTGAAGAAACACTGTTGCAATGTTCTTCGCGAATTGTTTAGCTGCATGTGGATGCTGGCGTTGCAAATGATTTACAATATCTGCCGCTTGCTCATTATCTTGGCCCCACAAAGCGAAAAAGTTAGAAACTGGAGAAGACCCGCAATGCCATTCCCCACTACCCGAAAAGCTAGACACCGCCACTGTCCCTCCGTTTTGCCCTGCTCTCCTTCCCCCTCCTTTCGCACTAGCCCCGCAGACGGGGAGGGCACACACCTCCCAGGCATAAACAGGGAACTCAACCACTGCGCCAGCGCCTTTTTGTTCTTCCTCAGGCACCGTTACCTCGCTCCGCTTTTTTTCAAGGAGTCGCAGTTCAAAGCTTGGCGCGGGTTCTCTTTCTGCCGCCTGAAGCGGCTGCAGCTGCCCCTGCTTGCGGCCTGCTTTCCCGCTTCCGGTTTCGGGTGCTGCGCTTTTCCCCGTCTGTTTCTCTTCCTCATCCCTCCGAGCTTTCTCATCTTGCTTCGCAGCCTTTTCAAGAAGCCGCGTCAGATGTTCACGACCTTCAACAGCAAGCAAACTCGACTGTTGTATATCTACGACCCCTTCGCCAGTGCCTCCCTCTAAAGTATCACTACCAGCTTTCACCCGAGCCAGACTCAGGCCATGGGTGTATTTGTGAAAAACATACTGATGCGCCTGCCCGCTCTGCAGATCGACAGCAGCAGCCTCTCTGGGATCTGTTTCCCCAAAGTGGCCGCTCTTACTTACTAAAACTACGGGCGGCAACTCAGGTGGCGCACGATGAAGCGCGCCACGACTCTGCCGCACCCTTTTCTTCACACTCCCCTCAGCTTGGAGAAAAAAGCTACACGACTGAGCCTCGCAGCATTTCACACTCTTGCTTCTTAGATATTCGTTGCACTCTTTTTTATATACTAGACGCATTTTCCTGTGAGCTATCTGCGCTGCGTCCTTCTGTGAGCTACCTTCTATCGCCGCGCCGTCATTCGTTCCCCGACGACCAACATCCAGAAAAGTGGCACCATCGGCACCATCTCCACCACTAGAAGTAGTCGCGTTTACTGCAACAGGAGTAGGCGCGTCGGCGCCAACCGTGGTAGCCGCGTGAAAGTGGTCATCCATGTACGAGGTGCCCTCATGTCCATCCAAGAAAAGGCTGAAAGCGTTTCCACTATCTTCAGCGCTGTGACCCAAAAAATCCGCGCTGTGGACGTTGTTCGAGTAACCAGCTCGATGGGATCGGGAAAGCGTTTCCAGGAAGTAGCGAGAGTTAGAGGAGAGGCCGCACGAATATGATGAAAAGAAAATACTAAGAGCGAAGCTCTCACCTAGCTACTTCCAACGATCTGAAAAATGACAGAGGCCCCGCCCTTTCATCAAGAACCTATGAGCGACGCTGCTTCTGACAGGTCAATAATTCTAAGGGCCTAAGAAGTCCAAGGCTGAGCTTAGGTCTACCAGCATCCTCCTCTTTGTTGAGCCTTAGTGCCACCGTCCTCGTAGATGGTCGGCGTCTTGTTGCCAGTCTTGAATAAGGGACGAGAGAAAGGCGAAGCAGGGTCGTCCACAGTATCCGTCTCTGCGCCAATGTTAGAAATTCTTTTCAGAAAAAACTTCACAGAACCAGAAGCAGAGCACAGACCTCAGATGCATAGCTGTAGTAGTAGTTGTAAGTTAGTAGCTCTAGATTAGAGGCTGCCTGCTACGGTATAAACAAGACAGACGAGCCAACTCGCCCCAAAGTCCTCTCCGCTGTTTCCCACGATAAAGAGTCGAAGTCTTTCTAGGGACTCTCCCCACAAGCACAAAGTTGCCTACAGGTACAGCTTATCTAGCTCCCCCGAAGTATTTCTAAAGTGATTGCTAGGTAATGAAAAATGGGCCATCTTCCTGCCAATTTATTATGCTCAGAGTAAAGTCCTGAGATAGTTTCCTTCACGTTCCTCATGTAGATAGGTGCAAGTTAGTGGAATAAGTAAGAAAAGGGCCCTTGCCTCCAGCTCTTCTAGTTCTAGGATAAGATAAGACGAGGCGGGGACGCCTTTGCCTCGTTCTAGCTTGTTCTGCTAGAAACAGTAACAATTTGACTGAGCTACACCACACCCACAGTGCGCGTTTTCTAATTTTCCCTTCGACCAGCACGCCAGGATAGCCCAAGACCAGACAGTGGCGACTCGTCGCCAGAACATACGCTCGACCTCGAGAGGCGACAGAGCGAGACGCGAATCAATGGTGACCACAACAGATCGAAACCAAAGGCATCATAGAAGCTGGGCTGGCGGACGTGGGGGTGTCATACTGAAGCTTGTTCGCTCAGGACCGAGGAATGGGACAAGGGAGGGCGGGGCAGATAATTCCGAGCCCCAGAGAGACAGGGCGCAGGTTGAGAGGGATGTGGCGGGTGGGAAAGAAGAAAGACAAGGCCTGGACAGGACAGAGGACTGGATAGGACTGGGCAGTGACTGAACAGTGACTGGGCAACGACACTGGACAAGACTAATGATAAGACGACAGCGACACGATGTAGGCGCGTGGCCGCCGTTGGTCGAGGAGGGGGGAACCGATAGCGCACTCATCACCCACCTCGTTCCACACGCCAAATTTTGCATAAGGAGCGCACTGCTGCGCAGTTCTCAATGCTTCAACTTGACTTAGCTACACCACAGCGCACGTCTTCTAATTTGCCCTGCGGCCAGCGCGTCAGGCTAGCCCAAGACGATGCCGACTCGTCGCCAGAACATACGCCCGAAAGGCGACAGAGCGCGACGCGAATGGTGACGACAACCAAAGCGAGATCCACTGCAAAGAAATCTCAACGCTTCGCCGGGGCTGGGTACGTCTTCAGTCGAATGCTCAAGTTCGTCACTCGTCCGGGCTGTATGGAATTTATCAACTACCGCCGCGTAGTCTGTGGCTCGGCCATCGTTTTGCTCTGCACCGATGTCAAAAGGCTTCGCAATAGATTGAGCGCCGCGAGGCAATGTGCGCAGTGAAAGGCAACGCCATGAAGAACCTGGCGAGATCGCAATAGACGCTGGCAATATGAGTCCAGGCCATCTCTATCAGCCGGCGGCCCTGCTTCAATGGCGATAAGTGCGGGCATGATTTTCCCAATGTGTATAAATCCCCCAGCTTCTTTTCTAACGGAGGCCGACTGTAGCGCGCTGCCTTGGGGTGGGTCGCGCAGATGCTAGCTTCCGCCCCCTTTGGCCGGTGTGCGGTGGTGGCAGAAAGGTGGAGAGCGACCTCTTCTGTAACGTGACAGATGTCCGCGACTTTACCCGAGCCACGAAGTGGAGCGAAGGCTTCGAGCTTCGCGCTTTTTATGGGCTTGCCCATCTACAGCCCGACAGAAGAAGACTGCCGCCTCGGCGTATTCCAAGCGTGAAGGGGTACCGCAGTGAAGGCCATGAAAGCACCCTCGTCATGAATGTCAGCTGCTGCCCCGTAGCCTCTGCGTATCTTTCTGCCCTTCCTAAAGGTGGCCGCGTGATGTAGTCTCTTCCTTTCCACAAGTCGGCGAATTTGAAGCCCATGGCTGGCACCATGGCAGCAGGTCTTGGCTGCTCGTCGTCGGTCAGCCCTGGCAAAAACTTCCGCAAGAGTTTCAGTGCTATGAAAGCCAGACGCATCGGCGGGAACCGCCAGGATTTAACGCTCGCTAGCACCTCGCGCGACTGGAATGGAGAGCAAGCCTCGGAGAAGCGAAGCGGCAGTCTGGCCATGTCAGGCCGGTTGACATCGGTGAAGGCCTCAGCTTGAAGCCCTGGGAGCTTCGTGACAACGTGCGCCCACCCCACGCGCGATTTGCGAGTCTGCGGCGTGGCCTGGGGTATGCGATGATGCCTGTCTCATCTTCGAAGCGTGGCAGCGCGTCCGCGGTCGGGTTTTTGTCTCCAAAAATCTTGGCCCAAATGGGCTCGGTGCCCCTTGCTAGACAAAATCCCCCCAGCTGTAACGCGATGCTTTTCAGGAGAGGCGCCGAAAAGGAGCCACGGTCGCAAGTTTTTCGCGCTGTCGTGGGGCTGTCAGCGTAGAGAGTGCAAATCTCCCCACTGATCGGCGTGGCCTCCCGCCTGTTCAGCGAGTCTTAGCAGTGGCAGCGGCGTTATACTTTCGCGCAGGTTGGTGCCTTCGTCCGCGATTTCCTCCTCAAAGAGGCCCCAGAACCTGTGCCCCCCTATTGTGCGTCCGTATGCAGTACCATCTGCCGCTGCAGCGTCGCTGGGCAAAAATGAAGGCTGACCCAAAGACATGAAGAAGGCTGGACCAAATCCAAGAACTTTCCCCCTCCTTAGATAAGCTCGCTTGCCATTAGAGTGAGCCTCCGCGGATGGGTTCGTCTCGGGTATGTCTCTCCACCTTACGATAGTCGTTCCCGGGACCTCCGCGAGGCGCCGGGGCGTCGAAATATGTCAAAAAGTGGCAAACTATGACAAGCGAAGATAGACGAAAGAAGAGCAAAAAAACGGCGAGGGAAAGGTGACGAGTCAGACTGAGGCCAACCAGAATACTTGAGAACACGGCGAAGACATGACGACGAGAGGGGCCCACGAGGATCCGCACGCGAAGGCCTCACGCCGAGGGACTCAGCCCACGACGCCGCCCGCACCGGTGCCGTCGACTAAAGGAAGCCAAGGACCCACCGCGGCCGTTGCTGTAAGGCACAAGGATCGCCGTAGCACAAGGATCGCCCATTTTGAATAATAGCCCGCGCCCATTCTCTGTGTGAGGGGTGGGACAGGTCAGCCCACGGGGATGAGAGTGGCGCCATTCGTCGCGCTACCTCTGAGACTTTGCCAGAAGCGTGAGGCCTGTGCATGCGACTGGACACCAAGCACATGCGACAACAGAAAAACGAGAGGCGCCAGATCGCACTTCGCCAATAAGTAGAATAATAAGAGGCGTCGGATGATGTGAGAAACTAAGTGGAGCCGGCTGGTCGGCCCTCCTTCGTGATGTTGGTTGATTTCTGGACTTCCTGGGTCACGCTTTACCCGCCCGGCGTTCTTGTTTTTGACCATCCCGGTGAGACCAGTAGGACACGCTTGCGCTCTCTCTCTCTCGTCTGTGTTAAGGTGTAGCCGAGTACATGAGCAGGGGCTGTCCACTGCATCCAAACACAAACACAAGACCAACCAAATGAGGCCAACAAGCTCTAGATAAGCATCAAGATGCGTTAAGCTCGTGGCGTGTAGCTGTAGCACATGTAAAGCGTGACTGCACTCCCGTGCTAAGGTGATGGCGATACTCTTCAGGCGACTGCTGTAGTACATCTAAACACAAGACACCCAATCGGACTTAAATACCCACCACCAGCCATGAATATTTTCCACCAGTTGTAGGCAAATGCTTATGCTAGCGATATATAACGTTGCGAGTCAATAAATCGCCCACCTCCATCCACAGACAAAGAAAAAGCAAACACGATCGCGCTGGAATTTTTTACGGCTCACGCTTCCATCCTATTCCAGCAAGAACAGACATCACCACATTGGAACTTTTTACGGATCGCGCATGCATCTCATGACACTCCAGCACTGACCTAGCGCAAAGGGATACGGCTCGCGCTTCCATCCTATTCCAGCAAGAACAGACATACACTATCAACGCTGAAACTCTTACGGATCGCACATAGAAACTTTTACGGATTTGCGGATCGCACTGACATGACCCCACTCCAGCACTGACGGACTTCCATTCCCACACTGAGTCTTTTTTACCATTCCAGCACTGACGGACTTCCATTCTTACACTGAAAGCACTTCACCAGTCCAGCACTGACGGACTTGACCTCCATTCCCACACTGAAGTGCTTTCCCGTCACCTTTGAACATTGGCTGCCATCTATCAGCACCACACCGCCAGAACTTAGCACAGGGCCCAGTAGCTTCATGCTTCCAAGGCTTGCAACACTTCACAAACACAGGCAGCGGCTGAAGGCTGATAGACTTTGACTGACACGACCGAAAGGGCATAGGTATAATTTCAGAACGAGCACGCCCGTTCATTGGGATTCATTTTTATGCACGTGGAGGCTTGCACTCGCACGAATATGGTCCCCAAGAACGCAGCAGCTGAAAAAGCAAGGCAAGAGATGGCCCGTCGAGCTGCAGCTGCCGCGGATCGGTTAAGGGCGAGCCCGCCCTCTACTCCGCGACCTCAACTCCCGCGCGCGAAAAGCTACCGGCAGCCTCCCCCTCCGCGACTAAGGAGACGCCGCCGCTCGAGTTCGTCCTCCAGCATGCAGCTTCCGGCCATTGGCCAACTAGCCTAGTTACTAGGTGCGAGCTCGTCTCCCATTCCTCAGCTTCCGTCTGCCAGAAGACCAGCTGACCCAACTCCCGCTCCGACATCTACTAATACTCGCGCTGACGAGCCGACCTCGGGAAACGAACCGGCAACCGCGCCGCACCGCTGGATACTCAAGCCCCCAGCTGCCGCCTAGTAACGACCCGCACCCGCCACAAGCCGACGAGGTCACTGAGAAGCTTCGGCACGCACTGGAAGAGATTCCCCTGCGGCTGGGACAGACGCGCGGGCAGTTGCAAGCTACGGCGAGGCACGAGGTCACCTGCAAGGGCGAGAGCATGCCGAACGCGATGCGCCTACGTGGACTAGCTCCGTTCGATCACGACTGGCGCCGATTGTACACTCTAGACAACAGTCTTGACTGCGCCGGAACACAACTGGTCAACATCATGAGCGAGGTTAAGAACAAGCTCCCGACTTGGTTCGGCCTGCCTCAGTCTAGCTCTGATCGCATCGCTTCAGCGGTTTGCTGACTCGGCTGAAAAGCCTAACTATCGCGCTGCGCTGAGGCACGACGGACTTAAACAACTGAACAAAGCACAGAAGGACGATCAGGAAGCGTCTCCTGAAGTTGTTGAAACGCGTTTAATGACGAACGAAGTTGATCTACAAGCTGGCGCGGAGGTAACTACCAGCAAACTCCCAGCGCAATGCTGGACACGGCAAGGGCTCGCTTACCCTCAAGCCTCAATACAGACGAACACTGGCTGCGAGTGACGTCTTCGGATCGTACCGCGCTCGAATCGCAGCCCTAGATGTGTGCTTCCCAGCGCCGAACATGATTTCGCCCGAAGGGGCAGGCTTAGAGAGTAGCACCGGCATGCTCTTAAAAGACTTTCCGTCACTGCCAGCGCGATACCTCAAAGAAATGGCGAGAGCGAGCCAGTTTTTGCCAGACGTTCCGGCGCACACTCTGCCGCTCAGCAACACGCCAGCCGGCCGCGTGGTACGAGTCCGAAACGCGTGCAGAGCCTCAACTGGTTTCGACGCGATCACCTTCACAAACAGAAGCACCCCAGGCCGCTGGTTCCGCGTATGCGCTACTGAGACGGGAGCGCCACTGGTGAAACCGCTTCCACGCTCAGTGCTGGCTCACATAGCGCGCTTAAAAAAAGTAAACTAAATATAGACGCAAAGCTCGCGCGCTCTGCTGCCTATTGATTAAGTTGCGACCCGCAAGGTGAGGCCCGAACAAAATCTAGGATACTGAACTGAGACGGCTGCGCATAAGAAAACCAAACGGCGCATAAGCATTGAGTGGTAGATGCTTAAAATTATACCTCTAAAGCGATCACGTTTGTTGTCTTAAATGCTAAATCTGGTTGACGAACAGCCCACATTTGCACGAGACGCGGCGTAGTCTAAGTGCTATCTATTCTAAAGCTTCAGGGACAGGCGTCGCGATGGAGTTATTACCTACCACGTCAACCAAAGAGCGACGAAGTAGCTTCTCTCTCCTTCTTGCAGGGCTGTTACTAGCTTCAGTAGAGTTTGTCTTTTGCGTTTGCAATTTCTCCCACAAGCTGACTTCTGTTGTCTTCGCTTTACTAAGAACGTTGCTGCCGTGCTTAGCCCTTTCTTGACTTAGGCGGCCTCGCGATAGATATGAGTGCGGAAAACGATCACAGTTTTTCTTTTTGTAACCGCAAGGACGCAATGGAGGTGGCGAAAGGAACAACAAGCTCTTCTTCAACTAAAGCTTGCAACCAACCAGCTGTTAACTCCAACGACATCGCAATGCCTAAATACATCCTGAACCAATTAAGAACGCACAACTTAAACAAATTAAGACGGGGAGAAGTTCCTAATAGGCAACGCGACCTAGAAAGGTCTGCGTCTCGCGTCTATAAATGTGGGCTATTCCCAGCACAAATACCCAAAAGCAACAAATGTAGCGCAGAGGCATCTCCAACGTTTCTCGTCCGACAAATGTCGCAAATAAATGCACTGCCGGGCTGTGGCTGGGCTATCCAATACACAGTCGACACAAATGGGGAGTCAAACGCTATAGGCAGACGAATGCACGCAGTATCTTGCTCAACCTGAAATCTTGAAAAGTTTTGACCAATACGAATGACGAGGATACAAGACGCAATGCTTTGCGTGCGCTTATGGATTGTGACTGGGCACCCCAATACACAATCAACCAAATGCGGAGCCAAATGATTCAAAGCACAGACGCGAAGTCAAACGGTTCAAACAAATGCGAAGCCAAATGGTTCAAACAAATGCGAAGCCAAATGGTTCAAACACGTGCGAAGTCAAACGATTCAAACAAATGCGAAGCCAAATGGTGTGAAGTCAAGCGCACTTATGGATTGCGCCTGGGCACTCCAATACACAATCACCCTGCGAAGTCAAACGCTACAAGCGGATGACTACACGGCCTCTCCTGTCTCCGTCCGTCTTGATCAATGCGAAGAAGTCTCTTGCGCAAATGCCTAGCGAGGAGGATAAAGTAGGTAGTCCGTCATCTTAAACGATCAGCCCGCTTGCCTTCTATTCACGTAGCGCATGGCCCGAAGTTATATTCGACCTGTGTGCTCAGTCTTCTCCGAAAGATATTAAATAATGGGTCAAGTGTCGACCTTTGAGCCATGACATCTTAGCGGGCGAGTAGGTGAGAGATCAAAGCGCAACTCTGTAAGATCAAACGAATGCTACTTAGTGGAGCGATCTCGAACCTCCTTCATTCGGTAAGACAGTAACTATTCTTCTACTATTTCGATAAGTCCTTCTCAGTAGAGATCTGGAGCGCGCGTTACAGATCTGGAGGCTTTTCTTTTTTGGCACCATTTGGATTCTGACGCCATTTGGAGCGGGATGATCTTTAGCTTTCTCCTGAGCTCTCTAGTCTGGTAGATACTCCCTCCACGATCTCTAGGGCGATCTCTAGGTGCCGAGTAATCACCCCAAACTGTAGACGGTTCTAGAGTGCGGCGAAGACGAGGCTGATCTAGTCACGATTCTAGAGCACGACTTGAGTACGATCTGACCTAGATCTAGGCACGTCTCGTCTCTTGTACGAGTATGGCTAGCCTTGTCACAGAGTGAAACTAATTAGAACCTTTCGCAGGCTAAGATAATTCACGCACCAGCGGGAGGGGGGTGCAGAAGTTTAATAGTCTTTAGCTACGAATTTTGGGCATAAGTTGCATGGGTGATGAAGTCTAATGATGAAGTCATCAATATACGTCATAAAATCACGAATGTGCGCCAGTATGTTGACAAGCCCCCCTGTAATTTACGCACTAAGCGTCCTACGTGGTCGCGAGTTGCCTATATTTCGACTGTAGTTCGACCGGAGAGCTTGAGCCGCGAGCGAAGGAGTTCTATCAAGCAGTAACCTGCTAGAGGCTATGCTTGGAGAACTGCCAGCGAATATAAAGCCTCAGCGCCTCTCTATGTCAACACGCTTGGCGATTTGTGAAGTTTTTTTTTGTGTTTTCCTAAAATTTGTTTTGCCTAAACAATTGGCAGGCCATTCCATTTTCCAGCGGATGTCTTAAGAACACAATGGCGAAGTTTGCTTTTAGGGCAGGACTGCCTGGAAGTGAACAAGTTGCGATTACAGAGCTGCCCGCTATTTAACAAAAGATCAAAACCGTGCTAGCGTAGCTGTAGCCTCTCGCGAAGATACAGGCAACGTGGGGCACTACTAGAAACTTAGTCTGTACTACTATAAAATCTGGCGCATTAGCTGCAACCTCTCGGGAAGATACAAGCAATGTGGAACACTACTAGAAATTTAGCCTGTACTGCTGTAAAATCTAGTCTAGAATCCCAATTCTTTTTATATCGAGATAGATGCGATGTAATATGGCGATATCTTATCCCCGAAAATCACCCCCCTAGAAGGTGCATCATCCTCGACGACTATCCTCCCATGAGCCCCAAGAACATCCGCAGCGACGCAGAACCTTAGCGCCGTAACCAAGTGCGGCGAACTTCTGCGCCTTGGGGTAGGGTAGGAACTGAAGGAAACCTTTTGCGTGATCAAGTCCAACAAAGCGCACGGCCTTGACGGATCGTAGCCAGTCGAAGGAAAGCACACCCCTCAACAGCTGCAACGCGAAGGATAGGGGTCGCCACCCTGTGCAGGAGCTGGACTACTAAAGTGAGAAACTGCCAGGCCCCCCAGGCAACTGAGAACTTTGGGGCGAACTCGTCCCGAAGTTTATCAGTATCGGTCGCATCCTTGGCATGTTCCTCAGCTGCCTCCTTGGCGTGTTCTGGGGCGTCCTTATCTGCTTCACCTGCAGAGTGAAAGAGAAGCGCGACCAAAGGGTCTGGAGTGGATTCAAGGCCTTCAGGTCTGACTTCGGAAAATCTACCATATTTTGTCACGCTCAGAGTCTCCCTGCCCAAACGACACAGCGCCGGCAACTCCTCACTTCCATCACTCTGCTGCGATTGCTGCGTCTTGCCTGTGGTATCCTCAAGTTCGTCAGTGTTCCCTGGTTCTCTCAGCCATGAGGATTTCGATCCGTTAGCAGCGTCCTCAGTTGTTGCTGCCGTCTTGACATATCGAAACAAACCTTGACGGCAGAACGCTGCAAGGGGCTGGGAGTCCTTTTGAAAGGGGCGCGCAGTTCTCTTTGAGATCGTACCCCGCAAAGGCAAGAGGTGCTCCACAATACTCAAGCACTCCTCACTCCTGTCCTTGCTGGACGCCTGCCGATGGTGAACCAAAGGCGGCACATTCGACCTTATTCATGTCGCGCTGGGTCTTTACTCCAAGGCCCTCAAAATAGTCTCGATCTCCCAAAGAGTTCCCGTATAAATGTCTGGAGACGGCACTGCCGGAATCTGGCAAAATACTGCCAACAGAATAACCGGGCCGCTCGCCGTTCCGTGGCAGCGCCACTGCTGCCGCAATTCGGTTTGATAATGGTTCTGGAACTCTGCGCTTCCTTTCCTCCAGGGCCAACCTGACTAAGCTCGGGAGAGGTTTTTCGAGAGCCTCGAAGTCTCGGGCCATCGCTTATATAGAGAGAGTCCTGCATCGTCAGCAGGGTCGCAGCGAAGCCCAAGCTTTTCCGTGGAGTGCGCCTCCACGTTGAGATAATGACGCCGGCGCCCTGCCTGAATTTGCGCACATCGTAGCCGTGCCAGCTCATGCGCTGCCGCGTCATCTTCGTCTTCAACTTTCGCCGGCCCTGCGTCTACGCAGATCCCTGCGTGGACAGCTTTCCTAGCCCATTCTTCCAAAACTCGCTTCTTCTGGAAGGCAAGCAAGTCGCTGCTGCCACGTGGGTGGAAAAATTCCGCCAGCTCCTGAGTGTCGCTGAACAGAAGCGAGGCAATGACTACACTGCCGCTAATCCGCAGTCCAGAGCTTTCTTCCTCAATCGCTTCGAAAGGAGGGCGCATCTCAAGGAACTTAGACGCGCCCTCCGTAGACAGCCTAATCTTCCAAAGCCTCTCGAAGTCGTCTGATCGTGGTTCGTTTAGAGTTCTGAGGCGGCGAAGCGGAAGCTGGACGCGTCAAACAAGAGTCTACTGATGTGGTCCTATTTATTGGGAAAGGAGTAGCGACCTCTGGCGAAGTCCCCGCAAATGTGCCTCGGGCTATTTTGCGCCCTATTCCTATACCAAATGCAGAGTCGTCATCGTCTGCTATATCCGTTCTGGCGTCGCTCTCGTCCCAAGTGTCTTCCAGGTCGGCCCCATCAATGTCAGTCCTTGACTCGGCTTGCTGGTAACGACCTGCGTCGAACATTCAGGCCTCTCTATCGGTTGAAGCCCTCCTCGAGCAAGCCTCTCTTTCGCTCGTGCTCCTACGCCCCCTCGTCCGCAAACAGCGCCTGCTGCAAGGACAGCGGGAGAAAAAACTAGCGAAAGAACCTGCCACTTCAGTCAAGGTTGGAGGGTCGGCTTCGTGGCGCCTCCTGAGGGCGTCAACGTGCCCCGGGGCAACCTCTAAACGCCGACACAGTTTGCGTTTCGACGGCGTCGGCGGCGGGATCAGGAACCTTCGCCGCGGGCACGGTGCTGGTGGTGAAACTGTAGGAGAGCGAAGTGCGGCGGGAGCCTCAAACGCCCTCCGCAGCGACCAGGGTCTTTCGGCTAAAGTCCCGTCGGTGACGCGCCCAAACGGTGTCGCTACAGCAGGCTCTTGCTTGTTTTTCCGTTGGGCCGCTTCATGATGTGGCATTCTTTTCTAGTCTCGGCATCCTGCTTCGGACCTCGGGCCTCTCTATCGGTTGCAGCCCTTCTCGAGCAAGCCTCTCTCTCGCTCGTGCTCCCACGCCACCTCCGCAGACAGCGCCTGTTGCAAGGACAGCGGGAGAAAAAACTAACGAAAGAGCCTGCCACTTCGGTCGAGTTTGGAGGGTCGGCCTCATGGCGCCTCCTGAGGACGTCAGCGCGCTCTGGGACATGCGTGCGCCCACAAGACTTACTAGGCCTGACAACCTGCCAACCAAGGCGATCAGCTCCATCGGGTGCGCGCGTCCGTCTGAATATATTCTGCTGCGGGACCGCGGGAGACAAGTACGCCGCACCACTACCAGGCGACAGTGACGCCCTGCCCTTATACCCGACAGAGACGCGCTCAATCCTAATCGAACTGCTGCCCATGCAGTAAGGATCTTTAGCTTCTCGCTGCTTAAACCCATCCCAGGCAGCTGACCAAAGTCGTGGAGACTTCTCAGAAGAGCCCCCCAAGTGATGCCCCATCCGCTCACTGCGAGTGGCTCGCCCTGCGGCAAATCAATGCGGCCCCAAGCATGGATCCGCGCAGACAGCCCAACACGTTTGAAGAGGTAGCTCCGTGCCTTGTCTTCAATGTAGCACTTGCGCGATCCAAACACTGTTCCAGAAGTTCAAGGCTTGCCAGTTCTGCGCTGTTCTGAGGGCAGAGAAAGCCGACGCGTGGAAATAAATAACCTTCACGCAGGTCCCCCGGCCGCTTTTCACCCGTCACCCATACTGGGGAGCCAGAATTGACTGCATCAGCAAACCAGTCACCCCACTCCCTCGCAAGCCACGCCATTTCTTTCCTTGACGGCACAGCTGTCCTCTGTTCTTCTAGAAGTTGGTCTTTCAAAGGGTCACTTCGGACGCTCCGCTCCTCGCGGAGGTCCTCGAGGGGTGAACGGAGGCGACCGGGGTCATCCCAATGGCTTTCACCCGGATAAGCGCCGTCTTTCAAGTCCTTCGAGCCGCACAAGTGGGGCCGGTGGGCTTGACACGTCTTCGAGCTTCGACGCGGTGGATGACTCTGCAAAGGAGAACACGGCGGCCCAGGAGGATCCGCGGCCTCGCCAGCCGCTCCCAGTAGGCGTTCTCGATTCGGCTCCGCAACCGGCTCAAAGTCGGCACTTTAAATGACCGAGGCCAACCTATCCGCGTGGCGATCGTCACCAGGCGCTTCGCGGCAGCACCTTCCCGCAGCTCCGGACGTTTTGGCCCAAATTCAGCAGCGGGCGCTCTCGAATCCCCAGCCAAGCCGCGAACAACACTAGAGGGTCGGGCCTGTAGTCGTGACAGAAGCCCACCGATCGCGTTCTTTTGGCGCTGTAGTTCCGCTTTATTGTCTGAAATTGCCTTTGCAAACTCGGGCCTTGCTTCCCTTCGAGCGTCCTCGCGAGTCATCTCCTTCCAGTGCTCCAAATGTAGCTCCGGCACATTTCCCAGACTTATGCTCTTCTGGTGGTGGGCATCGTTCTGCTTCGTGTCTGCGCCACCGCTACGATCCTCCGCAGCGTGACTCATCGGGAGAGTCAGATCAGAGACGAATGGGCTCCGCATCGAATCACGCAAAGGCGTCGGCCCAGGATTGTGCATCTTTTCAGTTTCTTTTCTATTTGTAACCCAAAATATGCCATCAAATATATATTAGAGGTGGCCAAAAAATAATGCAAATAATACACATAAACGCAAACTATGCCAAGAACAGATGGCACTCTTAAACAGAAGCTATAGGCTGTCACGGTAACCCACAATATATCGCCAGTTACTTATATATTAGAGGCGGCCAAAGAAGAACGCAAACAATACACACAAATGCAAACTATGCCAAGAACAGATAGCACTCTTAAAAAGAAACTATAAGTCGGCAAATAAATCAGACTGATCTCTATCGATCGTAGAAAAGGCGCAAGCCAAGCCTATATATAGTGCGTCGAGATAACCGCTTGTCCGCCGAGGCGCCTGGATAAACTCTATCACACCCGAAAGCGCTATGGTATGTATTACAATCAACGGGGTGAGCTGGCTAGACTCACAACCAACGTAAGTTATGTAATACAACAGCAAAGCTTTAGGGCTTCAGTAATGCAAGCACTACGCTCAGCGTTCTTTTAGCTGCGTTACTACTCTAAGTATGGCACTAGTTGCCGGCATCGTTCTCCACCACTTGAACCAATTAAGAAAACACAACTTAAACAAATTAAGACGGGGGCGAGTTCCTAATAGGCGACACGGCCTAGAAAGCAAAGGTCTGCGCCTCGCGTCTATAAATATGGGCTATCCCCGGCGCAAATATTCAATAGCAACAAACGTAGCGCAAAAGCATCGCCAAAGTTTCTCGCCCGAAAAATGTCGCAAATAAATGCACTGCCGGGCTGTGGCTGGGCTATCCAATACACAATCGACACAAATGCGGAGCCAAACGCTATAGGCGGATGACTGAGCGCAGTACCTTGCTCAGCCTGAAATCTTGAAAAGTCTTGATCAATACGAATGACGAGGACAAAATGCGCAATGCTTTGCGTGTACTTATGGATTGTGACTGGGCACCCCAATACACAATCAACCTGCGAAGTCAAACGCTATAAGCGGATGACTACGCGACCTCCCCTGTCTCCTGTCTCTTGGGCAGGTGCCTAATGACGAGGATAACATAGGCAGCCCTTCATCTTAAATGATCCGCCCGATATCCTTTGTATTCACATAGCGCATGGCCCCAAGTTATATGCCATCTGTGTGCTCAGTCTTCTCCGAAAGATATTAAATGAGTCAGATGGCGAGCCTTTAGCCATGACATCTTAGCGAGCGAGTAGGTGAGAGATCAAAGCGCAGCTTTGTAAGATCAGGCGAATGCTACTTAGTGGAGCGGTCTCGAACCTCTTTTATTCGGTAAGACAGTAGCTATTCTTTTACTATTTCGATGAGTCCTTCCCAATAAAGACCTGGAACTCTTGTTACAGATCTGAGAGTTTTTCTATTTTGGCACCATTTGGATTCTGGCACCATTTGGAGTGGGGTGATCTTTTGCTTTCTCCTGAGCTCTCTAGTCTGGTAGATACTCACTCCGCGATCTCTAGGGCGATCTCTAGATGCCGAATAATCGCCCCAGCCTGTAGATGGTTCGACAGTGCGGCGAAGGCGAGGCTGGTCCAGCCATGGTTCTAGACTACGACTCGCGTAAGATCTGGCCTAGATCTAGGTATGCCTCGCGTACGAGTATGGCTAGCCTTGTCACAGAGTGAAACTAATTAGAACCTTTCGCAGAATAAGATAAATAATCTACGCACCAGCGGGAGGGGGGTGCGGAAGTTTAATAATCTTTAGCTACGCACTTTTGATATAAGTTGCATGGGTGATAGAGTCTAATGGCGAAGTCATGAGTATACGTCATAAAATCGCGAATATGCGTCAGTATGTTGACAAGCCCCCCCGTAGTTTACGAATTAAGCATCCTACTAAGTCGCGAATTGCCTACTTTTCGACTGTAGTTCGACCGGAGAGCTTGAGCCGCGAGGAAAGGAGTTCTATCAAACAGTAACCCGCTAGAGGCTATGCCTGGAGAACTGCCAGCGAATATAAATTCTCACCCGCACCGCGAGGCGGCAACTTATTCCGGTTGGTCGTCGCAAGGCTCCACCCAAACTGAGAAACCAACTGCGCCCAGCACCTTACTCAGCACCTTCGTCACAACAACAACCAGGATGCGGCGCAACAACTTCCCAGCAGCAGCCTTTTCTTTTCCCTCGTTACTCGCGGGCGCCTCCTCCGCTGCCGCCCATCCTCCCGCCAAGGGTCACTCAAGCTGAACTACGAACGACTCGAGACGGAACTCATACCGGCATGGTTGGTTTGGAGGAGCAACGACGTTTGCCGATGCCTGAGCCTGACAGGAGCACTCGAGCTCAGTGCCTACGCAATTGCGAACCTTTTCCGATGATGATGGATTCTGACGACTACCAACCCGGCCGCGGGCGATGTTGATTCTCTTCTCTTCTATGAACCCGCCTTAGTTTAACGCCGCCACATGTAAACACGCGCCGCATTAAGCTAAGAAGAATTTAAGCGAAGCACTCTACTTCGTGTTCATTTGCGAACTCTTTGCATTGCTGTGCGTCGGAGTTGTGGGCGACGAATGGCGCGAAACAAGGAGCCACTTGCCGCCCCTCTCCATCTGCTTTCCTCTCGTGTGCAATTCCTTGGAGTCAGTTCGTTTCTCTTTTCGTGTGCAATTCCTTGAAGTTGAAGCCGTCACTTCAGTGGCCTCGTTTGTGTGACTGGCTTGACCTTAAACGTGAGAACTTGTTCCGACTAATTGCTAGACATAAAGCGCTAAGCCCCCCCTTCTTCAGTGACCTCATTTGTGTGGCTAATTGCGGAGCAATTTTTTCAGTCTAACGCCAGCAAGCATGTAGGTAATGTGTATAAAAATACTGTAAATAGAGGCGGCTTAAGTGAGCAAGGCGGCCCACGGAACTAAGTGGGCTCCTGCGTTCTAGAAGAAAACGAATCTCAACCGAGATCGAAACGCATCGAAGTCGCAAAGCTCTGAGAGAAGAAGAACACTGGCGACGAAGAATGAGAAAAGAAGGCGAAGGCGACGCTGTTGTTGCAAGAATGAAGAAGAAGAAGAAGAAGAAGAAGAAGAGGGCCGCTCTTGCAACTACGAGGCGACGCTGTTGCGGGAATGAAGAAAAGAAGAACGCGGGAGAATTCCATCCAAATCGAACGTCGCAACTGGCGCCGAGTTGCTGCTGAGACTCTCGCTATTTCCCACAGAGTCTTGGCCATGCCGTTGTCGTTGGGGTTCGTCTCATGTCGCTGACAATCATGCCTCCGCTGTTTTGACGAAATTCCCCAGAGTCAATATCTTCACTCCGTGGCCTTTTGACTTGATTAGCTGCTGCCTCTTTGTTGTTTTTTTCTCCCTCGTGCTGTTTGAAATCAAGCAAAATCGTAGAAATGTAAGCACTCTAATGCAAGCGCAGTCTTTTAGACTCTCACTCCGTTGCATTGCGCATCTATTCCGGCTTGCTTCATCACTTGAAAAGCCAGCAAGTGCTGTTGCTTCTCACTTATTTCTCTCGGAGCAGCCTAATCACTCCCCACTCTTCAACAACAATACCAACAACGTAGGAGAAAAAGAGAGGAAGGGCGAACCTGAAGGGGACGCCTGGCAGATTAATAGCGGGGAAGTGAAGTGCTTCAACTGCACACTTTAGCGGTATTCTCTAACCGTTTGGCTAGCCAACTGATGCGCCAGCTTGTGTTTGATTCGAACAGCGAACAACAAGAGACGAGGAAACAACATCGAGAGAAGAAGAGGCTGAAGAAACTTTGAAGGAGGCAATCAGTAAAGACTGCAGGGCGTCTGCTGTTTATAGAGTGGCGCTCTAACGTGTGGTCTCGTGCGTCTGTTATCTCACTCCGTGCGCTGTTGTTTTTAGCTACATCCCCACAGCTGCACTTCTAACCTTTTTGGTTAATCTAGCTGGGCGCTAAGTCAACCGAACTGAGCACGGCTTTCGACTAAAGTGCTTACTCACTTTCAATCAACAGAAAAAAGATTGCGGCCCAAGAAGCGCCAGTGTCGCAAGCTCAGCCTTTGAGCACCCAAGACAAGATCACCCAGCAGCAACTGGACGACCTCGAAGACGGAAAAACGATCTCCGAGGTATTTGATGACGTTGGTAATTCCTCTTCTGCTCCGTTGTTTCGCGAGAGCTAACTTCCGAAAGTTACCGCAGAGGCAGGCTGGCAACTTCTAAAACCCACGCAGAACCCCAGGCGGGGCCTGGTCCTTAGGGGTCTGTGTGTGTTCTTCATTTTGTTGGCATCTCACCCCTGGGGTGGTTTCCTTGTATCTTAGTCGCCTGCTCTGCTCTGCTGTTTCCCCATGGCTGTCGGCTCTTCCGTTCTTCTAGCTAGTAAGGTGCGCGCTTTAGTGAACTTGTGGGGGGTCGTGTTCGTGCAGTCGCGTTTGCGATTTGGTTCGCAGAGCCGCGCCGCTACTGGTTCGCCCAGCTGGGTGGCGGCCGTGGTAGGGTACGCTTGTCGCTGTGTGTGTGTGGCCTATTATCGGCAGGCGGCGCCTTTCTGTTCGCCTGTGTCGTGGCTGGGCCTCTCTGTTCGCCTGGTTCTGGTGCTTAGGTGGCTTCGTTGCTCTCAGTCTTGACACCGGCCGGCGCTGGCTGTGCTGCTATCGTTTGCCTGGTGGTGCCTTTGGCCGTGGGTTGCGCTGCTGGTTTGCTTATGGATATGGACGCCACTCGGGTGCCGGCGCGTGGGTAGCTAGAGGCAGACACCCACGCGGGGGCCAGTCAGTAGGCGCGGCGGTTTTGGCGTCGGTCTCCGCCTCCGTTGGCACTGGCAGCCCCCCCTACCCAAGTGAGCCCAGCGTGCGCGTTGAAAATGAGACCGGTCCAACTATCAGCCGGCAGGCGCTGGGATGGATGCCGTGGGCAGCCAGGAGCGAGCCGCCCACTCACCGGAGTGATCGCTCGACGGAGAGTCGCGGCCGATGTGCTTCGGCTTATGTATCTCTGGCGCAATACCTCGCCAGCGATGGCAAGACTGTCGCCGAGTGATCAGCGCGAGATGGACAAGGGGGGCGCTGTCTCTAACTCTATCAGCCTGCTTGGAAGTGCGTGGCTATGTGTGCAGCAATCTGGCTTATTAAGTAGCTACCCTCTCCCGGTCCTCCTCGTCATTCTATCCAAGTCGCGCGGAGGCCGTCTCGCTCTCGCTCTTGTTCGTTCAATTCATGGCATTCCGCCACCCGTTCTGTCTCACTCTCTGCCAGTCCTCACCCCCGCCTTGTGTGATAGATTGAGGGACCACAGGCGAAAGACTGCGAGCGGGTGCAAGTCATCGACTGCGTGAGAGATTGCGGGCGAGGCTCCTACGTTTCCACGCGTCAGCCTTCGTTATTTGCTGAGCAGGTTGCCTGGCTCTTCCTCTGTCTCTGCATGCGCGTCGCTGTATCGTATTGCCTTGGCAGAGTGGCGCCGAAGATGTGCGCAGGGTCTTTCTTCGCGACTTTAATCTCCCACGTCGGTCCACCGGCTTGCTCTTTTATTCAAGTTCGTTGAGGGGAAACTACATCCATAAGAACAAAAGCCAAGGCCAAGCCAGTCTACAACCTAAGAAAGAGCGCGCACCAGTCAAGCAACCAACGCAACAAGAAAGAAGACAGGCACGAGATAGGCGCCAATGGAACACAATCAGGCACATGGCCAGGCGCTGCCTAGCTACTGATCCCCGCTCGGCATTTGTGACGACTCCGAGATCTGTGGACAAAGAAGGTTGAGCGCCACTGCCTGACGCGTCGACGCTTTCACCTCCTCGCCCTCACGCGTGAAGGGCCAAAGCATGAAAGCGGCAGAGACAGCCGACCAATCTGACAGACACAAGCAGAGGCTGGCAGACTGAGTGGGGGCCTCGCTCCGTGTCTGTGGCTCAGACAGTCTACCAGGGGGGGCGACTGAGTGACCAGCCTGGGGGTGGAAGCATATAAGAAAGCCAGCGCTGGCCAATCTTTGCAAGCTTATCCCTGTGGGTGTGGGCATCGATCACTCACCTCCCTAGTTGGCTGGGGCGAGCGCCTGGCCTTGAAGATCGACAGACGCGCGAGAGGGAGTGCGGGAACCAGCGGCCGAAAGACTGAGTGACCGAGCGAGGCGCGCGCCCATGCGCGTAGAATGTGGCGCAAAGGCGTCCAATGTCCATAGGGTGGGCGACTAACATAGCTGGCTCGGAGGGTGGGAGGGACACCCGGGCCATGCGTGGACTGTTAGACCGGTGTGGCCTGCTTGTCGTCCGTGTGCTCCTCTTTCTCTCTCTCTCTCAGGTCTCGCACCGTGCTCGCCGCGGTGGCTCGCGCGTCGCTTTGGCGGCTCGCTTCGTTGTGTGTGGCAGGAAAGGCCGCGCGGGATTTTGTTAATGTCCGCGTCTCTTGCTCGTTGGTTTGCTGTTTGATTTTGGTGAAAAAGACGGCAAAAAAATCAACAGGCGCCGACAATTTCCGACAAGTGCCGAAAGCTTTTGAAGGTCCGAAAGTTGCCGAAAGTTCCCGAAAGACTCTGAAGAAGTCCGAAAGGCCCCGAAAGTTTCCGAAAATCGCCGAAAGTTTCCGAAAGTTGCCGACTTTTTTTTCTCAGATATTGTCGGAAACTTTCCAGCCACGCGCCTTCTCTTTGTATGGGCGCGCTTTTCTCTTTTTTGGTGGGGCGGGATGCGTCGCCATCTCATCCCTGCAACCGTTTTACCTAAGAGGGCTGCCCTCTTTAAGATCTAAGGTCGCCCCTACTCGACCCCGCAGAGAGAGGCCAGACCCGCGCCCGCCACCTCTCCAGGGGACCCCAAGGAGGCGAGGGGAGCCCGCTCCGCTTGCTCTTGCCCTCCTGCACTGCCTCCCCCTTCATCAGGGGGTCTCCCCTTAAGCCAGTTCACGCTGGTCAGATATGGCGACGAAGTTGCTAAACCGTGGGCACATGGCCACAGTGTCGGCAGTCTTGGACACGTCGCCCGCTTTTTCTGTCATGAGATTTGTTATGAAATTGGCAGACGCGCTGCCTTTGGTGTTGTACGTGAGATTACATGGCAAAGGCCCAGCTGTGTCTACAAGTCTACGGCGTCCCTGTGGCTGCGACTGATGAGCAACTAAATTGCCAGCACTGAGGCTTCGACCGTTTTCAAACGTCCCGCATGCATGTCGGCGCTCGCTGCATTTGGTGCGTAAGGGTTTGGCATTGTCGTCCGGCGACCAACACGAGAGCAGTCCCCCAAACGCGTTTCCTTTGCTTGTTGCGCATTCTCCGCAGGTTCGTTCCCTGGGTACGAAACGCGCCGCCAGACTTCCTATGTCCGCACATGATTGCCATCACATTGCTCAGCCTGTCCTTGTTTCCCTCGCAGGAAGTTCAGCGGCCCTGCTGTCTGGGGTAGATTTGCGCCATTGGTTAACTCTGTTCGTGAGGGGATTGGCTACCCTATGCGCAACGACTTCCAAGACAAGGAGAATCCTGACTAATCTCCATACTGCTTGACCAGGTTCCAGCAGTACTGAAATTCTGAACGCGCTAGCGCAGTCGCTAGCTGGTGACTTGACTGGCGTGCGGGATTAGTTGGCGTAGCGGGGAACTCGTAGCCTGCCGCTGATGAATGCGGCTCGCTGCGTCTGTTTTCGTGGCACTCGTTTGCGCGCCCCTGTTTGCGTTAATTCCTCCCATCTCCGAACATTTGCGCCCACTGTGTGCTCTCCGTTGATATCGCGCGCGTCGCTATCATGCTCATGCAAAAGGATGGGCGCTGCGGGAAACTCGTGCGAGGCTGTAGCAAATGGGTGCGGGTAGTGCTTGGCTGTGTGGTGACTCTTTGACGTACGGAGCAAGAGTCGAAGAGTTGCAAAAAAAACGCCGACGGCTTTTGTTTGTAGGAGAGGCCGCGCCTACGACTTAAATAAACGCCCAACGTGTGCTAGCAGAGAGCGCGCGAAGTCTTGAAATCAACCAAGCTAAGAACAGAAACGCTACGACGCCTCGGCACTCCTTAGTATGGGCAAGCCTCGCTCTGACTTCAGCCAAGAACTCTTTAGGCGGCACCGGATGAAGATGAAGCGCCAGAGGGGGCAGCGCCTGGCGTAGTGCTGACCTTCGTGGTAATATTGTTTGTCTTGAAGCAAGCCCTCTGCTCTTGTCACAGCAGCAGAAAGCGCTGACGCCAGAGCACAGCTCGCAGCCTTGTTTTTCGGTCCCGCTGATGAAGCCCCAGACTTCTGCCGAGAGCAACTCGTCTGCGTTGCACTTCAGCGCTGTGCTGACACAGTGATCAGCCGAGTGCTTTCCATTCAAATGACTGCTTCGCTTGGCCAGGTTTCTTCATTGAAAGGAGGTAGTGGTGGCTCGCCCTGGTCGATCAGCCAGCTTACTACGCCGCCGCTGCGTTCTTGGCCGATCAGAATGCAAAGAACCAACGCCGTGGCCAGTTTCTCGATCAGACAGGCAAGGTAGATTCCGCCGAAGATGCCTGCAGCTGATAGCTCCATGCGCTAGCGGGATGCAAAGCAGAAGGCTGGCGGATGTGAACAGCAGCGCAACGCCCAAAGACGAGGAGTCCTTCGGGGCAAAAACTCACATTGAAATTTCCCACGGTGCGTGGGCCCGGGCGTCTTGATTAGGTCGGCGCGGGGGCATCTAAGCGCGTTGCCAATAGGTTCGCTCCCGGCCTTGGCCCTGTTGGCTTTTGCGTACGCCAGGGGATTCTGCGCGATCAGAAGGGAGTAGAACCATGGGCATCAGTTTGCCGTAGCTCTAAGGCTGACGCGAGGGCTTGACTGTTCACGTGCGTGCTGAGGTTGTCATAGTGGGTGCTGCGCCAATGGTCAGGCTCTACTTCTTATCAATCTACGCACACTGTCACGCTCGACTGTAGTACCCTCGCCGCGGTATCCGCTATGTGTTCAACTGTGGTGGCGAAATGGCTGCGGTTCCCCGTACAATAGCGGACAGCTGTACTGTCCTGGAGTTCCATCTCGCAGGCCGAACACTGCGGCGACGAGAGGCGTCCCATGGCATATTGACAGCCTGCGCCCCTTTCAGTGAAGTGTCAGCGTCAGCCTTGGCGATAACTTTAGTAGGACAGCGCTCGCCGGTAGTCTCTACCCCGGAGGGCTCCTCGGCGTGTTCGCTGTTGGAAGTTGTCGCTTTCGTTTCTTCTCATGCAGATGAGCGAAAAAAGGCAGAGCTGTGGCGCCGAACTTCAAGCACTAACCATGTCTCTTTGCGCCTGCAAAGCCGCTGCTTTTCATGATTTGGTCTACTGCATCAGTCACGTCGCCGCCGGACAGCCAGTCAGGCGATGCCGATGCCATGGCTGTGCGTCCAAATGGATGCCCTAGCTTCGGCCCCTTGTATAGTCAGTCCCTCAGCCAAGACGGTGCCTCCTTGTCCTTGGCAATCCCCTGGGATGAAGCGGCATGCCTCACAGACAGCGGGTGTGTCTGGCGTCACTGCGCCCCGTGCGGAAAGCTTATTATCGAGGTCGTAGATGAGAGGCCTGCCGTCGATGTTGGAAGCAGTATCAGAGTGAGCCTCGTCGATTGTGCACGCGCTGGCGCTGTCCTCTTTCACGAGACGGGCTACGCTGTCGCGAGATCTGTCACTGCCCAGAGCTGCTGAATCAAGGCGAGCGGCTGCGCAACAGTAACCACCGGGCCACTTGGTGCCTTCGATTCTTGCGCAATAGCATAAGCTCCTCGCTTTGTTCCCAGTAAGCTGACTGGTAGTGGTGGACGCGTATGATTTTCGTGGCGGGTCGTCTGGTTTTCGTTTGCGATCTGACGATCTTGATGCGTTTTGCGGCGCATTACGTTACCACCCGCCCTGCTATGTTCGAGCGCGTTGATCGATTCCCGCTTGGCCCGCTGGTCGTTGTACTCCCTACGCGTTTCCTTCCTTGGACATCTTGTTGCCGTTGATGAGTTCGCTGAAGGAAAATTTGACTGATGGCCTAGTGATCTTCTAGGAAGTGATCTTGTGGACTTGAAGCGCAGACGAAGGCAAAAGGCTTGCAAGCTGATGATGATCGATGCTATCATTGAAAGAAGAAAGACAAGACTTGGACAGGACAGAGGACTGGATAGGACTGGGCAGCGACTGGGCAATGCCTGGGCAATGACTGGGCAGGACTAATGATAGGACGACAGCGACACGATGTAGGCGCGTGGCCGCCGTTGGTGGAGGAGGGGGGAACCGGTAGCGCACTCATCACTCACCTCGCCTCACACGCCAGATTTTGCATGAACGCACTGCTGCGCAGTTCTTAATGCTTCAAAAGGACGTAAGTGTATCTATGTTCGCCTAAAAAAACGGCTGCTCTTACTTGCTGCACTTGTATCTTAGACGAAAATTTGCCATAACACCAGAACCAGAAACGAAAGCGTGGAAGCAAAGCCACAGCACTGACACGACTGCGGCAGTCGTGCAGGTTATTTGTAGCCCCTTCGCCGCAGCAACGCGTTTCCGCTTGCTGATATAAAAATTCCGATTGCGGTGCATTCTTATTTTTGCACAAGAAATTCGGCAAGAACTTCTTAGTAAGCTTTTCTCCCCGCTCGGACAAGTGTTAGCGTAGTTTTCTACCTGGTTTGTTGTGTAAGGTTGAAATACGTATGAATTTGAATCGAAAAAAAAGCCCAAGATGTCAATAGTTGAATGGAAGAGCAACACACTTTCGCCACCTGATGGAGGAAACGAGAGCTAAGTGATTCTCAGTACCTTATCTATTCTAGTGGGGTCGGCTCTCTTCGTGGCAGCACTGTCTAGTATTCCGATCCACTTGATTCTATTTTCGTGCCTCTCATTTCCGCACTTCGATACAAAATGTAAATTTTCCGAGAATCTCGCCCACAAAATGAGATCCAGAGCTTTGCCTTTCTTTGTCTACCTGCTGTTGGCAAGAAAATGAGAAGACTAGAACACCAAGAAAACTTCTCGCTGATGTCTATGGAGGAGGATAACAGCTGTCAGACCAGTGCAAAAAAAGCATGACAGGTTATATGAGTATCTTCAGACCACCAGTCATCATTCAAAAGTAGCATGACATTGTTAACGTAGTTCGTGGCTATCTCAACAGGATTTCATTACCTCACGCCCAGTATTCACAACTCTGGTTGGGAAAAAGACTCTCACTGCTCAGGCGGTGTCGGTTCTTGAAAATGCTCGCGCTAGTGCGCGTATGAGTACTCCTGTCACAGCCCTTCGTGCTCCTCGAAGCTCAGCACTTACCTGCTGAACAAGTAGGACAGCGCATTGATTTGTTCAATTCAGGAGAAGACACAAGAAGAAGACTGGGGAAGACATACCAACGTGGAACTAACGTGGAAAGGGTGTCTCTATGCGTGAACACACTCTACATACTCAAAACGCTATGCTTAACATGCTTTACATACTCGAAGCAATATGCTTAAACGATTGAGTATCTGAGACAAGCCTGCGATCAATCTTCAAGTCCAATACAAAATAGACTTGCACCGCTCTTGAGTATCTAGCAACGACGAGACAGTTCTTCTCCTGGGTTCCTCTTCACCAATGAAAAAGAACTTGCCGAAGCCGAAAAAAATCGCGTCTCACCTACCCGACTGCAGTAGCGCTTGACCGTAGGGATAGGGTATAGTATCCAAAAAACCACTGCGCGAATTGCCTGCGGGTGTCGGTGGATTGGAAGTGTTTGTAGTCGGAGAGTAGTAGTATTTCTGATTTTACTTCCTTTTTTTGGCGACGATCATAACGAAGATGTTCAACGTGGTGGCGATCATGGGTCATGAAGCCTTCTCCAGAAGTGCGTCTAGTAAATGTGTCCCCAGAAAAGAATGTAGCTCAGTAATACCCTCAAAAGTAGACCAGCTCTCCACCTTGTTTCTGCGATGATAGGAGTAGCTGATGATCGAAAAGCCCACTACTCGAATTGCCTGAAGCACTTGGTGCATGGATTTCCAGTATTTTTTGATGGACGAGAGTAGTTCTTGTTCTCATGGATGGTCATGGTGGTGGCGATCATGAAAGCTTACACAGAAGAGAGTTAAACTTTAGTTTCTAGACTTATCCCCAAAAAAATACCACAATGAATCTAGCTCATAAAAATAAAATACCTTCAAAAGCCTTGTTTCTGCGATAATGGTGGCTGCGGTTGGTCTTGCTTCCTCTACCTCTACCTTCTTCAAAAATCGCTCCTCCTCTGTGCAGTACTAACTTGACTTCATACGCTGTTGCTCGTATAATTCTCCACAATCGACAAATCAATTGCTCTGCGTCTTTTTGCGCATGTTTCCCCAAGACCTGTGTGAACGTGACGCGTTGAAAGAGGAAGGAAACTGTCGACATTCATGTATCAGCTACATAGAAAGTCTCGTCTTTCACACACCAAAGATTAGATATTGCGCCATTGCATTCTTCAGATCATCCCTGCGCCTTTTCCCACTGGAAAACGAGCCATGGATGGTAGTGAAGCATGCATTGTCTGTGGTAAACCTTAATAAGAAGATCTAGAACAGAGAGTAGATGAAACCAATATTTTCACAACGTCTAGAGACAACGAAGCACTACCTACTTCTCTTCTTCTTCGGAGTTTTTTGAGAAGTGGTCTATTGCTGAATAGTCCGCGCGAGCTCTGCGCAGTCTCCCTCTTCCTTTTGAACCTACTCCCCCTGCTGAAGCAGATGCATATTACTACCTTATGTTCGTTGGTGACGATGATAAAGAGGCGACGAAACACAAAGTGTTGGCCATGGTAGACAAAGTAAAGTGATAAGAGGAGATCAGACCGATCACTGATTATTCTCTTTCTTCATACTCAATATTGTGTATATCTACTTAATTCGCGTTCATCTTCATCAATCTAAAAGTAGAGTAGTACCAAGCTAAGCTTTATGCTTCTTCTGCGTTCCAGCTTTGATAAGATAGGATCGGTAGAATAGGACTGGATGCCTCGACTTCGCCGCCACACGAGGATGGCCGCTAGGCTTTGGCAGAGCGCCCCAAGGACGTTTAATTAGACTCAGCTCGAAGCCGTCTCGGCCCCGCCATCTCGACCCCCTTCAACTTGTATTTCATGGTAATACAAGGCAAAAGGGGAGCAAGATGCCAAGAAAATAGGACAAAAGCTGGCCATAATTTAAGGGATCGCCGTGGTTGTCGTCCGCCTAGGTGGACGCCCCAAACGCTGAGCTTGGGTGCCTTTTAAAAAGTTTTCACAGGCTTTGCTCGCTTCCTCGTTGTTGTCTGGTTGCCTGGAACGGCGTGAGCTTTTCAGGTTTTTCAGGTTGTAGAATGTCGCTTTCTCAGGTTGTAGACATCAAGCTTCAGCATTGATATCACCTCAGAATCTTACTCGGAGCTGATAGATACCCTTGATTTGGATTTGGAAGAAGGTTAGGTTAGCTGGAACAGAGACAAACAAACGTGAACAATACAGCAAAAAACTAGCAACAAGAACCAACAAGATCATGATAGAATCACTCAAACCAAATGCAAATGGGTACCAATGTACTAAAAAATGGATATGTCAGAGAATCAAATCAAAACAGGGGTATATCGGTTACAACCTCCAAAAAAAGTCTTTCCCAAAAAAGAAAAAGAAAGTCAGTATGAACTAGAGGCAGTCATATGAGCTGGAGTCTTATCAACGTACTACATTCCCATGAGACATCTATCCAACTTGAACAATATCATCACAGTGAGCGATTAAGTGCACGGCGCACGCGTCGCGTTCTCCGTATTTGAATACTCATCTTTAGCTTAAAAAACAACAAATGGATCACGAGAAAGACCACATTCGAACGAAAATGACGATCATGCTTCATCGATCATCTGCAGCCTCAAGCCCCTCTTCTGTCTCTCAGTTCTCTCTGCTATGACCTTTCTGTGCTATGACCTTTCTCTGCTACAACGACCTCGAGGATGGTGTAGGTGAGACATTCAGGGACACAGGATACATCTAGTAGTAATCCTCCTAGAACTTGAAGTATGCTGCTAGTCTTCCTAGAAATATAACGATACTTCTTGTGATGTTTGAGCCTCTGTTGTAGTTCAACATGTTAACTTCTTGTACTAAGATTCATCAACATATTAACTCCTTTAAATTCCATTATAGTGTCTCTCAACAGAACTCGCAGGCGCCGCTCGGAAACTACCTTCGAGTGCTTGTGGACACGTCGTTCGCCTTCTTTCAAGGCCTACGAATGCTTGAACGATAGAAAGATGGGGAACACGCCTTCACCAGGCTCGCAGGTTCTTCTCCTGATCAAGGATCTCCTAGCACTTCCTGCTTCTACGCAGCCTCTTCTATTTATTTTCCTCTTTTATCTTTTAACCAGGTATAAGAACCAACGAAAAGTGTTCCATTGGGTATGATATAAGTTGTTCCAAAAAAAAAATGAGGATGGCAAAGGCTACTTCTTTCTTGGCCGACGATCAATGTGAAGGGTACAAACTGTTTTTGAATATCACAAGGAGTACAAGTAGTACTTATATGTGTCACGCACTCCTTAGCACAAGGCGTGTCATGTATCTACTATGCGTTGAACATTCCCGATACCGCAGGAACTATTACTGAGAGTGGCCACGACATCTGGCACAAGAACGAACAATACACCTGATAGATTATACAACTCCACGTCCACCTACGTACTCTTACAACTAACTACTTGGTAGACATAGAATCGGATGGGTAAATGTGCGCACGACTGCTCATATTTAGTACGATAAGACGGTCCTCTGACGTCATTCAACACAAAGTTAATATAAAGCTGCAAGCCATTCTGTCTACTACAACTACGAGCTAGTCCAGCAACATGCCTTTCAAGGAATAAAAGTCATCGTGGTTTAGAAATACTTCTCTTCACTACACTCTTCGTGTTCTTGTCTAGCTTCCGCCTCTGCCTTCTATGAGTGTCACCCTTGCGCCATCATGTGCTGTAACCCGGTGTTGAAATTAGAGTGGCGAAGGTTGTAGGACCTCCGAGTACGTCCTAATATCCTGTTCGTTCAACATCCTTGATTTCATTCCTATCGAATAGTAATCTACCCAGTCGTGCGTACATAAGTAGTGTACCCAGTCATTGTTATGCTACGCACATAAGTAGGAGGGAAAGCATCTATCATAATGCAGACTGCTGGTGCTTTCTTGTTATCCTTTGACGGCTTCTCCCTGGAGGCCGGTTTCTCCCTGAAGGACGGTGGTCGATCGCTTGAGCTCTCGCTTCCTTGTCTTCCCTCCGATTCTGCGAAATCGATTTTCGTGCCGCTTTTTATCTTAGACGCTGTGCAGTACTTATGAGAGGTACAGGACAAAACAGAGCAACAGTACATCGAAGTAAAGTCTTTAGAGGCACAGTTCTGACTTCTGAGGCGCTCGGCGGACTATATGGATTTGACCTTGACTGCTGGGGTGAAGGGGGAAAATAGAAGTGAAACTGTACGACAAAAGGGACGATTTTTGTTTTAAAGTGAACCGGTTCCCCTACATGCGCAGTAACGTCCATCGGAAGACTGTCCTGTCTGTCGCCGGGGGAGCTCTTCTACGCTTCTTTCGCTACTGTGATAATGTTGACGATTTTGAGTCGGGCGCGAAGCAGGTCTGGGGGGTCTTTAAACAGCGCGGGATTAATCATATCTTATGGCAAGGTGTAGCCCGTAAGTTCTGTAATAAATACCATAGGTTTCGTAAATATAGGATGCAACGTTACGAGTTCGAGAACCTCCTTCGGGGGTGCTCTAAATAAACGAGACCCCCTTATGATGCACTTTTATGACGACGGTCTACGTGACTGGAGTCTTGGCCCGGGGCATATATCCGGGCAACATACCCTTCGGGGTATAAGAGTTGGGCTTCCGAGTCCTTCTCAGGATGAGTAGTTATGTAGCGGGCTCTGGGTGGTATTTTTTACGAAGTGAAAGTTCAACCACTCAACCCGTTCCTCAAGGTCGTTAAATCTAAGTCTTAAGTTCGTGGATTTAGATGCAAACTAGACTGATCTTCGTTCTCTTTTTCGAAGAATGTAAATGTAATAGAACGGTCTGGTAGTAAGCTTTGCATTCAGCCAAAATATAGTTCTTTCAGTTTTTTCTTAATTCAGAAAATGATCTGAAAAGCGGGGATCTAGATGGAAACTAGGAGGAAAATTTTTTTGGATCTCTCAAAACAAGGAGGTCACTAAGGAGGAAAGCTAAAAAGGACGCAAGCGATGACTTTTAACTCTTTTCGCAGGGTTGTAATTCGGCCGCATATCGATAGGTCTGCTTTGGCAGGTTTAGGCTAGCGCTCAAGGCCGATAGAACTTATAAGTTCGTGCATATATTTTTTGAGCTTATGCTCCTTTTCTACGCATGAGGTAAGGTGTTCCTGGCGATCTTCATTATCTTTCCGTAATAACTTGGAAGTTAATTCAGATTCGCATGATTGCGATGACTTTGATTACACCAGAACTGCTACTCATGATATGTTCGAACTTTCATACACCAGCCTTAACGGAGTCGGCAGCGTCTTCACAAAAAGACGTCACAGTGGAGGACAACGACGCGACTGTCGAGGACTTTTCACTTGCCGGAAAAGCGACTGTTGAGATGGAATTTTTAAAGAGTTTTTTTCAAGAGCAGCGCCAGCAACATCAAGTAGTACTAACACTGTCCGTTATAAATTGAAAATTGATCATCCTTTTCATATTCTGCAAGTAGCAGATAATGCGACTAATGAATAGGAAGTACAACAAGATGAACCAATGAATAATTATACTGAGCACTATCATATTTCTTAGTACCCTTTTTGGCCCAATCACACAGGATTTTCGTTGGAGCCCAATTGCCCTCAATAGCATCCGACCAAAATTCCCAGAGTGGTTTGTGAATGTGCTTTACGGAAGCCCAAGGCAGCTCGTCATCTCCCACGCTATGCTTTCTGGTCTTAGAGGAAATTTCTAATCATAGACTACATAGAAGGCTGTAAACGTAAAGTAACTTAGTTATATATAATTTCATCTCGTTTTTATTATGCTTTCTCGTGTTGTTTTAGAAACGGACTCTTTTTTAAGAACAAATGATATGGGCTTCCTTAGTCACAGAAAGAATAGGCCCAGGCCATGCAAAACCATAACAGTCGCACGAATGAATAAGCTCTCTTTTCCTGCTTCAGGAATATTTGCAATCTCAAATCTTCCGCCCAGCGCAGTTCCGACATCCTCTGTGCAGTAGTTTTATGTGAGACTGTCACGTAGTTGTGCATATCGTATACTTGAGGATGGGAGAGAAGAAGAACTTTTACGTGTTTATTCTATGTACTTCAACAAAGTAGAGAATAGTAGGTAGCGCAAGTAGGAGAGAAATGCGTCAGTCTGCATTGTCAACGCAGTGTTTATGATTAAAAAATAGTACTTAGTCAACATGCTGAAACAGCATTTAAGTAATATCGTCATAAACTATTAGTCAACATTTCGAAACAGCATTTAAGTAAGTAATATCGTCATAAACTATCAGTAGTAGAGCAGAGTAGATGTACAATTCCGATTCCAGATCAAAGATTTGCGTCTAATCGATACCGTCCGCTTTCTTTTTTACGCTACTACTTTATGAAGCTTCATTAGTTACCACCAATACCATCCTCGTTCTTGACGCTGCGTTCCACTATCTTGAGTATGGTTCCCACGTTGAAATGATTCAAAGTACCAGCCACCATGTTGCACAACCATTCCACAGGAACAAAACCGCTTTCATCGTAGTAGTTGAGATTAGACTCTATATTGGTCATTCTAGAAGTATGTCATGCGTATGCCCCTGATAGTGCCTTTCCTAGCACCCTAGTAGTATCATTCTAGGTGAAGTATCAGTGATCGGTCGTTAAAGATAAGATAAAGACACTGCCCCACTTGCTTGCTCTTACTCTCATAGTTAGAGGTAGTTAAGAACTCTCTTCTCCTTCATAAAAATTGCAAAAAAAAATTTCGACGTCGTCAGTTGTAGACAGATTGATCTATCATAGACTTCAGTAATCGACACATTAAATCCTAACTGGTTCTCGATACGGCGCACGTTTGTAAGCGTCGGAGATCCCATGTCGGAGAAGGATCGCGAGTACCTTCGATACTGTGTTTTCCTCGTCCGAAAGTCCGTCGTTCTGAGTTGCTTCCCTTGCTAGACCAGGAGAGGACCTAGGATGCTGGTTTCGGAATTTAGATCTTCGGGGTTCAGAATTCTAATTTCTAGGATGCTCATGCCGGATGGAATAGAGATCTTCGGGGCTATTTAGAAATTTCTTGAATAAGTATCTTGGGGGTTTATTATGATGTTAGCAAAACGAAGATATTCAACTTCCTGTGTGCTCTAGAGCTATGGAAGCAGCACTTGCGTTAGTTTAACATAGACTCTTTGTCAGTACTAGCTACTTGCAACTTACAATACAGTAGCTGCTTGGGTTAGCGTAGCTTGTACTTAGCTTACAACAATGTTGCATGGGTGATAATTTTAATTTCTATTCTTCTACAAGTATAATATCTCACTCTGACAACCTAAACCCAGCATAATTGGCGTTCGTTCTCTGCCACCTCTCGTGTTTCTGAAGTGCTCCCGTCGGTTTGCCAAGTTCACGCTCTTCATGGAATCACGCTGCGCGCGTCGCTCCTTGTAAGACGCCATTGCTGCGGATTTGCGGACTCTTCTTGGGCTGTATTCCTATATTGATTATGACTGTTTGGATTAGTGGCACGCCCAGAATGCTTTGGAGTATAGTTTTGTTTTACAGATGACACAATTTTGATATAGTGCAGTTTTGTAGTAGTTTGTTGATATTTATAGAAGTAAAGTTTTGTAGTGGAGTCTAAATATAACAAGTTCAGAGGAAAGGAATCATATTATTTTTGTTATCACAAAAAAAAGCACCAACCTGTTTTCGCTTTTTTTTTTCGTCTGAAGAGGGAAAATTCAAGAAAAAATCAACATCTTGTACAAATCGTAATTCAATCTTTCGTGGTATTGGGAAGTACCATTTGCTTTTTACGGAGACGGCGGAGTCTCATCAACTACTTGCCGTCACGTTCATGAACGTTGTGAGAGAGAGAGAGAGAGTAGCAGTATTAGCGTGGTAGATGTGCCCTTTTATGGGGTACTAGTACTACAGTACCAATTCATGGAATGGATGATTTATGAAGGAGGTTTTACCGAATTGCAGAGGCCAGCGTCCTTCACAAGTCTTCTAGCAAGAATCAATTGCTTGACCGTTTTCGCTGCAGCAGAGATTAGCTCGGATGTTTTTGAAATTTTCACACCAAAAACATAGAAGATTTATCATTGACGCTGTCGACATCAGAAACCATATCTTCGGAAAAGAATCAGAATCAGGGTTAGAAGCAGCACAAGTGCTCCCCAACTACAAGCAAACGAGAAGATGACAGATCCCAAACAGGAGACACAGCAAGGAGTTGAGGAAGTTCTCCGTTGTTGAATGAAACAGCCAAGTTCCAGGATGCTCAAGAGCTGCAACATAGAGTTACAGTTGGTGATTTTTGACCAGGAGTACCGAAGAAAGGACCGACTTCAGAGGGAGAGAGCTTCTGGTACATCAACGTCCATTCTTTTAGCATCTGGATACAAAGGAGCGGCCACGACCTCGTGCACATCAAAGTGTGACCATCTTCCCCCAAGCCATCTCCAGCAGAGGCTTGTGTGACCATCCAGATGGCAAGTTGCAGACACCAATAGGAGTCAAAGTAGAGTTCAAGTTGGAGTTAGAGTTCAAGTCTTACGGGAGTTGCAGAGCAACATTAGAGATCTCTGACCAACTACAATCCTAGGACCAAGTCCCGTTTAAAGACTCTTCAGGCCTTTTTCTTTAGAGAACCTCGTCTCCCGCTCCACAGCCTCACTTGCGTTTTACAATAAAATCCTTCTTCTGCTTTTGCAACAGCAACATCATGTCCTTTCCATTCCCGTGTGTCATTTACTCTAATGCTCCTGTTGTAAAGACCCACTCAAAGGAGTATTGGTCGTCCCATTCAAAGGAGTCTTGGTCCCTTCCCTGAAGGGACCCATGATTCGGAATCAACACATTGCTGCTATTAAGGAAACCCCAAGTCCTCATGCTCCTCCGCTGTTGAAGAGTCATTTATATCGATGCTGTCTCCTTGATGGCGATCTAGATCTCTCCCGTCCGCGCACAGGCAATTTCTTCATCATGCGGGCCAAAGTATTCGTCAGAATTAGAAAGAATCAGTCATATATGCGAAACAAACAAAAAAAGGATGTTGTTGCTCATCTACCTAGGATTAGGATTTTTAGGAGGGTGTCCGCCGTCCGCAGTTTTACCTACCTCCTACTTATTTCAAATTACACCAAGAAAATCTTCGTAAACTTGTCGTTGTATTCGACAACGACTGAGTGCTCTTCATTCTCCCGCCAGTCGTTGTTGTATTCGAGGAATGTTGAGTATTCATTCTCAGTCCGAAGGAGGAAGCGCTCGTCCCACCTATAGTTTTATTCCCTGCCTGTGGGTGTGCTGCCTCTTGTTCATCGTCGAATAATAGTCCCAACAAGTAGTCTGATTGAAACTTTCGCAATTTCTCGCACAGATGTGCTTCCCGCTCTCGCTCCTCATATCTTCGCAGCTGCTCCTTGCTTGACTTAGATGAGGGAAAAGTTAGTATGAATATTCTTCAGTATTCAAATCTTATACAACAACTTCAACCTCAAACAAGCAGAACTTCTGAGTACTGCGTAGTGGTCTTTTAGAATGTAATATCTTTGTATTTTCAACTCAAGAAGTCCTCTCACTGTCACTGTCGCTCTTCTATTCTCTTCCCTTAACTTCTTGTTCAGGAAACTCCTGCACCAATTGTGCTCTTGCGCTGCTCAGCTCCTTCTCCAATGTCCTGATTTTTTCTTTCAAAGCTGCTTTTCTAGAGTCTGCTGTTTTCCGCTTCTCCTGCAAAGCTAGCAGTTCCTTCTTTTCCTCTCTGTATCTTCGGTAAAGGCGTTCGATTTGCCTATCCTGTCCAGTCAAATCGTCATCACCTTCTAATGCTGCTGAGGATCGTCCGCTTCTCCGGTACTTAATAGGGCAGAATGGTAGAAACGCCATCACATGTTACCTCCATAATCGAAATACTACATATTACCTCGTCCATACCAACTTACTACAAGAAGTACTAGATTATATTACCTCGCCCAAGTACTACATATTACCTCGTCCATAATCCAAAGCTTTTTGAACGAGAGACCGGACTTCATCTTGCCCTGGCAAATGACGGAAGTCAGCCAAATCGTAGCTGCATTCGTAAAAGAGCTCATACAAATCCTCCACGGATAATTTGCCTAGGTCGTCTTGATTTAGCGCATGAGGATGCTGAGCATGAGATGAGATACCCAGCTCAATCAAGAACGGGCACCGCATTCTTTTTCCAACACAAAAAATGGATCATTCGAAGCAAATTCAGATACTTGTGTAATTGATTCTAGAGGATGACCATCGTGACATGCGATTCGAGGCTACAGAAGAGTCAGAATAGAATAAAATACTTCTCAGCCATAACGTATCATGTCTATAAAACAACGCTCTCGCTGCGCGGTGAAGGTCTCCGGTACCCCATTTTAGCGGATCCAACGGAACCCCAAGGGCTCTAGCTCCAGCAAACTCTGGTTGACAACAACGGAGATTAGAGGTAGAGGATCAGTACTACTAGATCTTCTTCCCCTAAGACCTAACTAATGACACGACTCTTTTTTTAGATTTAGTCCTAATTGCACTCACGCTAATAGAGAAGAAGTTCAAGTTTCTTCATTATAAAGGCGTTGATCGAGAAGTTTCATTATAAAGGCCTTGACCCAGCCAATGCATGACAAGGGAGGTTTCATAATGCCAGCACTCAAAAGGTAATCGAAAAACGACAAACGTTGCGACGAATACGAATGGCCCATTTTTTGACTATGGTCGCCGTTTCAGATGAAATGATGAAAATATTATGATGTTCTTGTGCCCGTTAAGTTATGGCGTCGTGTCTAATTTTTCACGTCTCTAAAAAGTTAGTCATATTCGTCACGTCTCTAACCATTGCAATCGAAGACTGGTGCTATTCAGTCCAAAAGGAAATGACTGATATCTTCCACTTCCAGTAGAGAACATGTCATGACCTTGATCTGCTCACAGACTAGAACAGCTCCATTCCTACTCTCAGGTACAACAGTTCGTTCAAATACTCGTTCTCGTCTCAGTTTCATAAATGATGAGAACCGATTTTTAGGCTGGGATCGGGGTCTACCCATGCGTAGGCAGACGTCTACGGCTACTGAACGCAGCGTCTTGGCCACAGGTGGGAGCCTTTGTTCAACAGCAAGGCTGCCTGATAGCATTGATTTACTCAAGCTCAAGTGGTCGGTTGACGCCAATCATCAGTTAATTCTATCGCAAATTGTTTCAGGGTTTGGCAGACATCGGTCACGACTCTCCGGAGAAAGTGAGAGTGTTAACTACGTAAATTCATAATCATAGGGTACGAATATCACTAGATAAGGCAATGTAAGAGATGTGACTCAGAGGAGTATGGTGATGGCTGTAGGGGTACTCGGGGTAGAGTCTTACTATAAATTTGAATTTTTTAGAAGGGGACTTGTTGGCCAAGGTCATAAGATAATCCTAGAAGAATCACAAAGATCACAAGGATGAAGATCAACGAAATGACCAAGATCGCCAGGCAAAAGGTTACCGGAGCACCATCCAAACGCCCGACGGGTTTACCGTCGCGCGGGTGTCTCTGGCTTCTCCTCTCTCTCTCGTTTGTGGCTCAGGCCTCTCAATACAGTCAAGGACAAAACAAGACCGGAATGATCTCAAAGAGAACCTACAGACCTAAACGCATATGGTTCCAAAATCAACGATCACCAGGCAAAGGACCCTCAACGTATTCAGATAGCGGAAATGATGAATGTTTCATAGCTGTAGCCAGGTCCATAACGTCTTGTCAAGTTCTGACCAATGATGAGGATCAATGTAGGAAGATCGTAGGAGTCAATGATGATAGCATAAGCGTTTCCATAATATGAAGCATATGAAAGCTTCCCCATGCAACACGATATCCCAACGATGAAGCTGAGACTTCCTCCTTGCAACGCCAATGAACATCCACAGGGATCAAAGCAGCCAGAGATCATTAGCCTCAGGCTGTGAGTGCAAATTGTGCAAGCTATATAACCCTCAAGCGTTTCTCACCGAGAAACTGGACGCGACTTAACAGTCTGTGTTCGAATGGTCCAACACTGCTTTGATCCCTTGGGCTTAGTATAGAGTAGAAATCCATCTAGAAACAACTTTCCAAAATGTCCTGCGATGCGAAAGAAATTCCGAAGAAACTCGGGCAGAAGTCCGACTGGCGAGCATGGCAACATGCCATACGTCAGGAAGCTAGCCGTCTCGGCCTGCTTCAAAACTACACGAATGTAGTTAGCGCTCCGGCAGCTCCTCACGGTATCCCTAACGGAGTTACCAATCGGGAGGAAACAACTCGGCAGAAGTGGCGCAACCTGACAGATGCGATCACTCGTAGTCTGAAAGGTGCCGCCGCGTCGTTCATCAACAACCAGAACGATAGTGGTCAGGTGGATGCGATGGATGCGGGTGAGGTTGTTGTGCTCCTTCGTGATGTAGGGCACTTCGATCAAAACAACCGTCAGAAACAACGGATGAAAGTAAAGCCACTCACGGATGGTTTGCTGAAGTTCCACAACGCGGATCAGCCTGCAGATGTCACGGGATTCTTGTCGAAAGTCCGAGACATCACGAACCAGTCGCCCACCGTGTACCCGCCGGAGGCAAGAGTGCCAGAAAGTGACCAACAGAGTGGCGCACTGCTGCAGAAGTTGCCCGAGCTGTTCTGCAAGAACTTCAAGGCAACGATCGAACGCATGCAGGAAGAAGATGGTCTGACATTTGACCAGATTGGTGACCGACTTGAGAAGCGTCTTGCGACGTTGATCGAGGAGGGAACCTACAAAGTTGAGAACGATTCCTTCGGGAAGGCGTTCCCGGTCAGTGTTCAGGAAACCTCGAATAAACGTTCTCGGGAAGGGGAGGACGACGAGGAAAGGGCCAATGAAGGTGGTAAGATCTTTCTGTCTTAAAGTGCTCTCAAACGCTTCAAGGCAAACACAAAGAAGAAGATCGCCGCCGAGGTCTATGCCTCCAATTCGAGCGGCAAAGGAAAGCCGCAGAACAAAAACAATAAAGGTTCTGGAAAACAAGATACCCGCCCAGTCTGTTGGATCTGCAACAAACCGGGCCACAGATCCGCGTCTTGTTGGAAGAATCCACAGAACCAGGCAAACTGGAACTGGAACACCAAATCCCAATCCAGTAGTGCTACGGGTAAAGGTGGAAAGGGTAATGGCATGGTTCACATGTCCCAAGTTGCAGAGCTGTGGCAAGCTCTCAACGGCGGAAAGCAGAGCTGAGCTGCAGAACCAGTGGAAAGTGGATTTTGCTCGCTGAACTTGGACGAAGATGAGGGCGAAGAAATAAACATAAATAACATTGGGGAGGTAAAACTCGCGGGACATAGTCTTTCAATTAGTTCCATTACTACAAGAGAAGAAGTTAGTCTGGTCGATAGTTGTGCAAACAAATATCTTTCAAGACACAAAGATGATTTCAGTGAAATAACTATGAGAATTTGTAGGATTACTGGCAGCGCTGGAAGTAAAGACGGAAGAGGGGGAAAACTAAAGTCAAACATCCTAGGGCTCCAGTATGGTGTTTATTAAGATTCACTACCAAAGGACTTAGATCGCATTACGCCTTGGCTAGGCGAAGGGAACTGCTCGCAATTAGGATGGGAATTCAACTTCAAAGGCACAGGCGGTTGTCTCGTACATACGGACACCGGCCAGGCCATACCAATAAGAAGTCATCCACGCTCGCAGCTTCCCACACTTGCGCGCAACTTATTTAAAGAAGAGACTGATAGCGGTTATATTTGTTCAACAGTAGAAGAAGGAGTCAGTAGTTGTTATCTTACAAGACTCGAACTTCATAGAAGACGTGGGCACTTTCATATAGATGGCCTCCAGGTAAATTGCCCTGAGTGTGATCTACATAAAGGCCAACGCGCACCACATGCAAAAGCTGGAGATGCTTCGAACTACAAACCTGAACCATTGAAGTCACTAGCAATCGACTTTGCTGCTGGAATCAAACCCGTATCAGTCAGATCAAAGACAGAGATGTGTACTAGTGATCATCTGTGATGTAATTAAGAAGGTGTTTTGTCGACCGCTTAAGCTGAAAAGTGACTGTGTGGAGAAAATAGAAGAAGTGATCAAAGGCATTCGCCAGGACTACTCCCTATCACTCGATGACAAGGTAGCGCGGTTTCTCCGGAGGGATGGAGAACCTGTCCTGGGCAGTGATGACATGACCAAAGTTATGCAATCGCTGCGGGTCTCAGACTGTCCGGCTGTTCCTTATAATCCGGAGACGATTGGGACCTGCGAACGTTTTACGCGGACTTTGTTCGGCAGTGTTCGCACAATGCTGACTAAAGTTGGCAAACGCCTCTGGCGTTACTGCGTCGAGTACGCTGGTGACTGCTGGGATCGTTTGCCGCATAATTATGCAAAAACGCCTCAACATGATGGAAAGAGTCCAATTGAAACCCTAGAAGAAAGGACTGGTAGAAACTCATCGAAGAGCTCAATCGGCATGCTCCGCCGATTTGGTTGTCTAGTTTACTTTCGTGAACAAATTCAAGCCAACACTCCTGGACCCAAGCTCTCGGCCAAGTACCGCCGTGGCGTCTCCCTTGGACTCTGTCCGAAGTCGTCTGGTTGGTTGGTTGGTTGGAACTTTCGCCCATGACGATCGTTGCAAGCTTGGACATCGATGGGCGGAATACTCTACCCTAGATGTAAAGTTCAGAGAGGACTACCTAATTAAGAATATTATACTGCTTGGCTTTTGCCAGATCAGAAGGGCATCTACATTGAGTATGACGAGTTGGAAAATCTGCAGAGTGGTGCGTCGTCGCTGGGCTCCCCCTTGCTTGGGCAGTCAGTGCAAAGGCTGGATCATCAATCGGGGTTCTCTGGCACGGAGCACATTCCAGGTGGACCGACCGCGATTTCCGACGAATTATTTATTGAGACACTGGATAAAGTAGAGGAATCCAACGCAGCTGACTCCCCTAAAGATGTTTCACTTGAGGAGGGGAATGCTGAAGCGAAGGATCGCGAGACATCTGCTCCGCTAAGTCCGTCTAAGTCGAAAGCGCCTTCTCCAGCACGTGTTGTGGCAGGCGTCCGCCATACACACGTCAAGAAGCGTGGCCGACCAAAAGGAGCGAAGGACCAAGCAGGTGGCAGGGTTCGAAGAACAAAGAAACAGTTAGAAGAACTGAGGAAGAGTGTGGCGCTGTTCGCTAGTGCAGTTGGTGGCACATGTGAATTAGACGAAAGTGAGGAATTCGTCGCGTCATATGTGATTTTGTCCGTTGCTCAAGCGCTCAAGTCTCCTGATGCCGACAAGTGGCGGGAGGTCATTGACAAAGAGCACGCGAGACTGCTAGCCTTTGAAACGTGGAAAGAAGCTTCGGGCGAGGAGCTTGCGACCGCGCGACAAGCTCTACCAATTGCCATAATTCTAACTATTAAAAGACGTGGAAGATACAAGGCTCGCGCCTGTGTCCTCAGTAATCTAGATCGTTCAGGAGAGCTCAACACCTTTGCTCCCGTAGTTTCACACGCCGCTAGTAGGCTGCTCCTGACTTCTGCTGCGTCAGAACAGGACTATGTGTTCCCGTTCGATTTAGATTCTGCGTTCCTCAGTGCTGAACTCGATCGCGATGTCTTCTGTCGTCTCCCACCCATCTGGGCAGAGAAGCACGGACGCGAGATCGTGAAGCTCAAGAAGGCCTTATACGGCTTGAAGGACGCACCACGAGCATGGTTCAAGAAATATCACGACACACTAGCCAGTATTGGCTGGGAGCCGTGTGATTCTGCGCCAGGCTTATGGAGAAAGCCGAGCGCGAAGGTACCTGGGAAGTTCCTCAAGATGTCAGTCTATGCTGATGACAATCTTGCAACGGGTCCTGATCTTGATGAGCTCAAGACCGAACT